GGGCATGTAGTAGGGCGGCTGCACGTGAGAAGCTTGGACACACAGTTCTCAGTGACAGGGGAAAAAGAGGAAAATGAAGCAGTAGGGCCTGAGATGGTTGGCTTGAAGGAGATTGTGGTAGTGAATGTTCAGGAGTGGCCAGTTGAGTAAACAGTTTGCTTATCGCTGCGACTTTGTCAGTGAAGAATGAGGCAAAGGTGTCAGCTGATAGATTGTTGGTAGGAGGTGGAGATGGAGGGGCGAGCAGAGTTTTGAATGTTGAAAATATTTTCTGAGAGTCAGTCGAGCTGAGAATTTTGTCAGTGTAGAAAGCTTTCTTTGCATCAGTGATGCTGGTAGAGAATGAGGACAGTAATTCATGAAATTTCAATTGATCACCAGGATCTTTTGTTTTGCTCCATTTCCATTCCGCAGCTCTAAGATTGGTGCATAAAGACCGGAGGGTATTATTTAGCCAAGGGTGCGACTGAGGGGATCTAGCAGGTCTAGTGGCTAAAGGGCACAAGTTGTTAAGACAAGAGCAGTGTGGAGCAGAGTGACTCGGTGGCATCATTCACTTCATAAGCAGAGAATGTGCTGAGAGATGGAAGAGTGGAGGCAACAAGAGAGGAGAAGTAGTTGGGTGCCAGATTGTGGAGGTTGCGGTGGAATGAGACCATTGGGGAGGAAGCAGTGGACCTCCCTTGTAGAGACGTGCTGAAATGGATGAAGTAATGATCGGAAAGATGCAGCGGTGTGACAGAGATTGTGTCTATGGCACAGTTTCTGGTGAAAATGAGGTGAAGTGCTTTTCCAGCTTTGTGAGTTGGAGGACTTTGTACTAGTTTAAAATCAAATGATGACATTGGTGACAGGAAGCCTGATGAGCTGGGATTGTCCAGGTGAATATTCATGTCTCCAAGGACCATTGTGGGACAGACGTGCTCAGGAATGGAGGAGAGCAGGGTGTCGAGTTCATCAAGAAAGTCTCTGAGTTGACCTGGTTGACGATATATGACAACCAAAAAGAATTTTTTCGGTACAGTCACCTGGATGGCATGGTATTCAAAGGAGTTGTATTTAGTGATGGGTAGCAACTGACTATATATCCATTTATTGGAAATTAACATGCCCGTTCCACCACCTCGGCCAGATGCACGAGAAGTGTGGGAGAAAGTGTGGTTAACTGAGAGAGCAGATGGGGTAGCATTGTCACATGGTTTGATCCAGGTCTCAGTGATAGCAAGTGCATCAAGTGACAGGTGGTTTGCATATGCAGTAATGAAGTCAGCTTCGTTTACAGCTGATTGGCAGTTCCACAGTCCCATAGACAGGTGGGTGTCTTCGGGGGGAGTTGATTTTAGCGAGCGGAGGTTTTGAAGGTTGCGAAAGTGGTTTGCTGTGTGTGACCTTCCTCTGAAGCTAGTGATCACAGGTATGGGATAATGGCACATTTTGCTAGGTGTTGATGGAGCGGCGTCTGGGTCGAGTTTGTTTGCTCTGTGTACCTGCTCTGTGGACACGCGCAGGTAGGATGTTCTATTATCCACATTTTACATTCAATTTATAACAAATAATTAGGATTCTGAGTTGAAAATTTGTTAAAGTCTTGCAACTTATCTTTGTTTACGCAGCTCTGGTTATTAAGTCTGAAAGTCACCAACAGCAGAGGTGTCTAGTCTAGTGGGAATTATTTTATCAATCTGTCCCACCTGCATGCTTCCTGGTTCTAGACCCGATCTTATTTGAGGCTGTGGGGTCGCCAAGTCTACACCTGTAAATGCTTCTGCACCTGCATGTGTAATCCGACACCAGCTGTCAAAAAGCAACAGTGTGGAAGACAGTTAAAGGATGGCCCAGAAGGAATTTCTTGTACCCCTGAGAAGCTACGGCGTTCTTTTTGTATTACACTAATGTTGGGTGCAGAAGACTAAAAGCTAACACTGAGCTAACAATGCTAACAATTAATTAGAAACAAAGTTTTCTTTAAAAATCTCTCTAACTGTTTTTTTTTAATTACCAGCAACTCGGTATTACTGTGAGAGGTTTTTATTTACTTCTCAACTCACTGTGTTTGTTTGCCAGCCAGAATCTTCTGACACTGGTCCATAACTGGCAACAACTGCTCAGAGCAGACTCGTTTGTTTAGATGGACTCCAGTATTTTGTCCACAGGATGACATTCCTGTCGTACTTGACCCCAAGAAGCACCGGAAGTTCTACATTTATCGTCTGGTGATATTTGGGCTACTAAATAACAAACTTCTTGTCAACAACCATGTAAGATTTTAACTATTTATAACGTCTACACAGAAACACTCTTTAAAAAAGCTGAAATATTTATTTAATATTTACACATGACGCCTTAGGACCTGATTCTTGTTGTCATGCTGACATGTTTCTTCACGTTTCCTAGTAGCTAGAATCACTCGTCCATCTCTTAATGTTGAACCACTTGGAAACTGAATGCAACTGAATTGCAATTTGACAAAGACCCATTTTTTAATCGTTGATGAGGAGTTTTCTCCCTTTAAACAGGTTTTTAAAGGTAATTATGTCTGACCTTATTGCTGGCCAATTCAAAGCTGTTTCTTTTTCCTTTCAGCCATGCCGTTGGATGTGTGATGCTCTCAGACAGCTTTCTTGCCTTCTACAACAATAAGATCTTGCTGACTATATAGCACTGTGAATGCTCTTGGTTTTGAGAATCAAAGATTTATTTAACTGTTTTAGCTCATAGTTGCTGTTGATGTTTGTGCCACATAGAGCGCAGCCACCACATTCTGCTGCAAAAAAGCACACAACCCTAAAAAATAACCATGCAGTATAAAACATTCAGGCTTTTAAAAACAGTTTCCTGAATCACCACGAAATAACCTGAAGTTATTGAGAATAATGTTGTGTTAAGACAGTAGTAATCGATCAAGATACCTGATCACCAACAGGCCACCAACAGTGCAACACTAATTTGTCCGCCATGTTTTCAGAGGTGCAGACAAACTGTTTACAAAATTATTAAGGAAAGTGCTCAAAAGGAGGAATTTGGAATATTCAACCCAAAGAAATATGATGGCAGATTTATTAAAATGACATTTAAACATGGCCTTTGAATATAATCAAAAGAAAAAAATAGTTTCATCTTACTAATGGATAAAATGTAATATTTTACTCTTTACCGTTGCTTTTTTGTTAGTAAAGATCTCCTAAGTTAGTAAATATTAAATGATCCTTAAAACTTATCCTAAACTTAAAGGCTTTTACATTTAAACTAAGTATGTTTAGTTTAGAAATGAGACCATTTTAGCATACTCAAGGTAAAAAAAATAAATCCTGTTTTCATTTTTTGAAAGCATTGGATGTAGACATGCGGTGATGTGGTGTGTTATGGTGACACAGTATCACTGCATATCCTGAGCAAACCACTTTGGTGTTGGTCCTACTCTGACTAGCCTCTAGCTTGCCAGCTCAGTCCGATAATCTCTATTTTTCCAAACTGAGGTCATTCAAAAAGCTATCCATTGAGATAATTGTTAAAGTATTTCCTCTGAAATCCACTTCAAAGTATTTAAATTATCCATTTGATTTGTAGTTTATTTTATCATTGTTTGTGCTGATCCCTGTTGGCCAAAAAATACTCAGTGTTTCACGTCTACAATTGTAATAATTCAAGGCCAGCAGCGTTAGATTTGACTTTTTTATATTTAATCATTTTTCAGAATAGTAAAAATCAATTTAGACGCCTCCCCAAAGACAAACAGCAATAATTGGTTATCCTTTGACCTGTATGTTTTGACAGCCAGTTAGACCCAGTAACTGGTAAATTGTGCTTGTGAAATTTAGGGGAAAAAACAGGAAAACTGGGCTCCTGATCATTATTCACAGCTAGTTATTAGAGATGAGAGCTGAAAGCCACCACAGAAACATGTTAGGAGGACAAAGTGAGGGCATTATCCCCCATCCCCCAAGGACACTGACTCGGACAGACGTTTCTATTTTCCTTCGAATTACTGCCAAATCATTCCTCTCAAACATAATCGAGACGAGAGCGCTTCGTGCTTTTTGTGAGTATGTAACAGATCCAAATCACAGCTAAAATCTGTCTTTAGTTTAGGAGCTTCGCTCTCAGTTGCAGTCAGAAGAACTGTGAAACACACACAACAAGTGAAGGACGAAACACGAGTTGACATTAGCTGTCCAAATCAGAAACATGCATCCATCTATTCAGTTTCTGTAGCTGTCTTGTTCTGTTCTGGGTCATAGCCCGTCTCAGCAGTAAAGGAGTGGAGGTTAAAACCCTGGAAACATTTTCCTGTCATCACTTCCTCCACTCCTACAGTCATCACTCTGAGGAGCGAGCAGCTTATTTGAGTCATTCTGCATGTTTTATGAGAGTTACAGTCACCCAAACGGTAATAAAGCTAAAAAGCTGCATTTGATTCTGGGTGAATTCACTTGGAACACACGTAAAGTACTGTAATGTGCTCTCCAAAGAACAAAGCATTCTGCTTGTGTGTGTGTGTGTGTGTGTGTGTGTGTGTGTGTGTGTGTGTGTGTGTGTGTGTGTGTGTGTGTGTGTGTGTGTGTGTGTGTGTGTGTGTGTGTGTGTGTGTGTGTGTGTGTGTGTGTGTGGCATTATGTTCAGTTTGTTTGATCTGGTTGTGGGTGTGCACCTGCTGTGGAAATGTGGGTCCAGGAAGTAGGTGAAACCTGCCTTCTGTTGCTCTCTGGCAAGTTCCCCTAGCTGTGTTCGGTGTGATTTTTTTGTTTGTTTTTTTGGGTTGTATTTTTTTAGTGTAGGCATCACAAGTTAGTACATTGGTGAGTGTGTTTTGTGTGAAATCTCCACAGACTCGCAGTAAGATGGTGGGTGAGAAGTCCATGACAATGACAAGATGTCATCTTCTGCACGAATGGAATTATTAAAGGACAAACCCAAATAAAACTGGCTTCGCCTCTCCTTCGTTCACACATTACCTGCGTTTTCTCACTTCTTCTCTCTGTTTGTTTTTGTTTATCCTGCAGGATTTCTGAGCACAGGAGACCAGTCTGCAAAGGGGAACTATGGCTTGTTGGACCAGATCCAGGCTCTGCGCTGGCTCAATGAAAACATTGGCCACTTTGGAGGAGACCCAGAGAGAATCACCATCTTTGGCTCTGGCGCTGGCGCCGCCTGTGTGAACCTTCTCATCCTCTCCCACCACTCCGAGGGTGAGGTTCTTTTAGTCCCATTGCCACACTGTTGGTCCAAATCAGTCAGTAATTAATCCACCAATATGCACAATTAAAATTTTAATTCAACTGATCAAAAAATACACAATAACACCACTTTTTATGGTACTTAGTTTATCCTTATGTGGAACACAGGGGGACTTAATATTACTTGTTTACTTGTTATAATATTTCTATGGTCGACACGAAACATGTTCATGAAATTCTTTACTCCAAGTCCTTCTCAAATAAAGTGATTTATGCAGTTTCATTCTTGACAGTTTTGGTACCTTCCAGAATGAGTCATTTCAGTTGTCTGTCGCTTTAAGAAAACAAGCTGGAGCTGGCCACGCCCACCCATCCCCTTCTTTGGCTGCTATAAGCTGAGAGGCCCCAATACCTGCGAGGGGCTGAGAATTGAGTTGCTGTTTCACCAGCAACAGCTCTCTCTTTGAATGTTACAGTGGGTTCACTGTTAAATTTCACATTTGTGATATCATGAATGGAGACTTTTTGAATCAGCTTGTTTTAGGCAGATAATTCCTAACAACAAACGTGGACCAGGATTGTGCAACCCAATTCAAAATTATATTTTCATGCTGTAAACACTTTGGATGTTTTTCTGTAATTTAAAAACCCCTTAAAGATTTATAATATGTTGCTTCACAAAATAAGTAGTTCTGGTGACATTTTGTCTCAGGATTCCTTCTTCAGACTTTTTAAAGTAAGTGAAAGGAAGTTTATCTTGGTAGGTTTTTTTTTTCAACAAAAACAGATGAAAATAAAACTAACTAGACTTTAAAAAACTAGAACAATAAAGTTGAATCAGTGCGTACAAACCTAATAAACATGAAGGAGCTCAGTGATGTTCACTAAAGTAGAAGCTTCTTACTTATGGTCATTGTTTCTGATGATATGTTCTACACATAATACACGTTCCAAATCAGAATGTTTGTCAACGATGCAAAGCTACAAACATGACCTCCATCATTGTTGTTTCAGAATCTCACATTTAGGATTGATGTGACCTCGTTGAGTTTCGCCATAATGGTTTCAGAACAATCAGATTCCAATTCTTTGCTTTGAATCTAAATAAACATGCTAGCAACTGAGCAGCTAACAGAAGGTCCGTTGATGTTTTTGTATGGAGTCTGAGGCCCTGTCCACACGTAGCCGGGGATCTGCCAAAACGTAGAATTTTTCAGACCAGTTTGGGCAGTTGGAGTGAATAAATATAACGTATTGCACTAAACTGTCAGTTTCACATCTCTAAAACACCCACCAGATGTTTGATCACTAATCCTCTGATGTGATAGTGGTCAGCAGAGCCGAGAGAGAGAGAATCTCATTTTAAACCCCACCAAGAACTCAGATTATGTTATTACTTTAGTGTTAACCTTCACACTGTCAAAGTAACCCTGGTGTCATGGTCTGCATTCTGCATCTCCCTCATTTCTGCATCTCCCTCATGTGTCTCCTTGTCCGCACCCCCTCATGCGCCTCCCTGTGGTTCCCCAGCCCCCTCCAGGTTCTCTCTAGGTTTCCTTCACGTTTTCCCTTAGTCACCTCACTTATCATTAGTCTTCTGTTAGTTTTGATTTTCTCAGTATTCTCCCTTTAGTTCATTTTGCTCTCTTCCCCATTTTTAGGTCTGGTTTCCTCCCCTGCTCCGTTGTGCTCCTCCTCTCTGTTCACTAGTCTCACCTGTGCACAATTCCCTAATCACCCAGCCCTTGTGTATATAACCCTGTCTGCGTCTCAGTGTGTTGTCGGTCCAATGTTCGTGTCAGCGTTGTCCGTCCCCCCCCCCCCCCCCCCCCCCCCCGGTCACTAGGTTTTGCTACTAGGTATGTAGGTTTTTGCGCTTTGGATATTTTTGGACTTTTAGTTTTGTGGACATTAAAATAAAGGATTTTACGTTTTTTTTCTACCTGCCTTGTATTGTTCTGGAGTCTCTGCATCTTGGGTCCTAACCTCCTCCTGGCTCGCATCGTGACACCTGGACAAAAAAACATATATATATATATATATATATATACTAAAAGAAGCAAATCCTCAATATGCACAAGATAAGGAGCATATTTTTTGTCACGATTCAGAGATTATGGAGTGAAACATGAAACAGCAATTCATTTACTGAGTAGCCAATTTGTTAGATGGAGATGTGTTGCAGTTAATCCAGGTTATAAGTCTTTACTTACGTCTAAGTAGCGACTATAGAGTGTGATTGCTGCTACAATATGAAATACTATAAAGGTTCTTTGGTCTTCTGCATAGATAGTTTTTCACACTGTTTTTTTTTATTGATGGTGTCATTCGCAGGATTGAGCCTTCTATCTAAAATAAATGAAATAGGTTGTAATGTGGCGCTGTTTCTGAAACCAAAAAGTCAGGAAAAAGTTTCTTATATATTTGGAGGTACTGCATGTGTTTGCAGAGGAGGGATGAGATTAAGGAGACAGAGCTGCAGCTAAGAGGCTTCTTAATTGATTTCACAGGGAGAGGAGCGGGGGTGGGGCACATGCATGTGTGGAGGGGGGCTTAATTATTAATGACAGAATCTGCAGATAAAACAGGGGGACAGCAAGACTTTTTTTACATAACAGTGCAGCGATGCAACAGCGCAAACAGCTTTCTTCTCCCTCTTTCTATCTTTCTCACTTCATCCTCCTCCAGCTCACCACCGTGGGCTGCTTTTCTTGCTGCTTCTCTCGTTATCCATAGTGGGAAACACTCTATTTTCTGTCACTAATGTTCATAATGACTTTCTCTAGCAACTAAAAGCAGCAAGATATCTACTTCATTTTGTTTTATGCAACATATTCTTCAACCGCACCTCCTCCGAGATGTGCATTATTTAAGGCAGTTGCTATGTGAGGTCTTAAAGGACTCTCAGCTGTGAGCAAGAATGTGACAGCCAAAAAAAAATAAAATAAATGTCATGCTTTGTGTAGGCCTGTTCCAGAGGGCTATTGCTCAAAGTGGCTCAGCCATCTCCAGTTGGTCCGTCAACTACCGACCTCAGATGTACACCAAGATCCTGGCGAAGAAAGTGGGCTGCACTCTGGGAGACATGGCCGGGTTGGTGGACTGCCTACGGAGGAAGAGTTTTCGGGAGCTGGTGGACCAGGACATCCAACCAGCACGCTACCATATCGCTTTTGGTCCTGTGGTGGATGGTGACGTGGTGCCAGATGACCCTGAGATCCTAATGCAACAGGTAATGATGATGTTCTCAATTAGATCTCCATAGAAAGATTCATAAACTTTCTAAAAGAAAAAAATTTAACTTAGTTTGGCTCATTTTGGTTTTGCCATTTGTTCCTAGGGTGAGTTTCTCAACTACGACATATTGCTGGGTGTTAACCAGGGAGAAGGCTTGAAGTTTGTGGATGACAGTGAAGGAGAAGATGGAATATCAGCTGCCTCATTCGACTACACTATCTCCAACTTCGTGGACAATCTATATGGCTACCCTGATGGTCAGATCCTACCTATTGTCCTGCTTTCTTACTGCTTTTATTTGTTTTATATATTTATAGCTAGAGCATGAGAAACATTTATAGCTATAGGGTATTTAACAAAATCTTCAGCCAAATGCAGAAAGGCATTTGACATTTTATTCATATACATTTACCATCCTGCACATGTTAGCTGTCCTTTGCTCCTACACACCTGGTCGACATGAATGAGTTAACAGGCCTGTGCAGAGTTAAACATGGTAAGCAGAAGATTAAATTACTCCATTCAGGTGTGGTAGAGCAGGAAACACAGTAAACTAGCCGGACGGTAGCCGCTGAGGACTGGAGTTGGTGACACCTGCTACAAAGCATTTCAGTTGATGATCTCTCCTAGACCGTAGCAAAAACTTGCTTTTTTTCTATTTTCATTTAGCTGTAAATGTGCTGCCAAGCAACTGTGGGATTTGTACTGTTGGTTGAATATATGCCAATCTTTAGCTCTCAGACAGGCATTCACAGGTTGAAGTCCAGAAAAGAGATAATGGTCAACCCAATGACTGCAGGTGGCCAGGGGCCTCATTTTTAAAACTTTGTGTAGAATCCTTACTAAAACTCTAAATAAAATTGTTACGTAAAATAATTTTCCAACCTATAAAACACAGCTTACACACGGCTCCACGCAGTTTCTGCTTAACAAACCAGACCTGTCTGAGAAATGTGCTCAGGTGTTTTTGGGTCATATCCCGCCTCCTACACCAGCTTTCTACCATAAACAGCCAAAATATTATGAATGGTGTGCATAGAAATAAACCTGCTTATTGATGGCATTGTTTCAGAGATGGGGGGATGTCTATAAGTCTGAAAATGTGTTCTCACGCCAGATCCAAAGTTTGCTTAAATTTGCGAACATTTTTCTGTCAAGCTTTATTTTTGTTTGCATGGAAAGTCACTTAGCAATTTTCAGACCCAGATTTGTGCATAAGCAAGTTTTATAAATGAGCCCCCTGGTCCTTTTTTGGAAATTGCTCTTTGCTAGGAGTTTATTCAGATCAAACTTTGCAAACGCAGGCTCATCTACTGTGATCTTTTGGTAAAGAAGGCTAGTTTTCATTTCAACCCTTGCAAATAAGCCACACTTGTTCAACATTTTTAACAATTTAACATTTAACTAATAATTTATAGTTTTTAGAGTTGAAGATATGACTACATTTGGGGCATGGGGGGTATTACATGGTCTTAATTCATCTGCCTGGAACACTAACTCCTATTGAGATCAGATGCTTTACTACATGTTTTCTGTCTTGTTTAGCCTAGACTAGACATGAAAACTGCTGGAATGTTTGCTGTAATAGAAGTGCTTAAAATTCATTGATGAGGCACACACTTATAATAATACTACTACTACTACTACTACTACTACTACTAATAATAATAATAATAATAATAATAATAATAATAATAATAATAGGGATGCACCGATCAGGTTTTTTGCTGCCGATCACCGATACCCATATCAAAGAATGCTGATCACCGATACCGATCACGTGGATTGGCCAGAAATTTTCTACAACATTATAATGAGTGCTACAAACTACATAATCTGGGAATAAAGGAAATGTAACCTAATCTAAAATGGTCTGTCGGTCTGCTTTGATCTATTTTGAAAACTCTGATCAAAACCGATAGGGGTGCTATCGGCCGATTGGGATCAAATGCCGATCCATCTGTGCATCCCTAAATAATAATAATAATAACATTAATAATAATAACAACAACAATAATAATAATAATAATAATAATAATAATAATAATACATTTTATTTAAAAGCGCCTTTCAGGACACCCAAGGTCACTTGACAGGAAAAATACATTCAGTAAAATACATTAAAACAACAATAAAACACAATGAAGAAAAGGATATAGAAAAAAAAACAATTCAAATAAAATCAGAGGTTATAGGCAGATTTGGACAGGTGTGTCTTGAGTCTGGATTTGAAGAGGGTGAAACTGTCAATATTTCTGATGTCTGGAAGGAGTGAATACTAGAGATGGGGAGCAGAGTGGCTGAAAGCTCTGCTCCCCATGGTAGTGAGACGGGCAGAAGGAACAGCAAGATGGAGGGAGGAAGATGATCTGAGGGAATGGGAGGGGGTGGTAATACTTATGTCTGAAATTTATGGAGGAGAGAGGTTGTGGATGGCTTTGAAGGTATGGAGGAGAATCTTGAAGATGGACCTGAATTTAACTGGAAGCCAGTGAAGCTGCTGGAGAACCTGGGTGACGTGGTGAAAGGAAGGGGTTCTGGTGATAATATGAGCTGCTGAGTACTGGACCAGTTGAAGTTTATGAAGGAGTTTGTAGGGGAGACGAAAAAGAAGTGAACTGCAGTGATCGAGACGGGAGGTGACGAGACTGTGGACAATAATGGCGGCAGTGTGAGGGGTAAGGGAGGGGCGGAGATGGTTTATCGATCGAAGATGGAAATAGGCTGACCGAGTTATGTTATTGGCGTGAGCATGAAAAGAAAGTGAAGTGTTTAATGAGTGGACTAGAGGTGGACTTTTTAAATGCAGAGTGACAGGTCTTTAAAATTCTTTAAAAATCGTACAATGTGATTTCCTGATTTTTTAATCCTTCGAGCCAGAGCGTTCCCTAGTTGGGGGACAAACAAGTGTAGTAGCAAAAGTCTCTCTCAGTGGGAATGTAATTACAATGTGAATTTCAGACCCCTAAATCATTTCTAAGTGGGAGAACTCGCTCCTAACTGTACATATGTTGGTTTTATATCACTTCATTTTGACATTTTGCCATACACTCTGTCATTATATGCCCACTTATGTAATTTTGTTTTTTCCAAGGTAAAGATATCCTGAGGGAAACCATCAAGTTTATGTACACAGACTGGGCTGACAGGGACAACAGTGACATGCGTAGGAAGACCCTTCTGGCTCTGTTCACGGACCACCAGTGGGTGGCCCCGGCTGTTGCCACTGCCAAACTGCACGCCGAGTTCCAGTCACCAGTTTACTTCTACACCTTCCACCACCACTGTCAGACTGAAGCAAGACCAGACTGGGCAGATGCCGCCCATGGAGATGAGATCCCTTATGTGTTTGGGATTCCCATGGTCGGGGCCACTGACCTCTTTCCTTGTAACTTCTCCAAGAATGACATAATGCTCAGTGCTGTAGTCATGACATACTGGACCAACTTTGCAAAGACTGGGTGAGTAAAAGGCCATACTTAAATGCATCAACATTGATGCATGTATGCAGGGGTGGATTTAGGACTGAAGAAGATCCGGGGCTTAACACACACACGCGCGCGCACACACGTGACACGTACTAGTCAACATCATATATATTTGTCTTGTACCACATAATTGTTAATCTGAAGTTACATATTAAGCATTTTCAGGGCAGAGTATTGTTCCTGTTAGTGTTTAGTGTGAGATGATAGTAAATATTCCCTTTTTTCTCCAACAACTAGTAAGCTAACTTTAGACAAACCAGCAGCACAACAAATATTTTCAAATAAGACTCACAAACCTGATTCAACACCAGTCTCATCAAAGCTGGGGTTCTGTCATTGTACTTTTTGTCTAAAAAACGTCCTTATGTCCATCTTCACTCATGCGTTTCAGGCAGAGACTGTAGAAAAAGCCGGCTGCTGAAGGGCTTCTTCTACAGTGGTGGAGGCTCCGGCAGGCTGTATACAAACTACTGCCAGCTGCTCCCTCTCTGTTGGACTTTGGTACTGCATGTTACTTCCGCGATTTAGACCCGGGGCTTTTCATAAAACATCCGGGGCTTGAGCCCAAGTAGCCGGGCCTAACGCCGCCCCTGCATGTATGTAATAATAATAGTGACCTTTTGAAAAACATCCATGTATATAATCATGTAATGTGAACGTGTCATTGTAAGGGTTTTGAACAAAACGTTCTTATATACTGTTACAAAATGTTAGAGATCAGAGCTGTAATAAGGTACACATATTATCCTTTGTTATTCTCAGACTAGCTGTACGCTTCTCAGTCCTGTTGGATATAAACACTGTTTTTCTCAAGGCTGTCTAGGAAGCTATCAATGACTACGATAATGATAATTTATTGCATTTGTGCAAAAGGTAGCTCAAAATGGTTGAGAAGTTCCTTTTAGTTGGTCCAAAATCAAATCTCTGATAGATTTATCTGATGTCTACCAACTTATTTCCAGCAAGTATAGTAGCTACTGTACCTATAGTCAGGGATGTAGGACTGTGTCAGTCAGTTTGCCAAAGGTGTATTTATGGCCATGGATTCATTTCCAGTTCTTTTCTTTATTGTGGTAAACACATTAAACACAGTCAGCACACCATTTCTCAGAGATTTAAGACTTATGACTGTTATTTGAGTAAAATGGAAAAATACATAGAAACAGAACCAACAAGTCAAAAACCCCACCAAGATCTGTATGTTCTACTTCAAGTACCAGTTACAAGTATAAATGATAAACATACAAGAAGTGAATCTCCTCTGGCAGTTAGTCCACTTAATGAACACTGTGGTTTGTTTAGATTGTGCGTAGTTGATGGTGAAGGTTCTCAGCCATCCAGGTCATGGTAATCTAAAGCGGTTCAAATGAAGGTAACCTTGAAAACTTTTCCCTTCTTATCCGAGGGGCTTGTCAATGTCTGACTGGAATTTGAGAAAGTCAAGCTTATAAATTGTAGCTGTCTGTTGTTGCTTCATGACCTGAAACTACCTATGAATACCCCCCGAGAAGTTTTCAATGTTGCTAGGCTTTGTTGTGTTGGATTGTTGTTTTGATAAGATGCAGGAGACTGTGAACTAGACTGAAACTGTTTTGGAATCAGGTATCAGTAGTCGGGTTCTGCATATGAGTGATCAGTCTAAACACTTAAGACTGGCTCTGTTTATGCATATGCAAACCAAATATAAAAGAATAAAACAGAAGAAGGAATAGCCCGTGTAATTTTGCTGACCATTATAATAAAACAAAACTTTCAGGTTGTGTGCTTTATATTGTGTCTGCAAAAATTAGGGGAACACAGAGACTAGAAATAGCTTTTTTACTCTTGTTTGCACAAAGAAACTTGAGGCAGAAAATTAAAAAAAGAGGCAAATGTTTGGAAAATGTAAGTGTCAGAGCAGACAAATCTTCAAGACTCTTTCTCAGAAGGCAAAGATTGTTGAACTTCTCAGCACCTCATTAGCTGTGCATGTGCACCTGCTAATTCATGCAATTATCCAATCAGCTAATAGTAGCATTGGAATAAATGAAATCCTGAATATAAAGACAGTTAATCAGGAGAGTGAGTTAATATTCATGTCAGAAATAATCTCACGTTTTTAGATGCACAGTATTATGTCAGTTTGAATATTGTATGTGACGTTAGTCTCTGTGGTGAACGCCGGATGCAGCTTTACAAAATTAACTTGATTCTTTTGTTTTTCCAGGGATCCTAACCTCCCCGTTCCTCAGGACACAACATTCATTCACACTAAGCCTAACCGTTTTGAGGAGGTCATCTGGACTAAATTCAGCTCCAAAGACAAGCATTATTTGCATATTGGCCTGAAGCCTCGTGTCAGAGATAATTATCGTGCCAACAAGGTGGCTTTTTGGCTGGAGCTGGTGCCTCATCTCCACAGCTTACATGATGAACTCATCAGGGACATCACCACACGACTGCCTCCTGGAGGCACCGGGCGCCGAAAGGTCCCTCATGGTGGTACGCGCTCCACCCAACACCCGGTGATGTCAACCTACCCACCAGAGCCCGAGCCTGACGGTTCAGAGAGACCCCGCTACTCACCTTTCCCCAGCGAGACGAGGGACTACTCCACGGAGCTCAGCGTGACGGTAGCTGTTGGTGCTTCGCTACTTTTCCTAAATGTCCTGGCCTTTGCTGCACTTTACTATAAACGGGATAAGCGTCATGAACTGATGCAGAGACGACACCGTCGGCTCTCGCCACAGCGCGGCACGATGATGGGTATGGGTGTTGGCATGGGAGTCGTAGGGGCCCCGCCGCACAATGACCTGGCGCTCAGTCAGGAAGAGGAGCTTATGTCACTGCAGATGAAGCAGCAGAGGGTGGAGTTGGAGCACGGGACACCTCTCCCTTCCCGTGGCATTCATGGTGACCTGGAACCTCTACGGCCTCCCGTGTGCCCACCCGACTACACGCTAGCCCTACGGCGGGCTCCAGAGGATGTGCCACTGATGACGGCAAACACCATTACCATGATCCCCAGCACCATCAGCAGCATGCAGCCGCTCCACCCCTTTAACACTTATCCCCCCATCCCAGCCCCGTCCTCCACACCTGTCCCCAGCCACAGCAACAACGCCCTGCCACACCAACACTCCACCACCCGGGTATAGGACAAGGCACAAGCTCTGCTACCCTCACAGAGATGCACCACAGAAACTGCTGCATCCAAACGCCTCCCTCACCAACCTCTACTCTTATTTTCTATCTTTTTGTCTTCATCAAGCCCTCAACTAAAGCTGCAGTTTGTAAGATCAGAAGCAGTGAAATACCTCTGAGCTATAATCATAACTCAAAGGGGACTTGATTGAAAAGCTCCTTTGTAATTCTGGGCACATACTGCTTTTCCTTGCTCATGCTCTATGAATGTTTGGTGCTTAGGAAGGTCGCCAAACTTGCCGCTTGAACCGTGTAGCTTCCTCAACGAGGTGTCATAATCAGTCAGAAATTTGATGTGTCGCTCGGTTGTTTGGACCATTCATGAGTGTGTGTGCGTGTGCCTGCGTGTGTGTGTGTCAGTGCAAAACAATGTTTATCGAAGAATACCCACACACTTTGCCATTCATTTAGTAAAAAGATGACACAGTAGCGAGCAGCTTTGTATGAGGCAGCATATGTCCCAACAAGCTGTCTTTCATAAAGCACTGATTTCTTGAAGCTTACAAATTGCAGCTTTAAAGGCCCAATCTGGAAGTGAAAGTTGGCACCCTGTAGACAGAGCTGTGTTCCAACAGCTGTCTTCTTTGTGATTTTAGAGATTATTGTTTAGCGTAAAATGTATTGGCAGGGTTGGGAATTAAATAATAGTGTTTGACAGCAGCACGTGATTAATTACAGCCATTGTTAAAGCGAAATCATTGAAGTCTAGTTTAGATTAGCTTGTTTTTTGGTATTTATTTTCATGCTATGTGAGCATTAGGGGTATAATGGTACAGAAGTTTGGGTTCATTGATGTACACCACAAATAGGGTGCACGTTTTATTTAAGGAGCCAGTTCATTGAGAAACTGCTTTTTTATTATTGTTATTTGGAAAATATGATCGGTCATTGAGTTTCAGATGCAGGCTGAAAGTGAAAATGGTCTTCTACCCCTATTTCCTGCATTAGCCGCCTAAAGAAAACAGACCGTAAAACAATGAAAAAGCCACACAAACCTACAGTCAGGTCATAAATATTGGGACATCGACACAATGCTAACATTTTTGGCTCTATACACCGCCACCATGAACATCAAATGAAATGAACAAGATGTGCTTTAACTGTTGACTGTCAGCTTTTATTTGAGGGTATTTACATCCAAATCAGGTGAACGGTGTAGGAATAACAACAGTTTGCATATGTGCCTCCCACTTGTTAAGGGACCAAAATTAATGGGACAATTGGCTTCTCAGCTGTTCCATGGCCAGATGTGTGTTATTCCCTCATTATCCCAATTACAATGAGCAGATAAAAGGTCCAGAGTTCATTTCAAGTGTGCTATTTGCATTTGGAATCTGTTGCTGTCAACTGTCAAGATGAGATCCAAAGAGCTGTCACTATCAGTGAAGCAAGCCATCATTAGGCTGAAAAAAAACAAAAGAACCCTATCAGAGAGATAGCAAAAACATTAGGCGTGGCCAAAACAACAGTTTGGAACATTCTCAAGAAGAAGGAACGCACCGGTGAGCTCAGCAACACCAAAAGACCCGGAAGACCACGGAAAACAACTGTGGTGGATGACTGAAGAATCCTTTCCCTGGTGAAGAAAACACCCTTCACAACAGTTGGCCAGATCAAGAACACTCTCCAGGAGGTAGGTGTATCTGTGTCAAAGTCAACAATCAAGAGAAGACTCCACCAGTGTGAATACAGAGGGTTCACCACAAGATGTAAACCACTGGTGAGCCCCAAAAACAGGAAAGCCAGATTAGAGTTTGCCAAACAACATCTAAAATAGCCTTCACAGTTCTGGAGCAACATCCTATGGACAGATGAGACCAGGATCCACTTGTACCAGTGATGGGAAGAGAAGAGTATGGAGACGGAAAGGAACTGCTCATGATCCTGAGCATACCACCTCATTAGTGAAGCATGGTGCTTGAAGTGGCATGACGTGGTCATGTATGGCTGCCAGTGGAACTGGTTCTCTTGTATTTATTGATGATGTGACTGCTGACAAAAGCAGGATGATGAATTCTGAAGTGTTTCAGACAATATTATCTGCTCATATTCAGCCAAATGCCTCAGAACTCATTGGACGGTGCTTCACAGTGCAGATGGACAATTACCCAAAGCATACTGCAAAAGCAACAAGAGTTTATGAAGGGAAAGAAGTGGACTGTTTTGCAATGGCCAAGTCAATCACCTGACCTGAATCCGATTGAGCATGCATTTCACTTGCTGAAGACAAAACTGAAGGGAAAATGCCCCAGGAGCAAGCAGGAACTGAAGAGTGTTGCAGTAGAGGCCTGGCAGAGCATCACCAGGGATGAAACCCAACATCTGGTGAAGTCTATGTTCCAGACTTCAGGCTGTAATTGACTGCAAAGGATTTGCAACCAAGTATTGAAAATGTATAAGTTTGATTTATGGTTCTTATTCTATCCCATTACTTCTGGTCCCTTAACAAGTGGGAGGCACATATGCAAACGGTTGTAATTCCTACACCGTTCACCTGATTTGGATGTAAATACCCTCAGATAAAAGCTGACAGTCTGCAGTTAAAGCACATCTTGTTCGTTTCATTCGATATCCATTGTGGTGGTGTATAGAGCCAAAAATGTTAGCATTGTGTCGATGTCCCAATGTTCATGGATCTGACTGTATGTCACACTGTAAATTAACATTTATTGACTTATACATCTCCCCTCACGACAGGTAAGGTTGTGTTGATTTAGCATCCAAGAGAGAGCCGAGCACCTCTCGGCTAGTAGAAGCTAACCATTAGCATTAGCAACTCCACAACACGGCAGAACTCCTCCAGGCTTGTTATTTTTGGAGATAAAACATCAATGATGCAAAGCAAACTGAGTCTGGGTAGTTGATTTTCTTTTAGGCAACTAGAAGTGAGATATCCGAGTATCATGGATATGAACTCAAAATCCAGCCATTTTCTGCCCCTCACTTATTCAGCTAATTTCAACTTCCTATAAGAGTTAAGCCTGGTGCATACTGGAGACAGACGCGCCGCAGTTTTGAGAAGTCAAGTGGTCACACAGGACACACCGCTGCGCGCTTCTTGGAAAGTTGTGCGATAGTCACAAAATCACGTGCGACTTCATAACAGAAAGCAGGAAGTGACTCTATTGTTTGTGCTCGATCAGACTCAACGCCGTCTTTTGTGACACTCTAATTCATTAAAAATGGTTATGTATGCTATTGATTAGAACATTTTAAGATCAATGTACTTTAAAGTTATCTGCGGCTGGGTTTGTGCCGTAAAGCTGTTCCGCGTCGTAATGTTTGTTGTAAAGTACTCCACAACTGCGCTCCCCGTGTAGCCACTCTCGTTAGCTATAATGGCTTCTATTTAAAATGACGGTGTGGCGAGTCTATCTCCGGTGTGCCCTAGTCCTAACGTCAGAGCTTTTTTCCACAGAGATCGACTCACAAAGCATTCATTTCCACTAGAGACCACAGCAGATGTAATGAAATAGCGAGTGGATTAGAGCTTTAACTACATGTTGCTAATAGCTACAACAAAAAAGAAGCAGAGGAAGAACAAAAGCGTGAAAACGTTTCCTGATTGTGATCCGCGACAGCAGTGGATGTAAACAGTGGCAAGCAGTTATTCTTACTGTATATTTAGTTGTTTTTGGTTTAGTAAAGAATCATTTCTCTACACTACGACAACGTTTGCTGTGAGTGTTTCTAGTTTGAATTTTCTATTTTCACATTTGGAGGTATTTAGTTAAATATCTTTTTTATTGTGATATTTCCTTAACCTGGGAGAGAGAAAAACCTTTTTGGAGTTGATCACAGTTTCTGTTGGACCTGTGTCTCATAGGACAACGTTTACACTATTTAATAGTGAAGACACCAGTTGACAAACTCTGCTTTACTGTCCGTGGCCGGCTTAAAACCTCCTCACTTGCACCTGCAGTTAGTTTTTCTGACTCTGCTTCTGAGAGAATGTCTCCCCAAAAAAAAGAAAGATGCATGTGTTTCTTTTTCCTGGTGTGGTAAACTTTGACTCAGGCGTATTATTACACCCCTAAGGAACATCGAACTTAATTTCTAAATCAATAGAATCTGTGATGATTTAAAAACAGACATTTCCAGATTGGGGCTTTTAACTGGTGGGCATTTTTAGAGAAGAACCGAATCTCATTCATGGTGCAACCTGGAATCCAGGCTGACCATTAGAGCTCGCTTCATCTGTGCCTCACAGGCTCTAAACACACTCATTACTTTATTTGTTTCTCACTCATTATCTCTCTGTCTCTATCCTCCACCCCAGCTCACTAGCAGCTTCTCGTCCTTCTGCCTCACACTCTTTCTCCTCTCTCCACATCTGCTCCATGTAGCTCCTCCGATCAAACGACTGACACGATCCATTTTTCTCTTTCTTCACAATCACTTCTAGACTTTTTTTTTCTTTTGGAGTCTTTTATACAGAAACACAAATGTATATGATGTATTATTAATAAATTGTAAGGATATGAATGAAAAAAAAATTCTGATATCTCGTTTTTAACCAGCATTCTTGGTGCCAAGTACTGTGAAAAAGCTCCTCTTTCGCCGGCGTCCAGAGGAGCGCCTGCAGAGGTCCATCCTGTCTGTATCTTACAAAAGGAGTTACCATCAGAAAAAGTGCCAAGCCCTTTATCTTTTTTTTTTTTTTTATCAGACACACACACTTCTTTTGTTTAATTACACTCAATGTTGCACTGTGGCTGGTTTCTTCTTTTTAAGAGAAGTCAGAGTCAATGTATCCTCATTTAAAAACAAAAGTACGTTAAGTTTTTGACTGCATTGCTGTGTGGGATTATTGCATGATTTAATTTTTTATTTTATTTTACCATGTTGGCAGAGTTTGTCATTTTGCCTTGTTTTTCATATTTTAAAAAATATGTCCTTTCTATTTTAATATCAGCTGCACTTTGTGGTACTTCAGAAAGTATTCAAAATATTAAAGAGAATATTGTGTAAAGATATGATTATTATAACAAAGAGAGTAAATATGTCCTCTTTATTTTTTTCATTTCTTAACACTGAGGCTGTGCCGCAAAAACTACCAGAGACTGAGGACATTTTTTTTCATTTCCCCCTTTTAACGCTTTGCCGTTTTTCTTTCTTTTACAACTGTCCAGTTTGCACAGTCACCGTCTCTCTGTCTCATCGGAAGATCGCACTTTTTACGTTACAAAAAAATGATCTTAACAACAGAAAGACAAGACTATTTTACATGAGTATTTTAAGGTTTTTGTCCGTGATCGACACGAACCGTATGCTTCAAGCGTTCGAGGACTGCTTGATGGTTATCTTTTCGTCTGCTCTTTTGTTGTCTTCACGGTTCTGACTTCTGCACGGCGGGATTAAAAGAAAAACTTATATTTATGGCCAAAGGACGAGAGTCATGAAACGTCACATCTTTCGCACAATTGCACACACAGATGGGTTGTACTTTGGACAAATATATATTTAAAAAAAACAACTTGTGACACTAGGACAACGCTGGGAAAGCAGTGATGATGAAACAGTTTTGTGCGATTTGCACTGCGGATGCATTAAAAAAAACCTGATTTAAGAGACACTACTCTCACACAACATGTACAACAACAAGCAAGGTGAGTGGGATGAATTCCCCCTTTCCTTGTTGATGTCTTGCATCCCGTGTGCTCGGAATATGGGCACTTTGGAAATCCAGACTGCCATCTCTCACGCTGGACTAGAGCGAGCTGCAAGGACACCACAGATAAAGACAAACTGTACATTTGATTTTTTTTATTATTATTATTTGAAATGTAAGAAAACAAACTGAAATTTGTAAATATTATGTTTGTTGTTTGGTTTGAATGATTGACCGGATTCTTTTCTTTGTGACAACAGGTGCAAGTTTAGATGATTTACATGATTTTAGCGCTCATGCTTACAGTCAGATTGATTATTTAATTGACCTCAAGCTCAAATTTTAATATTCAATGGGCAACTGAGTTAAAAAAATGAATGGATGAATTAAAAAAAACAATCACAGCATGGTTGAAGTGAGCAAACATGAAAAGGGAATGCTTCTGGCTCTGAGTAGCTTGAAAATAGTGATGCTCTTACTGAACTCATGGTCATCCGACAAATACAGTGCACACTTGGTACCGTCCCATCAATCATGGAGGCAGCTTTTGAATGAAATGAGATCTTTCACTGGTGAAAAAAGCCAAAGAACAGCTGCAGAAGACATATGAGGAGATTGGAAATGATGGATATGGTATGATGGTTACAGAGCAGGCCACAAATGGGGGAATTTAACTTGTGATGCTGTTGGATTTAATTGTTCTTGTCTCACGTTGTCTTGAGCTTACAGTATACTCATGTGACTGGAAGGTTGTGAAATCCTTTGTACTCTTTTGGTCTTATTTCAGACTATAATCATGGTGATTGTTTTGCTAACTTTTGCAATTTTGTCCACACTCTATATGGGGTTATTGACCCAGAAGTTTAATGGGAGTTAGGGTCTCTCTCTCTCTCTCTCTCTCTCTCTCTCTCTCTCTCTCTCTCTCTCTCTCTCTCTCTCTCTCTCTCTCTCTCTCTCTCTCTCTCTCTCTCTCTCTCTCTCTCTCTCTCTCTCTCTCTCTCTCTCTCTCTCTCTCTCTCTCTCTCTCTCTGTCTGTTCTGAAAATACAGATTTGGACCAGCCAACCGCTAATGGAAGCACACTCACCAAGTCTACATGTTTACACTACAGGTGATGTCGGCTCACGAAGGAAGGCGAAAGCATCACGTGAATTCAGATATCTTATTCTTGCAACATCTGATGTCAGACGTGAAAGTGAAGGCTTGCACCTGTTTGTCTGTTTCATTTAGTCTGATTCAGTAACCTGCTTGCGGCGCAAGATGCAGTGCAAGTACATAATGACCAGAAGGGTTTGAAAGGATTCAATTTAATATTTCAATTTCAAATAGAGGCTATTACACACTGTATGTTGTGTATCTGAACTGGAAAACATTAAAAGACATTCTTAAACAATTACATTGGTATCGTTTCTGCACAGATTACACAATATGTTAGAACCCTGGAGGTGAAAAAAACCTTAAAATATATAAAGTTAAGGCTAAACGAAAGAAATTGATTCATCATAGCCAATTATTTTAGCAAGGCATTGCAAACTGACCCATATTTTTTTACATCTGTTAATTGTACGTAGAGCCAATTTATCATTTTCTGTTTAGCTTCATCCAAACTTCTAATGGGACAATTCATATTTTTAAGTGGATTTCTTAGGAATTATGTTTAATATTTTATTGATAGGCTTCATGGTGATACGGTTGGAGGCACTTTTGCCTTGCAACAAGAAGGTTTCATGTTAAATCCCTGCTGCTGCATTTCTGCGTGGAGTTTGCATGATGCCCCCATAGAAAGTTACTGTTGAGTTAAGTGACAGTACTCATCCACCAGTGGGGCTGCATCCCTGACAACCTCCTACTTCCCTTGCAAATATTCTGGAGGTACTTTTACATTTTCAGCTCAGTCAAGCCTGGATTTCAGCAGGATCAGGAAGGGTCATGTAGTAAAATACTACTACTACTACTACTACTACTACTACTCCTACTGTAGAGATGTAATTCCATATGGGACTTTAAAATATAAATCAGGAATTTTTAAATAAAATCTGTTTCCATATTCTATTTTTTTTTATTTCTTTTTATTCTTACATTTTTCATTTCAAACCTGATTTATGTTAATTCAGCTGTATTGCAGCAAACCGAGCCACACAGGTAACCACGATCATGCCTTCTGCTGCTCTGGCACTAGATGGCAGCGTGACGGTTAAATGTACATTAAACTAGTGGAAAATTACAGGATGTCACATAAGAAGCCTTTAATTCAAGAAAAATTATCTAACAGTTTTTGATGCCTCTTGTGATTAGAAAAATTAAGATTTTACCAGAACCTATACTTAATTTAACTGGCCATGTGATATCTTGTTATTTTTTGTTTTTGTGACCAGGTTAGTGATCGGTGTCTATCCAAAACGTAATAAAAAGAAAATAAAAAGACTGATGGAGGATTTATTATTACATTCAAAAGACTGAAAGATTAAATATGCTAAAAAAAAATACAATCAAAGAATCTAACTTCAATGAGCTGCAGAAGCTACTTTTATTGTCAGATTTGTAGAAACATCTAAAGGAATTTTCAAAATCACATATAGGTTTAAAATACAGAAAACCTCCATTTTATTTTATTTTAGTTTATATATATATATATATATATATATATATATATATATATATATATATATATATATATATATATATATATATGCATATAATAATTGTTTAGCTGGAGCAACAACAAAAAACCACATTAAAGCAAATAAAGTAGAACATTTATTAAATTAGATCGTTTTCATGGCCTCCCACTCAACAGTATTCTTATCTCTGGCTCAAAAAATGTGTTGCCCTTTAGTGTGAAAGAAAGATACTGAAAAACAAGCCTCTCAAAACTTTTATTCATAAGTTAAAGTAGATTTTTCTCTTTAAAATCAAAAACTTTAAACCAATTTAAACTCCACTGCAGTCTGAAGAGCCATCAGATGGTGTGCTGCAGGTAAAGAGGCAGAGGTGATGGAGAGATGCAGTTGTCATAGAAGATCTGAAGGTTCTGATCAACATCCATGTGATTTTTGAGACAAATTTCAAGGTCCTGGACTGTCATCTCGTTGACGCTGTTGCTCTCTTTGGCGTTTTTGGCCAAGGCTGCGTGGGACAGGAATAGGACGCGCACGACGTGAGGCGAGTTGCGATCGTATTCAGTGCAGCAGTAAGCAGACCACACGTCTTCTGGGATGGCCACTCGGTCTTGGTTGTTGCGGCGGATCATGTTACCCCTTGTGGCTACTCCAGTGACAATGTAGGCGGTGCCACGGCAGAAGCTGTTGAGACGGACTCGAATTCGCTCCTCGTACTCACGCCAGGGCCCGATGTTGAACTCTCAGATCTCTGGGACCACATTAGTCAGAGTATAGGTTGCGGCTCGGTCATGAGGAGTGGACTGGTGCTGGTCTGGATTCAAGTGGCCCCGTTCATAAAGTACAACGTCAGAGTAGTCATCTAGCACTGCTTGGCTGTCCTCAAACTTCATGTGGAGGTAACCAGTAGGGAAGGGCAACATGTTCCCATTTCCATCAATTTCTGCAAGCAGAAAAGTCATAGAAAGGAATTCATGAAAACATTTTACGTTAGTAGCTCAAATACAAATGTAAACCCTTTCTTTAAGTTTGTCTTTTATGTACAGACTTGTAGATGAATTTCAGCTCATCTCAACAACTTCTCAAAACAACTTCATTACCAAGCCAGCATGCATAGGAGGGCCCCACATGGATATACATGGATAAATCATATGGGTGCCAACAGGGTTTGTGCACAGTTAGGATGGCCCCACAGGGATGCATGCTGGCTGATGAAACATGAGTAGGAATTCCGTATTAATCAGGGCAGTATTCCTAAAAGACTCACCTGTGGTTCATACATCCAAGGGTAGTCCACACGTCTGTCGCCTTCGGTTTTCTTGAAGGTATGAGCTGAGTAAACAGGGATCCGCTTCTGTGGATCATACAGGGTAACATATCGTGGTTTGTCCGCGTAGCGTTGACAGATCTTCTTCAGTTTGGTGTTGACGATCCCTCTCGACGGAGTCCCCATGTACAGAGAGGCTTTGCATCTCTCTACGTGATTGAAATCTAGAACAACCGTTGCCAAGGAAAGGTAATTCCTTGCAAGTAGAAGAACTAAAGGAACTAACATCTCCATGTTTGCAGCGTCTCCTCAGTGTCTTGTACTGTGACTTGTGTGAAACCCAGCTGTGCTTGCAGTTATGATTAAAATATCACACAGCTGATATGCAAAGCAAGGCGATGTGCTCCAAAAAGACACGCCATGAGTCTGTGTGGGCGTCAGTTGCAGCACCAATTCCACTGCTACACTCAGACAGAGATGTCATTGCAGCAGCCATGCAGAGTTTTTGGGGTTCAGCCTGCAGTTTCTAATCCTTACAGTGGAGGTTTTGGATCAACAATTGTTCAGGCCACAAATGTACTGACTCCACTAGAAATAAAGTCATCAAGCTTCCTTTTGATCTCTAGATGTCACGCCAAACTGTACCAAATAATTTCAAACCTGGTGATATTACAATTGGACACTTAGGAATGTGTTTCACGTGTGATTGTAAAATGCAAAACTGCTTAATCTGTCTCAGTAGTGAACAAAAGGCCCGCAGTGACCGGAGATACTACCAAAGTCCATTTGAATGATGGAGAAGCCAAAACGAAAATAGATAAAGTGTAAAAGTTTCACCGCCTGCTGAAAAAGACTGGGTGTACTCCAGGCATTGTATGGTCTGTGAATATATGTTCTTCTCTAATATTACAAAATTAAAACCCATTTTCAGAAAACAGTTTAGTATAATAAGGTTTATCAGCTTTCATTAAGGTGTTCTTACTTATGATTGCACTGGAAATATCTGAAACAGCATTTCTGGTTCTAAAGGACATTACAGTTTTTGTTTGAATGTATTTATTTACTTATTTAAATCCACTTGGATAAACATTTCTCCAGCTTTATGATGTCGGATCAATGTTGCCTGGTGGGTTTCTATCATATCAGACGAATTCAAACACGACCTGAATTAGAAGACACGTTCACCTCACCCGGAGGCCTTGTTTGCATGGAAACAACGATTTTTAAAACAGCCTTTCCTGGAAAAATCTTCATTCATAAGAAAATCCCAGACGCAAGCTGAAACGTCCTTTTAAAACACATCATTTCACAGCTCCTAAAACATTGTTTTCATGCAGATGCAAGCATGAAACTTTCTAAGTAGCATGCTGTAGTTCTTTTTTAAAACACAGAACAGTTTTGTTACCCGTTTTCCCGCTATTTCGTTTGTGGCTGCAAACGAAACATAGCGGGAAAACAGGTAACAAAACTGTTCTGTGTTTTAAAAAAGAACTACAGCATGGAATTAGAGATACGACACAGCAAGAACACACCTAAGATTTTTAACTAGCAGATTGACAAAAGATTGTTCCTACATGGATGGCGCGTGAGCCGTGTGGAACGTTTTAGAAAGAAACGCTGGACTCAGAGCATAAACACTATGGAAGGGAGCCAACTGAATCAAAGTTAAGTTGCTCAATTACCCTTAATAGCTTAAACATGACTGCTAAACAGATAAAATATTAATATAACACTTGGATTATGGACAAATGATGTGAAATGAAAAAACCACTGCTTTAGTGTCTGGGACTGGACTGTGCGGAGCTTTGCTATGCTGCCCTCTGCTAAAGTCTGCCTTATGCTAATGTAAAGTGTTAGATTAGCACAAGCTACAATCCTTCCCTGCCCTAATAAGTCAATTGGAGTGACTGAGTATTGTTGGGAGCAGCTTGCCTCTCTGGTCTAATCTTGAGTTATGACAATCATAACTTATGTAGCTGGGGCGGATGATGCAGTATTGCAGACAGACATTTTTCAGCTGTCAGCAATTTCACTAATTAGAATAATAAATGCAGACTAAGTACAGATCCAGCTCAGCAACCCACTGCTGCTCTTCTGTGGAGTGTGTGTGTGTGTGTGTGCGTGTGTGTGTGTGTGTGTGCGTGTGTGTGTGTGTGTGAGTGTGTGTGTGTGTGTGTGTGTGTGTGTGTGTGTGTGTGTGTGTGTGTGTGTGTGTGTGTGTGCAGGGGGGGGGGGGGGGGTCGCTGTGAAACACTGCTTATGGCCAGTACTTCTGAAAAGGCACAAATTGCTCCTGTCTCTTCATGCATTCATTCATTTGTAATGTAACTGATAGAGACAGTAATCAGTTATGTGATTTGGAGGCAACAAAAACAAACAAATGATAATGTATCATGTAATGTTAATTCAGCAGATAAATGTTTCTGACAGAGAAATATTAGAGCCAATAATGCATGCTTATGGGTGGCCTATCTGTCACGAGTGCTGTTGGGTTGAAGGGCTGAGGTGAGGATCCAAATGCAGGTGAGTCGAACAAAAGGCTGCTGAAGACGTATTAAAGGGGTTTAATGAGGAGCACACTGACAAGGAAACAATGAACAGACAAGGAACATAGAACTGGGAGGGTTTAAATACACAAGGAGCTGACATCTAGAGTGATTAGGAGATGAGAGGCAAGTGGGAGCAAGTAAGACGCTGAACAGAATGGGGAGAAAGGACAGGTTGTGACACTAGCTACTTAACAACTTGCCTATGAGTCAGGTTGTGATCAGATACAGGTGAAATTAAATGACTGTAGATGGACAAACCCCACCCATAGCTTTCTGTGTGTTTTTTTGTTGTTTGTTTTGTTTTTTGTTTTTGGGTGTTTCCCACCACCGCCATCTTGGTTGTGTGACTTGTGTCGTCACTACCACCCAATCCAAAAACAGGAAAAGAGATGGAGCTGAGAGTGGGGATGTGAGGGTGGAAGCAAATGATTGACATCCATCAAATTATGAACCAATGTAGCTACGAGCTAGCCTGAAGCTAACACAAAGCTAGGAGTCAACGGGGTTGCCAACCGAAGCCAGCGGAGGTTTTCGGGTGCTTTTAGCCAGAGAAACACAGATGACCTGGGCCTCTCGACTTAGGCTACTGCCCCTGTAACCCAACTCCGGATAAGCAGAAGAAGATGGATGGATGGATGGATGGATGGATGGATGGATGGATGGACCTATAAAGTTGTAGCCGTTTTGGTCCAATCTCAAATACATCACAGCATGCGTAGCAAAGGTCTCTCACTGCTACCACATGAAGTTTTGACTCAATATCTGTAAAATCTGTTGAGTTATAGTTATTTTTGTGTCTGAAATATTCAGTTTGCTTTGGTGGCCAACTTGATTCAGGTTGACTCCAGAGATGAATTGGCTGTGTAGATGTAAGGATTGTTTCCTGAAAATGTCACTGACTTCCTTTTTGTGGTTAATGAGAAATTCTGCAAATCATTATAGCTTGACTTTTGCATTTCAGCCCAAAAACTGTTTGATAAATTATATTATATTATATTATATTATATTATATTATATTACCAGTATATTATATTATAGTATATTATATTATATTATATTATATTATATTATATTATATTATATTATATTATATGAAATACTACATAGGTTATAATAGCTTGATTTTAAAAGTGTGATTTACTTGTTTAATCAATACATTTTCAGTATTCTTTAGTGTAAATCAATGCCCCCTGAGTCATTAAAAAAGTTATGATGCACTTGGTCTGAGATGGAGATGTTTGTTGGTGCAGAGGTGGGCTAAAAACAGCAGGATTGATCCTTATTTGTATTAATATGCATACACCTCACTTCTGAATGGCTAACAGACATGTTCAGTCATGCTGCAAAGTCACTATCACCAACACACTACACTCTCTGCTCTCTCTCCTAAACACAAAATTGCTTTAAAAAGCCTTCCTGTGGGCAGGTGCCCAAAATGGGCGAGAACAAGAATGAAAATTCAGTGTGACATCACAGTGTGAGGATTTTCAAATCCTAGCAATTCACTATCTATCAGAGGCTAACAGAAGATGTAGGAGACTGTTACATGTTGAGCCTGCATGACAAACTCAGAGTGACTCATTCACTCAGGAATATTTTTTTTTGCATTGAACCACACCTTTAAAACAAATTGGAACTACAAATCAAATTTACTGGGATAAAAACCGGGTGTTTGCAGAATGGTTATAAGCTTTCTAACCTTTCATGATATTTATTGTGCAATACTAAATATTGTCCACATGGAGGCAGTATACACTTGTTTGTCACTTTTTTCTGCCATATTGTAGAATAAAAAGTTTACATGAAAAAATAAAACAGATTTCAAATAACAATGTAATGACACTCAACAGAATGATGCATTTTTTTACAGTAATCTTAATAATTAGATCTATTCATACAAAGACAGCTCCTCTTCAAAACCAATGTTACAATAACTTTTAATCATCAGCAGGATGTTAAAATAAATCCATTTTTTTTATTTTCAAAACATGCACCTTTAATTTGACACAAAAGTGGTGTTCATTTATGCAATTTATGCTTGAATCTAGGTTACTGTGTGTGTGTGTGTGTGTGTGTGTGTGTGTGTGTGTGTGTGTGTGTGTGTGTGTGTGTGTGTGTGTGTGTGTGTGTGTGTGTGTGTGTGTGTGTGTGTGTCAGTAGGTTCAAAGCAGAACAGATGAACTCCTCTCATTTTAAATGCTGTGCATCCGTTTGGCCACTAGGTGGAGTAACTCAGCACAGATCTGTGAATCTGACTCTACTTGGAGATGTACAGGAGCCTCCTGATTGGTCCAAATACCCACATGGTGTCGAGTACTGACCAATAGAGCTCTGGCTGATCAACGGCTGTTGCTATGGCACTTCAGAGCTAAAGGGAGGAAAAATAATCTAAATAAATAAATAAAATCCATCACCAGCCTGCCTCCATCTTTCCCCTCACCTGTACATCTGGTGCCTCATCGACTTTCCTCTCTGTGCATCCAGGCCCAGAAGGGTCCCTCTTGTTTTTTATTGGCCATTGGAGAGGGAAATGATCAGAGGAGTGAGTGGTGGTTTTGTGTTACAACTAGACCCTCCCTCATAAGCCAAGCCCCTCCTCTACTGCCTTTATCCCTTCTCTTGCCATTTGAGCTGGGCTAACACTGGCAGGCCCTCTTGTCACCGTTTTTGCTCCATGGAGGGCCCCAGAACTTGTGCTTCATGATTCGTCTTCATTGTATGCAGCACTCTGTTTAAGTAGAACATTTTTGTAACAGTGGGTGTTATTTGTACATTTTAGTGTTTAATGTTTGTCAAATGAAAATAAAAATAAGTGACAATTACATTCAGGAATGTTTTTCATAAAAAATGATCAGAATGCAATCCAATAGATCATTTTACAGCCGTGGGGAGATTTCATATATCTTCTCTACTGTACTGGCTGTGTTCCAACTCGCTCATACACACGCGCGCGCGCGCGCGCACAGAGAGAGGAAGAGAAAATAAAGACCCCCTCTTTATTTGTTTGCTGCTCACCCCTCCTACTGCCTCCTCCTGTTCACTGCAAACTCTGATGGATGAGAAGTCCTGGTAGCTCATTGGCTCTCTCCTGGAGACAGACAGCTCATCGGCCCGCCCCCTCACCGTTTGCACGTGGATCAGACTGTGCTGCTATGAGAGAGCCCCAGCATCTAGAGTGGAGTGGAAACAGGAAGAGGAGGCGAAAGGAAAAAAAGGAGACAGAGGAGCGGATCGGTGAGACGAGGTGGCGAGGAGTGAAAGGGAGGAAAAGGGGAGCAGAGGGCTGCTGTGTGGACCAAAGACAGAAAAATAGGAGGTAAAGAAGGATTACAGAGGAGGATCTTGCTGGGATTTAATGGCTGAATGGAAAAATACTGCATGCATTGTGCAGCCAATGAAGAAATGTGTGTGTGTGTGTGTGTGTGTGTGTGTGTGTGTGTGTGTGTGTGTGTGCGTGCGTGCGTGCGTGCGTGCTTTTTTTCTCTGTCTTGATTTCTGCATGATTCGTCTTGGGTGGACATACTGCAGTGTATGTCTGCAGACTGCTGCACATTCATGCATGAAGCACACACACACGCACACGCTCCAACACACACACGCTCACGTGCAGACACACAACAACAAGCTGGATAGCAGGATTGAGAATTGATGGATCTAGTGAAGGGGAACTGTTAGGGATACTTGTGTGCTATGGTTGCATCTGCGCAAACGGCAACAATAAACTGTTGCATATGAGCTTGTGTGCACATTTTTGTGTAATACCACCAACTGCAACATTTAACCGTCATTTACAATTTTGTTCCCCTGGCAGATCAGCTTGATCTGTTTGATTTGCCACCCAAACATGTATTTCTAAATCATCATTTGATAACCCAGTGTGCATCTTCAGCTGACACGATAACCGGCTTTGATAAAACATCTGGACGTGCTTTTCTAGGTTACCAAAAACCCAGCTGTGTGTGATACACACACAAGCACGCATGCATGCACCGTCTCCCTCACACCTGACAGTCTGCTTCTTAGTCTCTCTTTCCAAAAAGCTGGACATTTTGTATTGTTTGCAGCACGCCTCCCTCCGTGTTGTTCCTGACCTTGCCTTGGTACATTCCAACACCCCTCAGAGGGCTGTGCTTTATGGAGCATACACTGGGAGAAGCTGCTAATGGGAGAAGGGGATAGAGCAGAGGAGAGTAGGGCTGCAGGGGGGTTATTTTTAGAAATGTGATTGATAATCGCCTCTTACTGTACATTCGCGGTCTGAATATGAGGTTATTTCCGACGTGCGTTCATACAAATCCTGCAGCTTGGGTTGGTTTATCTGGTCTCTGACAACCCCCCTCAGTATCTGCTGCTTGTGCTATAGCTAACTGGAGCCACCAGAGACTGGTCTGGTCTGGTGCAGCCTCCCCTTCCTTTTATGGTATAGGAGTGGTAGCCTTACTACATACACATATGCCCGAGCGCGCTCGCACGCGTACACACACACACATACACACACACACACACACAGAGAGAACAAGCAGATTCACATCTGCAGTGGTTTGCTGCAGCTAGCTTAGATATACATAACCATGATGGTTTTAGTGAGACTTTACTTGCAAAGTTTGCAGCTCTGCACAGCTCAATGAAAGTTCTTATTCAGCTGTCAGACCTGCAGACATTTACAAAAAAAAGAAGAAAAAAAGTTTCAAACCCCCTACGGGATCTGACTTCCCTCCTCCACCTTCCTCTCTCACCGTGTCAAGCTTACACACAAATGCAAACACTCCCCTCCTAGCTGGAGGCCTCCCTCCAAGCTCTGGACTAAATGATATCATCGGTTGCCAGGGATACGGAGACATGGCGTGCAGAGGGAAGGGAGGGTGAGGCAGAGCCATACACATTGCTTAGAAAAGAAAGCAAGAAGCTAGGATATTGGGTATCAAGATAAAAGAGGGTGGCTTGTTGGAACAAGTAGAAAAGCACAAGGCAGGGGCCATGGTGGGTGTGGGAGGGGGGACAGGTAGAAAAAATGCCTGAAAGCCTGTCGAAGACTGCTCCTTCCTTTGTCTGGAAGGGTCAGGTTTGTTAAAGAGCAGATGTAAGGAAGATGCAGCTGTACCTGTAAGAAGGGAAAAAGACATCCTTTGGTATAAAACAATGAAACCTTCCTGTCTTACATCTGTGCACCAACTGACTTTGGTATTTCCTCAAGATCCCTGCTATGTGTGTGTGTGTGTTTTGTTAGCCAGGAGCTATTTAAAGGGATCCCAGACTGCACAGGTCGGCTGGCTTTCTATTCCTGACTGATAACATCAACAAATTTGAAGCAGAAAGTCTGTCATCACATTCTCTCACCTGTGACAGGTAAGACTGGCCACAGGAGGTGCATGTGCACACCCAACAAAGCACCTCTAACAAATGACTAGTATTTGCATCTAGTAGTAAACAGGAACAAAGTAGTTTGTGGGTGTTTTTCAAATGACTAAAATGTTGCACTGTCCCTCGTTTCTAAAATATGAAACCCTTTGTGCCCCACGTTCTTTCTTAAAGGTTGCCCCACTGTGAAGTTTATGCAACAGCAACATAACCCATTTCGCACATGACATCATTTGGCCCCTGGGCTGAATTCCAGATGTCTTGAATTAACCCTGCACAGATGGGTTTAATAATATTGGGCGCATGGAGCTTGTTGCTGTGCGGAGTCGAATTCAAGCTGCTGCTGACTGACTGACGGCTCCACAGTAAAAAAAAAAAAAAAAAAACACTAACAAAAGTGCGTGCTCCAGTGTGCAGCGGGGAGGGTGGGCAACAGATGGTTTATCTGCTGCCTGTGCAGTGTTGCTCAAAAGCCAGGCAGCTCCGGGTTCCACGAGAAGCAACTGCAAACTCTTTGTTTGAAAGTGCTGCAAAAGTGCACGCACGGCCAAACAGTTTACGAGTTAAGCCCACAGTGAACTGCTTTGTGAGAGAGCGGAGCTGGTGACAGTGGGACACTGGTGTTAATTGCCTCCTTTGAGCTCAAATGAGCGAGTCCTGCAGCCACGATACCAATCAAAGGAAGCTTTAAAACTACATTTATGAAGAAGTGGTACCAGCATTAATTGAGAATCAAAGAAACTCTGTTTGCTGGGCAAAGAAGCAGATTTGTGGACTGGACCAAGCTCATTATTTAGCAGCTGATGCTAAACAGAGCTGATTTAGAGATTAGTGTTTCTTACTGGTTGCTAGCAATGCAGCTCTGTGTGCAGATATAATCCCACTGTGCCCTCTTTCGTTTTCTCCAAGTGTACATTGTAAAATAGAGGTTATGTCCAAAAGGCCTCAAGCAACAGCAGGAAATGTAGTCTGCCTTTAGTTGCTCTAGCAACTGGTTGGACTCTCAGAGAAGCTGCTCGCTTAATTTCCTTCAGCACTCCCTGAAAGGTTAATACAGAGCAGCTGCAGCAGCGTCGACCACAAACAAACTCGTGGAGCAAACGAGTAGTACAATGAAAGGCACCATGAGGGAAGTGGTGAAACGTTGCACGCCTGTCCTCCCATAGGTTATAAATAGACATGGGGAGCAAATGTGTGTAGTAGTGCAACTTATCACGAGACCGGCTGTCTTTTTCTGAACACGAGAAATCAAAACTATGTAACACTTTTTTTTTAAAGCAAAGGGGAGGGAAGCATTCATGATTCATAAAAATAAAATGAGGTAAGAAACTAGCAGGGAAGTGAAAAGATAATGCATGAAGGCAATCATGCCATGTGTTTTTCTCCCTGAAACACAATTTATCAAATGATCCTATCAACAGCTGATTCGAATGAACTTCAGAAACTTTACCAATAAATACATAAACACAGGTAAATACATCATTGTCACCTTTAACCTTTAAACGGTGGGTGATAATTAGGGAGTCGTGACTCAAAGGGAGGGTTAAGAAATTACCTGAAGCTGCATGTTTGTTTTGTTTTGTTGTTGTTAAAGTCAGGTTGCCATGGTGTTGAGTTTTACTGCCACGGTTTGTCTCTTGCCACCAGCTGTGGTATCTGCAGGGAGGCTGTGATTAGAGCAAAGCTGAGCTCTGGCACACTGATGACATGACCACTGAGCAGATACCAAAATCGATGTTCCAAAGACACAAAAGTGTTTTTTTGTATATTGGTTCCAGAAATCTCATTTGAAATGAAACCAGGATTTCAAGATGCACTCTTCTCTGTTTCTTCCACACGTACCTGACAGATTTCTCAAATGTGTGTTTCATCCACAGACTCCCTCTTTGCTCCCGAGTGTGAAGTGGAGGGCCTTCCAAACACAGACCAAGACTGGTAACCACAGATCAGTTCCTGTTTTTATCACAAACGGTTTTGTAGAGCATGAACACTTTTCAGAACCATCATATCGAACTTCCACAAAAGACAATGGAAAATTCCCTTTATGATGTTAAAGCTACACTTAATATGTTTCCTGCTTCTCCCTCCTACTGGTTAAAAGTGGAATTACAACCTTCCCTGCTACAGCCTGCTATAGCTAGCACTATCAACAAGCTAATGCTAACACGAGCAAGCTGATACTAAATATGCCAAGAAATAAAAAGATCCACATCATTGGACAAAAAATATGTAATTACTTAGAAGTCCAGTCAACTAAGGTCTAGTCCACACGTAGCCGGGTTTTTTAAAAAACAAATATCCGCCCCTCCAAAAACTTGCATCCACATCACCTCGTTTTAAAAAAAGAACTCTGTCCACACGTACCCGGATAAATACGCTTGGACAATTGATAAAGCGAGCGCAGCTCTGAGGGCATCCATGCTGTCGGCTAGTGTAAACACAGGTCGCACACGTGATGTCAGCATTTTTATGTCGCGGAAAGTGACGTTGCGGACCTTAAAACTCCGGTTTTGTCTGTCCACACGCAGACACCCATAACGGAGAAAACGCAGATCTTCATTTTGGCCGGAGTTTTTAAAAAGATCAGTTTTCGTGTGAAAAAACTCCGTTTTCGTGTGGATAACAGGCCAAAACGTAGAAAAATATCTACGTTTTGGCAGATCCCCAGCTACGTGTGGACAGGGCCTAAGCCTCATCACCATCAGTCCATCATTTCACAGCCTCCTTTCAAACAAGTGTAGGCTACGCTAATGTTCACTCTGGTGTTAGCTCTTTGGTTTGCCTTGAAAGACTACCCAGACCAAAAAAAAAAAAAAAAAAAAACTTACGTGTGGTTTCTGGTCAGCAGAGGGTTAAAGAGGGCTGCCCAACTTGAAGTTGCTCAAATTTATGGCTCGAGAACCACTGAAACCAGTTTGAGTGCAGCAGCTTAAAGCTGTTATGGCGAATCTTCAGAACAAGCTAGCGTTTGAATGCAAACACAGACACAGAACACTTACCCGTATCTTCTTTGAGACGCTTCTGCCAAGACTGAAAGCCTGCCTTGCCGGATGAAACGACATAGTGCTAAACACCAGGCATAGGTTTCTACATTTAAAAGTATTTTGTAGTCTGACTTCAACTCTGGTAGTTTGTCCTAAAGTTGAAGTGGTAGCAGCTGTTTTTTTTCTCCTTCTCTGAAACAACCAAGCCACAAACCTCTCACATACCAGTGGTTCTGTTGCTAAATACGCAAATGCATAATGAAAGGAGCACCCAGGAAGGTGTGGAAGTGTGGGACTACGGCGAAACCGACAACCGGATGGTCTGATAGTTGCTTTTGATCAAAAATGTGCTGTTGGTGGGGGGTTTTAGAAAAATGCAAGAGAACCACTATATTTATTTATTGTTTTGATTTTTTTTATCCCCAGAATTATATTTATAGTTATAATATGATGCAACATTGTTAAAAGGCATTAAAGAAATGTTTTACGCTAATATATTTTCCAAATCTGTGATTGCAGCTGTAAAGTGTTTAAAACTCTTTACTGTTGCTTTAAAATAAAAATCTGTTGCATAATTAAATGTGCAAAGGCCAAAAAGTCAGTTATAGTTCAGATTTTAAGAGTTAAAACTAAATACAACAGTTTGTTTATGACGATGTTCTCTCGAGTTCTGCTCATGAAGCAACAACTGTGTTCCAGGCTGCATGTATCATCCAGCAGAGCCCTACTCCAACCGCAACTCATGGGACTCCTATTCAGCTGGAGGGCCTAACAGAGGACAATGGGTGCCTGTAAACAGTCGCCCCTGGACCAACACACAAAGGTCAGCAGCACTGTCACAATACTCACACAAAATTCAACAGTTTTTACGAATAACAACAGTATTCAAACCTCAGGAATACACGGGATGTAGGACATAGTAAAGTTTCACTCATATGGATTCTATGTGTTTATATAAACTCACTCTAGGTCAGGAATATGTTTCTTCCTGAGAATTCGATGCAGAACTGTTTCACTTCTGTTGCATGCTAACGTCTTGCCTGGGTGAGGTAGTTGCAGGCCCATATTGCTTCTATGGTATATGTTAAGAGTTAAGTGTCCCATCATGACACCACTCCATTTTTAAAAACAGCATTGTTGATTGCACTATACAAACGTTTGTTTTTTCTTAAACACACGTTGGGCTTTTTGCTCTCATAAGTTGCACTAAACCAGTTCAAAAGAGATGTCCTTGATCAGCCATATCAGTGTGTGTGTGTGTGTGTGTGTGTGTGTGCTTCCATCAGGCAAGCTGGCATTATAAAATAAACTGAATGTGTCCAGCTGTCCTTGCATCAGAAACACATGTTTAGGAACCCCAGAGAGATAGTTGTTGAGAAATTCTAAAAAATGCAACATATTTGTGTGGATGATGTCAAAGACTCACCTTTGACCTACCTTGAGCATGCTAAATTTAACAACTGATCAATTGCTTGAGTTTCTGCTGCAGAAGCTCCAGAACCTAGTGGCTAAAGTCCTGCAAAACCTTCAAATGCACATAAACCATCAACACCACACACTGATTTACCGCAGAGCAAAGCTAGATGGGTAACCGGGAGAAACATAAGGAGTTCTGGGAAATTTCTGGGAGGGAGAAAAGTGATCGGGACATACGGTGGCTTGGTTTTCTCAGCCGTTGTGTCTCCATGCAAAACCGGCCCCTTCGTGACTTTGCTAAGACATCAGCCTATTGCCACTGCTTCAGCAGTCAGTGATATCACTCATCAGCACCAAAAGGAAGCTTTAGCACATTTCAAACACATACGCAATCCTGTGGTGTCCAGGGGATATTATTAACTTTAAAGGTTTTATTTTGTCAACCTACTCTGCGATTTAATCCATTCAGGGGACAGGAACGGCAGCTGTGTTAAGTCAAAAGTGGCATTCAAGGACCAGAAGAAGTGTCATTTTTTTTACTCCGCGAGACCACAAGGTGTAGTGAATTACGGTGTTGCCTGGGGATTTCGACCGCATTTTCCGGTGTTAGGAATTTAGAAGCAATAATTATAAAGCAGCTTATTTTCCAGCAACTTCTCTAGTTTTACAAATGATTGTGTAGATGGCATCTGCCGATGTCATCTTACTACCAATCAATACGAGTTAACTGCAAGGCCCACTCAGCAGCTATACCGGACATGTTCTGAGTACATATCCTAGCTCAGGCACTTCATTGGTTCCTGAAAGGACCTGGAAAATGGTCCTTTTGGGTCAGCCCAGTGAAATGGAGACACACGCATGCTCCAAAGGTCCGGTAAAGTTCCGCTGGTGGAAATGGGACTATTAGGACAGGGAGAACCAGCATATGAGGTCAACAGCCCTTATTAATATTACCTGTTTAGCATCTCTGGCCATGAAGCTGGGAATGTGTAAAAGTTTTCTTCTTCAGTTGTTTAAAGGTGATTGGCAGACCAGCTTATGACAGATATCACAGAAATCTGTCATACAGAGCATGAAGGCTTTAAGACTACTGTCCACGCCTTCATTCCTGTTTATTGGTGTGTGAGTGCGTGCGTGCGTGCATGTGTGTGTGTGTGTGTGTGTGTGTGTGTGTGTGTGTGTGTGTGTGTGTGTGTGTGTGTGTGTGTGTGTGTGTGTGTGTGTGTGTGTGTGTGTGTTACAGCACCACACACAGGCCTGGCGTTAAAGCTTTTTGCCGTCCTTGAGGTTTTTATGTGGATGAAGACATTTCTAGAAATGGTAGTTAGTGTTTACAAGGATATTTCAGAAACTATAAACAAAAATATTTTTTAGTATCATCTCTATCTGGACTCAGCATTCGGCTTTTTCGTTTTCAAGGCTGTTGCATGACAAATATCACTTTAAATTGTGTGGATTGAGTTAACTAAAATTCTTCTGAGCAGTTTCATGAAAAGCTCTGACTTCAGCAGCAGCTTTAACAAATGAAATTTGCAGTGAGAAGAAGCAGAGCACCGGCGAATGAGAACATCCTCGGCTTCTGCAGAGCTGTTGTTAAGCTGCGGCTGCAGAGGGTAGATGAAATCAGAAGGAAAGCACTTTTTAGTAGTTTTTAAATTGGTATTTCTTTTAGTTCCGTCAGATTGAAATGGCACTTTGAGATGGCATCATCATTCATTTGTGAAATAGTCCTTTAAAATGATTTACTTAAACAGTTGCAGCTCATTGAGGTTAAAATATTGTAGTGCAAAACTTCACTCCTTAAAACAACTGCCACAATGAACCTTCTGCAGAAATGTACCCTTGAATGATGAAATCAGAGAAACAGAACAAATGAAGTGTTGCTTCAGGGAATAAATTCATGCCACCCGCTGCTCTTCATGCAAGTGTTTTTAACTAAAACTTGAGAAGTGGTGCCATCATGACTGTTTGGGTACAGTATTAAAAAAACATTACATGCTGTCTCACTCAGTATATCAAAACGTTGCACGATCTGTACGCCTGTAGAGTTTCAGCTTATACCACATTGTAACTGAGTTATAGCCATGTTTGTGTTTTCTGAGGTCAAAAATATTTGTTTTTCTTACTTTCCACATTTAGCTACAGGCAGATGGGCCAGCGTTTATAGATGTTCAAAAATGTTCTTAACAATAAACAATATTACTGCAAACATGACGATTTTCTATGTTTATTATCCACAGATGCCAAGAAGGGCGCAGCCAGCCGCACCATTCTCTGTCAAATCGTATTTATAGCAGGTGGGTGGAGCCGAATCCGTCCGTCACACACAGGAAAAACACTTTTTCAGAGTGTTAAAGATAACCATGTGTCTGAAGGATTGCCTGTTTGATTTGTACCCAAATGGAAGAACAGTAAAAAATGCGACTTTTTGACAGATTAGAATTTGTGTCACACTGGTGGGGATTTTTTTCCTGAATTTAAATGATTTTTATTTTTTTATTTTTTAGAGGGGACAGAACAGTCAACCATGTCCAGGACAAAAGCTTGTCAAAAGGAAACCGACAGTTCCGAGTTTGGGACGCCAAAGAGCCACATTATCAGACCCAGAACTGGCAACCCAACTCCACACGCTCCTTCAGCAACCAGGGTGGTGCCAACGGTTACCCACCAAGACCCGGACAGCGTTATGTAGACTGGCAGAACAATGTCAGCAACAGTGTGGTGAGATCCGCCGTAGAAAAGGGTTTAATACTCGTATATCAACAGTGTTTTCTCTGTTTTGCCAGCATGGGGATACTCGTGCCAATCGCATAAACAGGGAGCAGCAGCCGCCACCAGATAAATGGGCCACCTCAGACTGCCACAGGAGCTTCACAGGCAGGACGGTAAACAACAGACCAGGATCTTGGAAATGGCCAGCCCCCCACCAGCGGCACCATCACGGTCCACCCCCACAGCACCGTCCATCTCATGGGAGCGGGAGTCCAGTTAGGAGGAGAAGGGATCTGAGTCCTGATCAGGTAAAGCATCTCTTCTTGCTGCTTCTTCATCTGTGCATGTGTGGGAAACAGCACCACCTGTAGGAAAAATCCAACCTTGTACCGCATGATATTTGTGTCTCGGTGCAGTCGTGTCATCCTGGATCGAGGCATTTGCCTCTGCCTGTCCGCGCCTCATCACCACCAAGCCACCACCGCTGCAACCAAGACGACCGGGCCGGTCCTTCCTACCGCTCAGAACACAGGACCTCAGCAACACAGCAACAGGTGAGCGTACGCCCTACCAACACATGTTAACAGCTTCTCCAGTGACTTCTGCTTTTAAAATGTTGCAGGAAACCTCTGAACTGCGAGCTGGAGGCCATGACTTTGGTAACTCAGAAGCCCCGAGTCACAGCAAACCGCCACATCATGGAAGCAGGGAGAAGGTCGAACAGAAGATCTCGGCTTCACCAGCAGACCACACCCGTGTGCCTTACAGCCAGCAAAATCATCATTACCATCATCAGTGGCAAACAAGCCTCCCAAAAGCCCCTCAGCACAACGCGCCACCATGCGGTCTGGAGGAAAAAGACTCCCGGAGTCAGCACCACAAACAAAGCACAGTAAGAGACGAACATTTAAACAGTCAAAAACGATTTATCTCATCATCTGAACATCTAAACTTTAAATCTGCAGGAAACTCATCACTCTCACCTAAGGGGAAATGCAAGTGACCCCGCTGTCTGCAAGAGCTCTGGTGCAGACTCTCCCTCATACTCACCCCTGTTGTGCAGTTCTAAAGAAGGAGGTTCAACAAAAAGCAGTCCAGGTGCTCCTTCCAGTTCTTCTATGTATGCAGTGACCAGTTACAGAAAAGATTCACCAGAAACTCAGCCGTCTAACCTCAGTGAGCATCAGAAATCCCACACAAGCCCCAGTCTCACCCAGAGAACAAGCATATCATCCACCAAGTCTCGTTCTGGTTCATCATCCAGGCTTTCAGATCCCAAATACAGGAAGACCTCAGCCTGTTCGGGGCAGTCTGCCCCTGCCAGATCGAGAGCAAACAAGCCTGAGAAGGTACAAGAGGGACTCAAAAAGACTGAGTACACACTCCCAAATAAGAAAAAAGAGAAACGGAGCGATGCTGATAAAGCAAGTAGAAAGGACGAGGAAAGAAAAAGAAGAAAGAAAGGGGAGGAAAAACGGTTGGACGAAAGGAAGAGAAAAAGAGAGAAGGTATTTAAAAAGGAAAGGGAATTCAGTTTGAAATCTAAAAAAATAAAGGAAGACATGTTCTCCTCCATGTCTGAGTCCTCGTGTCCAGGAGAGGCCAAACTCCGTAGACTGGAGGTAAAAATGTTGTCCCCAGAGAGCGAAAGCCAGTCGCTCCTCAAAAACAAGCAAAGGGAGAGAAAAGAACAGGCAGAGAAGGCTTCGAAAGGCTCGTCCACAGGAGCTCCTCGTCCTAGTTGCACTTCACAGAATCTAAAGTCAGATTTGGAGAAGAAACTCAAAAGGAAGAGAAATCCGTCTGAAGTCCCAGTCAACAAGCAGCCAAGACCATCTGTCCTCCTTAAACACGTCATTCCCAAGCAGACCAGCAGCATCACTTCTCATTCAGAAGATGGAGTAAAAACATCCCTCCCACACAAAGCACCACTCAGTGCTACATGCTCTGTTGGCTTAGAGAAAGCCATCCATGGCGTAGGAGAATGTCGGGGAGGAATTCTGGGTGCCCCAGACCTTCAGCCAGAGGCTGTGCTGGGAAATCTGATGGATGTGGGGGACAGCCGTGCAAACACTCCCCCTGTGCTCAGCTGGCAGGGATCCCCCGTGTCAGACCTTGAAGAAGATGAGGGGGAGCTTGAAAAGAGGGTAATAAGCAGACCAGTCCTCCAGCCCAGTCCTACACAGTGCTTTGCCCCTCCTCCTTCTGCAGACAGTGAAAGCGACGATGGCATGGGAAAAGTGTCTTGCAGCGATAAGCTGAACGAGTACTCCCACGACAGCGCAGCTGAATCCAGTGATCCACCTTGTACCATCAAACACGATGTAAAGGACAAAAAGGAGCAGAACACTGGTGGGAAAACTGCTGGCTCGCTTCTCAGTGAGCTCCACCAGCATAAAGCAGGTTTGCAGGATGTCTTCAAGAGCCTGGCCACCTTCCTCGGAGGTCAGAGGGTCACGTGTCGAGGTGGTCCATTTGGTGGAGCCCCTACAAAAGGGGTAAAGTACTCTTCATCGCTCGCGACTGTGCCACAAATACACGATCATAAGAATCAACATCCTTCTCCTAAAACAACCGCCGCAGCATCCCCCGAGTCCAACAATCAGTCACCCTCAGACACTACCTCAGACTCACTCCTAAAACTCCACAGTCTGCCATATCAGAAAGAGCCTGGCGCCCACGCCGAGGTGCGGGAAAAGCAAGAAGAGACCGAGAGTTCGGAGAAAGTGACCCAAGAGGGGAAGTATTCAAAGGAGCTCTTGGAGAAAGCAGACTCATCTCTTTTAGAGGGATCGTTGAGTGCAGAGCTGAGAGTAACCACAACACACACCGCCTCTTTCACCAGCGTCATTACGGTCTCTACCAAGGAAGAGAAAGGAAACAGGAAAGAGACGGGGCACGCAGCTATAAACAGGAAGCGAAAACAAAAGGCTAGGGATGTGGGAAGAGGAGCAGAGCTCAACGTAAAGGTGAAGAAACAAGGAAGAAACAAACGTAAGGCTAATCAAATAAAAGAGCCGGACAAAAGAGGTGGTTCAGCCTCCGTTTCTGTTGCCTCCAGACCCATCGCAGGAAGTACGAAGGGCCAGATTCCTCAGGAAAACCAATCCCCTTATGGCAAACACATCAAGAGAGTCAAACTGGACACTGAGAGTGCTGATGCACACATGGCAACAGGTGTGAAGGTAGAAGTTGGTGGGGCAGAGAATAAAAAAACCTCAGAAAACAACACCTCTATCTCAGCCTCAGCTGCAACAATCACCACATCCAAGTCAGGTGCTACCAGACCAGCAAGCAATCATCAATGCTCAAAGGCTCCAGTAGACCCCCTGAGACTGAAAGCGTTGTCCATGGGCTTGTCTAAGGAGTTGAAGATTGTCTTGGTCAAAATGAAGTGTGCTGGAAGACAAACGTTTAACGTGTCCGAGCTGGAGGAGAAAAGAATCCCACTTTCCAAGATCAGTATCCTAAATACAGCAACGGAAGTGGTCAGAGCGTGCAGGTGAGTGCTGCAACACATGTCCTAATGTGTTGAGGAGATGTGTTCATGTGCATTTCTGACCTGATGCTCTGCTGTTTTGGTTTACTGCAGAGGAACAAGCATGAAGGGGAAATTCAGGGAGTCGTACCTGCTTCCTGCCTTCTCTGTGAAACCCAACATTGGCGTTGACACCCTCATTCCTCGGGAAAAGCTGAACCCTCCCACCCCGAGCATTTATGTGAGTGTATACTGATGAGTGGTGTGAGGGGGGTCAGTCCCAACACCCCAAACGTGTAGCCTTGATGTTTAGACCACCATGGGACAGCTACCTGTGTATCCTTACTCCGTGTTCATGGACGTAATTTTCACTTTAGAAGTGTGGGGGGGATCTTTACAGTATGCTCTAATGGGAAAAAGGCTTCAAAACAAACTGTTGTTTTCCGCTTGGTCCTAGAGCTCAACCAGTGTCAATGTAATATAGCGTAATGTTGTTTTTGGATGGTAAAAAGTGCAGGGGTCAAAACTTGACTTTGGAAAAAGTGGGGGGGGACATGCCCCCCCCCCCCCCCCCCCCCCCAAATTACGTCCATGTCCGTGTTTATTTACTATGGGACCATATTACTGTCAGTGCAAGGAAGAAATATTGGAGAAGTATCTCGTAATAACGAGAATGTTTTTTTTTTTTTTTTTAATCGGGATCAATCAAAAAGAAGAAACTTGCTAGTAGCATTTAAAATTGCAACGAGAACGTTTCTCAATATAATATGTTTAATATCTCGTAATGAGAAAGTTCATAACGGTGAAACGTTCTTCTGAGGAGAGGAAAGAGTCAGAGAGACCATCTTTGTGTCTTTTAAAGGAAAATTTTTCAAAGGAACATAATCCTACATACTTCGGACAAGCCGTCCTCCACATCGACAACAACAGAGAAAACAGCGCGCACTTGGATTTTTTTTTTTTTTTGTCCATGCAAAATTGCAGTTCTTCTGCTTTCTAGTTCAGGTACAGCTTTCAAAGTAAAAGCTGACTTCCTGTTTGTGCCTTTTCACATTTAGAAACGTGGAAACCTGTTTAAATGAATAACGTGATATTCACACAAGTATGTCCTGGTATTTCATCAGACATGTTCTCTTTGAGGGTTGGAAAAGCTGTCAGTCTGTTGGCTTGGCAACGAGTTGTGTGTGACGGCGCTGGCACAGAAGAGAGCCAGCGAGTGCAATTTGGGATCTTTTGCACTGCAGCGCTGTTGTTGTGGCACGGCTGCTGCCGCTCCACGTCCTTAAAGTTCAACATCAAGAACTGGAAAAACTAGCTTGTTCTATCAGAGTAGAACACCACATAATCACCACTCCTTTTTACAAGATATGAAACAGAAAATTATGTAAAACTTTCTCATTCAAATTATTTTTATATGTCTTTATTAAAGAAAGATTCATGTCGCGTTTTAACTCATTCGCTGCCAGCGTTTCCTGATCGGTAAAGCCCTTCGCTGCCAGCGTTTCTCACTGTTTTTACAGTTTTTTTTAAGAGTGACAGAATGTTGCGCGCTAGGATGATGTTGACGCCAAAACAAAGCAGAGTCTCACCTCTTACATCAGGAAGAATCGGCGTGTTTCGAGCGTTATCCGTTCTTTCATAATCTGTTGTTGAATTGTGATCGGCAGAAGCTTTTCCGGTTGGCCCCTCACTTTTTTTACAGCAGCAGCCCAAAACGATCTCCTAACACATGGACTTTCTGCTTCCTGATCACGTGACATGTAACGTATGCTGATGAAGATCGGCTTCAGAGCTGGGATGTTTGTTCTCACGGTGCGGGGGCTCGTTCCGACGCCCGCACAGTAAAAAAAATGCAAATGACGACTTTAGTCGTCATTGGCAGTGAATGAGTTAATGAGAAACGTTCTTGTTAGTACGAGATACTGCTCCTGTATATTTTTCCTCACACTGACAGCAATATGCTTCCATAGTTCAGGGTTAGGAACTATAGTCTTTTGTCAGGTAAGGATTATTTTTCTCTGCGGTGTTATTTATGATGGTACTCTACTGTTTCTGCAGTTGGAAAGCAAGAGAGACGCCTTTTCTCCAGTCCTGCTTCAGTTCTGTACCAATCCTAAAAATGCTGTTACAGTCATCCGGGGTCTTGCAGGCTCCCTCCGCCTTAGTGAGTATTAAGCCTAATCTATACTTCTCTGACAGCTCTGGTGTGGATTTGCACACACGTACCGATGGAGATGTGTTCCCTTTGGACTTCTCCATCACCTAGTGCAGGGGTATTCAATTCCACGCCTGGAGGGCCGGTATCCTGCATGGTTTAGTTTTAACTTTGCTTCAACTCAGCAGGTTAATTAACAGGCTTCTGCACAGGTGATTAAGTGTGTTGTGTGCAGAGAAACCCCTAAAACATATTGCATACCGGCCCTCCAGGCCCAGAATTGAATACTTCTGATCTAAGGAGGGCATTGTGCTTTTCTGGGGGCATCCTGCATGGTCCACAGTATTTATGTATTCCAGAGACATTTTCACACGGACCAATTTGTCCCTCATTCTTCACAACTTCACACACTCCCCATCTCTGAACTCACGGTTTCTGTCATTTCTGTCCATGAATCTAAACTTTGAGGCACATCTTTGTGCTCCTTCAGTCACGGGTGTATAAGAATCGATATTGTCTGACTTGTTTTACAAGACATTCTTCACTCTGCTCTGTGTCTGCCACTAAATAGCTTTGACATTTGATTTATTATTTGAGGGGGGAATGGCAATGCTGTAGATGAATGTAAGGGAGTGGCTTCCTGACCGATCACTGGCTTTCGGTCTTTGACACTTTCGATGTATATTTTAAAATTTGGGCTTGTCTTCATCAGCCTCTGCAGGCGTGTCTCTACCCACGCAGATGGAGTAGTATAAATCAGGCGTCTGAATTAATGTATTGGCAATTCAAAAAATCTCACCGTACAGAGGAGATGCAATATTTAGTGATACTGGAACCCAGGTAATATTTGAAAATGTTGAGATTGAATTTAATTGGAAAACTCAGGTGGGATGCTTGCAAGACACATCCAGTGCTGAAGACGGAAAAACTGCTGCCAGCTATCTGTCAGAGTTTTTATTGCGTCACACAAAATAAATAGAGCGAAAGTTTGCATGTAAATTATTCTACCCCCAAAAAATCAATGCACTGCGTTTTAAATGTCAGTCCATTCTCATTAGATATGGGCTTAAATAAGGGCCATAATGTTTGTGTAGTTAAAAGAAAAATTTGAAATTGAAAATATGTAAACTGAAAGCAAAAGTCACATTTTTAGAGTGAACTTTGAAAAAGAAAGACTTGGATTTAAAATAAAATCAAACGTTTGGAATATTTGTAAGAATTGAAACCCCAATGGTATTTTTATTTAGAATTTTTCTGAGTAAACTTTACTAAAGAATTTTCAGTAATTTTTTTTTAATTATTGTTTTTTTAAAAATCCATTCAGTCTCAGATTACATTTTTTTCACATTCAGATCTTTTTAATTAATGTACAAAAAATTTCTTCAGGTTCAGATTTTTCTTTCAGCTTCAGATTTTTTTTTTTTCACTTTCGGATCTGTATTTTTCAGTTACAGACTTTTGGCCCTGTTTTGGCCTGGTGGGCATGGCTACACAGAGAGGGGCGGGGAATCATGAGTGACAGCAGGCTGCTGGAGGCTGAAGACGGCCCATTTTTCATGTTGCCTTCAGGAAACCTGGGAATAAACACAATTTATCAAACACCTCCTGCACTGTATTATTTGATAATGGTTAGATAACATGTCATGCATAACTGCTTAAACTCAGTTACTAAAGCTCTTTCAATCAGTAATGTGTACAAATTACGCAGTGACTGATCAATTATGAGAAGTTTTCCCAACTACTACGTTAGAAGTAGTAGAAGTTAGGCACGGACAGACAGGGAAGTTGTCCGGGGCGGCATTTTTTCATGACACAAAAGGGACGCACAAGCGCTGAGTAAAAAAATTAAAAAGAAAGAAATCTGTGCCGCACCGAGGTTTTCTATTCTATCTGTCATATCACAGAGTCTGGATTGGAAACAACAAGTTGGCGCCCCCTGCAGCTGCAGGCGCTCCTGCTGACTGAGAGGGTTCAGGTGCACTGTGTGTGTATGAAGAAGAGGAAGGGGAGGGGCGCGGCGGGGGAATTCACCTCTGGGTCTTTCCCAAATGAAATGAGCGGGTAGGGGCTGAATCAACTGTATTAACATGGCTAAAGTCAATCACATCTTGATGTTCTTCCATTTAACACACGTTTCATTCATAATATCATAAACACAGGCCTATCATTCTTTCAGGTTTTTCTGAATTGTGTGAAATGGCCGAATAAAAAAAGGAAAAACAGAACGATTTTGTGGTCACCCACCCAGGTCAAATTGTTTAGTCCTGACTAAAGGAAACTTATTGAGTCAAGAGCCAAACAGAAGAGATGAACATGAAAAAGCTAAAACCACCAGCCGCATTGTGGGGGCCTGGGAAAGACCCAGAGGTGAATTCCCCCGCCGCACCCCTCCCCTTCCTCTTCTTCATACACACACGGTGCACCCACCTGAACCCTCTCAGTCAGCAGGAGCGCCTGCAGCTGCAGGGGGCGCCAACTTGCTGTTTCCAATCCAGACTCTGTGATATGACAGATTGAATATAAACCTCGGTGCGGCGCAGATTTCTTTCTTTTTATTTTTTTACTCAGCGCTTGTGTCATGAAAAAATGCCGCCCCGGACAACTGCCCTGTCTGACCGTGCCTAAAACTGCTACTGATTTCACCATGAAAATTAAATAAAAAAACAGAATAGCCGAAAATGAATCTTACTTTTAACCGTAACAATAGCCACTTCGTAAATTCTTAGCATTCACAGACTGCAGTGTAACTTTTCCAAACTTAAACACTCACCTGACTGTTCGCACCAGCAGTGTTGTTGGATGACGACGCCATCGTTCCCTGAGGCACAACAGCAGCACCCACGTATGCTACTTTGAGAGCATGGGAAATGATCACTTCTCACGTAGTAGTTGGGAAAACTTCTCATAATTGATCAGTCACTGTGTAATTTGTACACATTACTGATTGAAAGAGCTTTAGTAACTGAGTTTAAGCAGTTATGCATGACATGTTATCTAACCATTATCAAATAATACAGTGCAGGAGGTGTTTGATAAATTGTGTTTATTCCCAGGTTTCCTGAAGGCAACATGAAAAATGGGCCATCTTCAGCCTCCAGCGGCCTGCTGTCACTCATGATTCCCCGCCCCTCTCTGTGTAGCCACGCCCACCAGGCCAAAACAGGGCCAAAAGTCTGTAACTGAAAAATACAGATCCGAAAGTGAAAAAAAAAATCTGAAGCTGAAAGAAAAAATCTGAACCTGAAGAATTTTTTTGTACATTAATTTAAAGGATCTGAATGTGAAAAAATTTAATCTGAGACTGAATGGATTTAAAAAAAACAATAATTAAAAAAAAATTACTGAAAATTCTTTAGTAAAGTTTACTCAGAAAAATTCTTAATAAAAATATCATTGGGGTTTCAGTTCTTACAAATATTCCAAACGTTTGATTTTATTTTAAATCCAAGTCTTTCTTTTTCAAAGTTCACTCTAAAAATGTGACTTTTGCTTTCAGTTTACATATTTTCAATTTCAAATTTTTCTTTTAACTACACAAACATTTTGGCCCTTATTTAAGCCCATAATTAGACAAAATGAAGCAGCATTTCAGTGTATCGATATTTTCTTACAAGCCTACACAGCACAGTGTTGTTTGTTGGAAAGGTGAAATCTTGATGTATTTAATGAGTTTTAACAGTAAAAATAGACAAAGTGGGACACTCATCTAAAAAGCTGCAATTGAATGGAGAACGCCACCAGTTAGACCAGTTTAGTAGAAGCAACTTCTGTTGCTGGTCGCCGGTCATGTGCCAAGCTACACTCTCAGAGGTTGTTGCTTTGAGTGTGTTTGCATATTTGGATTACTGTTTGATGAGCCCTGATGCCTCCTTCCCGTTTTTGTTTCCCTACATCCTTGAAAATTTTTTTCACAAGCTAAAGCATTTAGATTTAGAGCTTTGTAAGGATGAGTTAAAACCCAAAAATCTTAATAAATTAGAATAAATAAAGTAAAAAATAGAAGCCAATTTTTTGACAATTAACAGATTTTATTTATTTTCTATTTGAGATCTTGGTCTGTTTTCCACCAAATCTCTGGTTGAAGCCAACTCGGACCACGCTGTGGAAGTGAGGACTCAGGTTCAGCAGCCTGCCGACGAGAACTGGAACACAAATGGCTCAGTGCAGACATGGCCCTGCGAAAGCAGCCGCTCTCACACCACCATTGCCAAATATGCCCAGTACCAGGCCTCCAGCTTCCAGGAGAGCCTTCAGGTAACATTTTCTCCCATGTGGCACACGATCACACACAGATAAAAAAAACTTTTGTGCAAGTTCACAAGTTTTATGTAATAATTCTATCTGCAAATACATCTGCTAAATCCAATTGCACCCAGCATTCTTCTGTTGATTATTCTTTTTGTCCAGTAGCTGTGTTAGCTGTCAGGTGAGCTCATTTTTGATTTTTTTACAGGACGAGAAGGAGAGTGAGAGTGAGGAAGAAGAAGAAGAGCAGACCTCTGAGCCATCAGAAACCAATAAAGTCAACAATAAAGGTGCTCCCTCCTCAACCACAAATAAAAAAGACTCCACTGCTGCCTTGAGCAAAGGCCTGTCACATAAGGCCACAGGCACATCCAGGTTGGATCAAATTCTCTCTGTCAGTGTGAAGATATTTATGTTTAGCTGTGCAAATAATAATCAGCCCAAATTCCACTTTTTCCTGTAGCCCAGAGCAGAAAATGGCAGGAAAGATCATTAAATTTGGGACCAACATTGACCTTTCTGACCCTAAAAGGTGACATAAGTTCAGCACTAATATACTGGCTGTTGTAATTTTCATTTTATTAATTCATTTGCTTATTTTACAAGGTGGAAGCCCCAATTGCAGGAGCTGCTGAAGCTGCCAGCATTCATGCGAGTGGAGTCCAACAACAATATGCTCAGCCTCGTTGGTCACACTATCCTGGGCATGAACACCGTTCAGCTCTACATGAAGGTCCCAGGCAGCCGCACGCCAGGTCCGTGTTTTTTTTTTTCCAAGGGTCAAAGTCAGAGACTGGTTGCATAATGATTTTATTAGCATAAACAGCTGGTGTTTCCCCTCAGGACATCAAGAGAACAACAACTTCAGCTCAGTCAACATCAACATCGGGCCTGGGGACTGTGAGTGGTTTGCAGTTCATGAACACTACTGGCAAGCTATCAGCAAGTTCTGCGAAAAGTGAGTATTCACGTTGTGGAGGTCACTAATGACAGGAATGCATGTTCATGGATGAAGTTGATGTGTTGAACACTGCTTCTAACAGGCACGGAGTGGACTACCTTACGGGGTCTTGGTGGCCAGTTCTGGAGGACCTCTACAGCGCCAACATCCCTGTGTACCGCTTCATTCAGAGGCCAGGTGACCTGGTTTGGATCAATGCGGGCACTGTTCACTGGGTCCAAGCTGTGGGCTGGTGCAACAACATCGCCTGGAATGTGGGACCACTCAGCTGTAAGTGATCCTCAAAACCATCCATCCATCTATCCATTCTCTTCTGCTATCTGGGATTGAGTCGCGGGAGCAGCAGCCTAAACAGAAAAGCCCAGACTTCCCTCTCCTCAGCCTCTTGGGCCGGCTCCTCCTGGGGAATCCCAAGGTGTTCCCTGTCCAGTCGAGAATAGTCCCTTCAGCATGTCCTGGGTCTTCCGTTAGGTCTCCTCCCAGTTGGACGTGCCCAAAAAACCTCACCAGGCAGGCGTCCAGGAGGCATCCTGACCCAACACATTCTCACACCCTAAGCGTCGAAAAAGGACGTGGTGTGACCAAGCGTTTGTTTCCGAGGCGTTGGGAGCCCCTGTAGAACCCTAGCCCTGTGCCAGAGTGTCGGTATCCGACGCCCGCGGTAAAATAGTGATTTGACCGAATTGTGACCTTTACCCTCTTACTTTTTAACCTTCCCCTCACCCCATCATAACCTTAACCAGCTTGCGCATGCAAAACTTTTTTCGTGTTTCATCGTTCCTCTCAAACACGCTTAACGGAAAATTTATACTAACTTATTGGGTTACGGTTAGGATGGGGGTGAGGGGAAGGTTGAATTGCTAGAGGTTAGAGGTGAAATGTCGGTAAATTCTCTGTTTTACCGCGGGCGTCAGATACTGACGTTCTGGCACAGCGCGTCGCCTCCTGGCGAACAGGGGTTCCCGACGCGTCAGAAACAAACGCTTGGTCACACCACGTCACATTTTGACACTTAAGGTGTGAGAATGTGTTGCCAGACCAGGTGTCCAAACCACCTAAACTGGCTTCTCTCGATGTGGAGGAGCAGCAGATCTACTCTGAGCCCCTCCTGGATGACCGAGCATCTCACCCTACCTCTAAGGGAGAGCCCAGACACCCAGCAGAGAAAACTCATTTCTTGTATTCGTGATTGCAGTTTTTCAGTCACTACCCAAAGCTCCCCAAAGTGACACAAAGACGAAGGTTGAAACATAAAATGACCGGTACAACGCCCGCATCGCTGCAGACGCAGCACCAATCCACCTTTCAATCTTCTGCTCCATCTTTCCCTCCCTCGTGAACAAGACCCTGAGAGACCAACAGGGCCACATCGTCTGCAAAGAGCAGACACCTGATTCTTAGGCCACCAAAACGGATCCCCTCAAAACGATCCAAGTAACATACACCTGAACATTTCTCTAAGCTTCAACAACGCTTGTGTTTTGTTTTATATCCCCAGCTTACCAATACCAGCTTGCCCTGGAGCGCTTCGAGTGGAACGAGGTGAAGAAAGTCAAGTCAATCGTTCCCATGATCCACGTTTCATGGAACGTGGCTCGCACTATCAAGATCACAGACGAGGATACCTTCAAGCTGATCAAGTGAGATGTTTGTCTGCATGAATCTGTGTGTGTGTGTGAGTGATGGGGTGTTTGTTTACGCCTCTTACTCTCTGTCGCCTCTCAGACACTGCCTCCTGCAGTCCATCAAGCACATCCAGATTCTCAGAGAACAGCTGGTGGCTGCGGGGAAGAAAATATTTTACCAGAGCCGCGTGAAGGACGAGCCAGCCTACTACTGCAATGAGTGTGATGTAAGTCCCTCGCCATTTTTTATGTTGTTAATCTTGAGTTTCACATATGAGACGAAGCCCAGATCCTTCTCTGTGCTCGTGCAGGTGGAGGTGTTTAACCTGCTGTTTGTGACCAGTGAGAACAGCAGTAAAAAAACCTACGTGGTGCACTGTGAGGACTGCGCCCGAGCTAACAACTCATCACTGGCGGGGGTGGTGGTGCTGGAACAGTATCGAACAGAGGAGCTGATGAAAGTCTACGACAGCTTTGTGCTGGTAAGTCTCACTTTAGTATATTTGAAGTGAATATGCTCCACAGGCTTTGTTAAAATTTCTAAAACTACATTTTTCAGGGTTAGGCAACTGTAGCATTCAGTTATTCTTTACAATATCCGTGGTTCCTTCTCCGTTTTGCTGTTCGGTAGCCTGCCCTCCGTTGTGTTCTCTTATAGTCAAAAGAGTTGATGTTGTTATATTTCCGTCTCGTGTTACTATACTTCTGATTTGCTAGGAAGTTACCAAAATAAAAGCTTTTAAACTTAAAATGCAGAAACACGTAACAGTTAACGTCAACAACAACTTTGCATAAAAATGTGTTGTTGTTTTTTTGGTAATAATTATTTGAGCATTATTTGTTTTAATAGAGAAATTAGCTATTAATTGTTAGTGATCTAGCTAGACATGGGTGTTAGTCTGGTTAGAGTACTACTTCCTGTTTCTAGTAACTCATTTTGCTTTGAACATCATCATAAGGACGTAGGGACCTGGTAGGGACGTATATTTTTAAATTTGGGCTTGTCTTCATAACAAATCACAAAAAATGTGATCTTTCTTTTGTTGAATAAAATTCTCACCCTTTTTAAGGTGAATTGTTTTGTATTGTATTTATTTTATTCGGTTATCAAAGTAATTCATGTAGATGGAAACATCCTATCATACATTTAGATACATATACTCCCCTTCCTCCACAAACATACAGTACAGGCCAAAAGTTTCTATGTGTCGTCTTTATTTTCATGGCCATTTACATTGGGAGATTCTCACTGAAGGCATCAAAACTATGAATGAACGCATGTGGAGTTATGTACATAACCAAAAAAAGGTGAAATAGCTGAAAACATGTTTTATATTCTATTTTCTTCTAATTGCCTCTGTATTTGAAATGTGCTCTATAAATAAAGCTGTCTTGCCTTGCCTAAATCGCCACCCTTTGCTCTGATTTCTGCTTTGCACACTCTTAGCATTCTCTCGATGAGCTTCAAGAGGTAGTCACCTGGAATAGTTTTCCAATAGTCTTGAAGGAGTTCCCAGAGGGGTTTAGCACTTGTTGGCCCCTTTGCCTTCACTCTGCGGTCCAGCTCACCCCAAACCATCTCGATTTGGTTCAGGTCCAGTGACTGTTGAGGCCAGGTCATCTGCCGCAGCACTCCGTCACTCCCCTTCTTGGTCAAATAGCCCTTACACAGCCTGGAGGTGTGTTTGGGGTCATTGTCCTGTTGAAAAATAAATGATCGTCCAACTAAACTCAAACCGGATGGGATGGCATGTCGCTGCAGGATGCTGTGGCAGCCATGCTGGTTCAGTGCGCCTTCAATTTTGAATAAATCCCCAACAGTGTCAGTGTCACCAGCAAAACACTCCCACACCATCACACCTCCTCCTCCATGCTTCACAGTGGGAATCAGGCATGTGGAATCCACCCTTTCACCTTTTCTGCGTCTCACAAAGACACAGCAGTTGGAACCAAAGATCTCAAATTTGGACTCGTCAGACCAAAGCACAGATTTCCACTAGTCTAATGTCCATTCCTTGTGCTTCTTGGCCCAAACAAATCTCTTCTGCTTGTTGCCTCTCCTTAGCAGTGGTTTCCTGGCAGCTATTTGACCGCAAAGACCTGATTCACGGAGTCTCCTTTTAACAGTTGTTTTAGGGATGGGTCTCCTGCTGGAACTCTGTGTGACATTTATCTGGTCTCTGATCTGAGATGCTGCTCACTTGTGATTTCTTTGGCTGGTGATTCGGATGAACTTGTCTTCAGAAGCAGAGGGTACTCTTGGTCGTCCTTTCCTGGGTCGGTCCTCATGTGTCTCTTAAATACACAAAAACACAATATAAACACACTATCTTGAACCGGATTCATAACAGGATACCACAGAACAGCGCTAGGACCCCTTTTGTCCTGGCGGGGAATTGCTTTGCAACACTCCCCAGGAGATGGAGAAGTATGAGGGCAAATCGTCTCCGTCCATGTGTGTCTCTTCCTCATAGAGCTGATGGGGAAGTATAAATTAGGCTTGATGGTCCCAACCCCATTGATAAAGCAAGAAATTCCACTAATTAACCCTGATAAGGCACAGCTGTGTAATGGAAACCATTCCAGGTGACTACCTCTTGACTCTCATCATGAGAATGCCAAGAGTGTGCAAAGCAGTAATCAGAGAAAAGGGTGGCTATTTAGAAGAAAATAGTATATAAAACATGTTTTCAGTTATTTCACCTTTTTTGGTTAAGTACATATCTTCACATGTGTTCATTCATAGTTCTGATGCCTTCAATGAGAATCTACCAATGTAAATGGTCATGAAAATAAAGAAAACACATAGAATCTGAAGGTGTGTCCAAACTTTTGGCCTGTATTGTATGTATTCATATGCTTGTGTAAGTATCTACACCATCCACATACACACACACTTGTGCATTCCATCACTGAAAATGATTAGGCAGAAACAAAAGCTTATATCACGACGGTGGCACAGGAGTTAAGTGCTCGCTCCATAATCGGAAGGTTGCAGGTTCGAGCCCCGCTCCGCCTGTCGTTGTGTCCTTGGGCAAGACACTTAACCCCCCTTGCCTACTGGTGGTGGTCGGAGGGACCGGTGGCGCCAGTGCTGAGCAGCCTCGCCTCTGTCAGTGCGCCCCTGGGGCAGCTGTGGCTACATCGTAGCTCATCCCCACCAGTGTGTGAATGTGTATGTGAATGGGTGAATGACTGATTGTGTTGTAAAGTGCCTTGGGGGGTTCCAGGACTCTAGAAGGGGCCGTATCAAATACAGGCCATTTACCATTGCCTAACCTGCATAATCAGTGACTATGTACAAAATGTATGAACACATCCACCAAAGTCAAATTAATACCCTTCAAAGATCATTTTTACTGAGAAGTTTTAAAATTGTTTTCCCGTATATAAATACATCTCCTTTTAATACCTTTCTTAGCTTTTTGCACCATAAACTTACAGACTCCTCTCAGGTCATATTTACTCTCTCTCTTTACAAAAAAAAACTTTTGAACTTTGTCAGGGAGTGACATTAATTTTGCTCTAAACATATGCTTCATAAGTTTAACCTGAACCTGTGATTTTAAAAAACTACGGATCAGTATGAGCATAGTAAGTACTCTTTTTTACAAATCAAATTGCATTATTGTTTTATTTGTACTGCTCAAAGTATGCTAAGTGAGGTTTTCTTATTCAAATATTGATATAAAAACGTTTTTAAAAGTATTTATTTACATTTACAGTCTGAATAAAAGAGAAGGTTAAAAATGGCCCACCAGGCTTACTTTTGACATGCCTGTTGTGATAAATAATTGATAGACTATTGGAAAGAGGATATTAATGGTTTTATTTAGTATTTTTTGAAATAGTTTTATTTTTATAGCATTGGAAAAGTTAGGATACTGATATTTATATTTATGAGATACTTATGAGAATATATGTCTATACTAATCAGCAGATTAATTTCTTTCATCCTTTCAGTGGACAGGAATCTTAAATGCACCAGTTGATTATTTCAAAGAAGCTCTTCTTTTTCCAGCTCTTAGCTACAGTGGCCGGCAGCTGGAGCTTTGTTTCTAACCATTTTCCTGTCTCTCCCCCATCGTTTCCTGTCATCTGTCAAAGCCATAATGAAGGCACTTGAGTTCTGCCCGATATGGTCTCAGCTCACAGCAGGACAGTGATAGTCAAACATTCATTATGCACCAATCCATGATAATTGTCCAAAGCTGAGGATTACTGACTGTGTCTAATTCAGATCTCAAGCATCTGCAGGATTATTTTTTTAAATTCTACTTCAAATTTCAGCAAGTAGCTGTATGGAAAATGTATGTGTCATGGTTTGAAGTGGGGAAGATCCAAATGCACTAAAAAGGAGATCCAGGACAAAGCCAGGTAAGGAGCAGGGGCAAAACAGGGAACTACAACATGAGGAATCATCATGAAGGTGTGAACTGGGTTTAAATAGACAGGGAGCGAATACAGACACTAGGACAACTGAGACAACTGTCTATCAGTCTAATTCCCTTATCAATTCCTGAGCAGGTCAAAAGCTGGGAAATAAATGTTTCCGATTGTGTATTGTGTCGGTTTCCGATTCCCGCCCATAAAGGAGATTAAACAAACAAGGACCTGCCAATACTAAAGCTACAAAAGAATGAGAAAGGGAAAACTAAAGAGAAATAAAATAAAACTTATAGGCTGGGGAGGGAGGATGGCTAGACTGATAACTATAACAGGGAGTGGAATGAGGAAAAGACCAGGAAAAGAAGAGAAATGTGGGGATTGGGAAATAGGACATGACAGTATGGGCCAAAATGTAATTGAAATTTATGGTAAAAGAATTTTAAAAATTAGTTTTTGGAGAAACACTTATTTGAAAAACAAATTAACCCCAGCAAAATATTGATAAAGAAAATGCCTGAGCTCTCTTCTTTGTTTCCCTCCCTCAGACGCCACCACCTTTCACTAAGTGAGGAGTCCTCCACGCCGTGCATCATTCAGCCATAACCAAAACTCTAACGGCAGCACAAAAGTTGTCCTGAAGGCGGTCCACTCCTGCGAACACTTCCTCAGTCAGCCAATCACGTTTACTCTGTATTGTTTACATCATACAGAAAAGGTATGGATGCTCAGCCAACCCAAGTCCAGCGCACCGTCTTCCCCATACCAGCTGCAGACTGGACGCGTGTTTTGAAATAGAATGACTAGACTGGTTTTTCACAAAAAAACATTTCAGATGAGTTTAAGAAAAAACACACACACAACGTAAGCACTGCTAGCACTGAAAATCAGGTAATATATGTTCAACGGACACTGCTGTGATTTCAAAGCGTCAAGTAGCCGGTTCTGTGTATTGATTCAGGTACTTTTATGCAAATTCAGTAGAACTTTTTTACACCAATCTAGTTATTCTATATGTCCATGAATTTGCTGTGATTCTATTGTACCAGCAGAGGAATTGCTTCACAGGAGAAGTAGCTGATTGTCACTTTTGGCATCATGTTGGTTCCTGTTTTTCTTTGTTTGGTATTCAGGTAAACTCTGACATTTCTAAATCCTGTCTGTAAACTTTTCGAGGTGCTATTCCAATCTTATTTATTGTTAGATACTTCAATTTACCAGCCTAGAAGTACACCACATTGGCCTTGTGAACTGTATTTAGAGGAGAGGTAATTAGATTAATTAATACAAATGAGGTTTTTATGGCAAATAAAAAAGAAATTCTCAGTTTCTCTAAAATACGGGTTTACTGGAGGACTAATATGGATTTCATTGTCAGTTGGAAATCAAGTGTGTAAAAAGGAATCAGACATTTTGGGGCGTTGGCGTGACTTGTTTGATACGTCAAGTAAACAGACATAAAGCTAGTGTCGTTTTTTGGTTCTAAAATGGGAAAAGCGATTCCCAGTTTTATACCTCTCTTGTTGCTGTTTTTGTTTTAGTGTAACAGAGAAAATAAAGAATTGTAAATTGTGAATGGATTTATGAGACACACAGTGGTGTGCACAGACATGGTGCAGAGGTGATCTTTATGTTAGTAAAATACCCCTGTAGGGTGCAGAGGTGATCTTTACATTAGTGAAATACCCCCGTAGGGTGCAGAGGGGATCTTTACGTTAGTGAAATACCCCCGTAGGGTGCAGAGGGGATCTTTACGTTAGTGAAATGTCCCCATAGCGTGCAGACGTACGTGATCAGAATCTGAAGTGAAAAAGCCAAACAGACGAGGAGAGTGAAAAATGATTGTGTTCAGATCTGAACATCCTGTCTTGGTGAGGTTAACTTCATGCACTGCCAACAAAGTTCATTCAGTCCAAAAAGACTGAAAACCTCAGAAAGCTCAGATGACATTCTTTAGGAGTAATTAGCATTTGTAGAAACCAGGCTCTAATTTACCATGTTATTGTGATATTATTGTTTTAGTGTCATGTCATCAATAACTGCATAAGTATCAGCAAACTATTGCAGCTGATCTGGTTAATTTCCAGACTGTAGCTGAGAAAAGAGCGTCTAGTTTCCCTAAAGTAGGATGATTTCGACAATTAGTTTTAAAAAATTGTCATAAATATGTAAATGTGCAAGTATTTTTTATATGTAAATCTTTACTTAAAAAAATGTGACTAATCGAAACAGAAAAGTTTTAACAAAAAAATATCTGTAAAAGACAGAAGAATCGATATATCAGCATATTAAACATCGACAATACACAATACTTAGATATTTTTCTTTTAGTTCAATTAAATTGAAATTGTAAAATGAGTTTAAAAATGGATTACTGATAAATACAGATTTTTTTTAATAATAGACCTTTGCTTCTACATTAGTGCACTTATCTACACACTATTAATCTCTACATTGTATTGTCTGTTTAGAAATCATATTGGAAGTTTGGCCTCATTATTATGAAGCACCACCCCTTAAAGTTTCAGACCACAGTTCCCTTATCCGTCTGTGCACACCATGTCCTGTACATACTGTAACCAATTTCATGTTTCCTGAAAAACATGTAATTCTGTTCTCAGTCAGAAATCGAATTTGTTGATGTCACTCGTCTTTTGGGATTTTTCTTTGTATTTTTTGTTGGTATTATCTAATACATGCTGAAACTATCCTGTTCACCCCAGTTTAAAATACTGCAATGGGAAGTCCTTCCCTCTCTTATACCTCTTTTTTGTTGTTGGTTTCTGTTATTTTTCTGGTTGGTTTTGTTTTTGAATTATGGAGAAAATGAACATTTGTAAATGGTGACATTATTTATACTATAAATTGTTGTTTGCTTACATATTTATTGCATATCAAATGATACTTCACTTGACAAGGGGCTACAAGGTATTTAAAAGTGTAGTATGGTCATACTGTATGGATAGGGGAAGTGCAATCGGAGGGGCGGTTTTAATATTCATGGTGCTAGACCCCTGCTTGCCTCAATGCCCCCTCACTAAACAGCATTATGTTGATGTATGAACTTAATTCAACTCAAACCAACCATTTGGTGCTTAGAAACCATTTCAACAGGTTACTGGTAACAGAAATGGAATGATGTCTTTGTACTGTATCTAGCAAATGAATACAACACTTTTTGTTTAACTTTTATCTCATTGTATGAAATTCATAACCTTGCGTGGCATTAGTGATTTTATGAGCATTAGCTGTAGTTGTAACTCTTGACACTTTTTGAAGAGACTCTTAGGGATGTGACTTTTATTGGCGTCAAGATTTTTAGTGTCTTGTCCTCATTTGTACTATTAGAGGATGTATCGATGCTCCTTTTTTCCTCCCCTTTCCTCCTCATTTGTTTGATTTATGCTGCACTTATTGTTTCCAAAAGAACTCACATAGAAGAAAACCTGAGCCAAGCCTGTCTTAAATCCCTCTGTGATTTTTCTGTGACATACTGTATTGTTGTTCAAAAAAATAAAATGTTTTGATATGCAATTTGACAGTATGTTTTTTTATTTTGCCTTTTAATTACCTTTCCTGTTACTCCACCAGAGAACTTCAGCTGTGCTGATTTTAGTACTAAGAAATGGAATGTTTAATTAACTAAAAGGTGCAATATGAAAAAATGAAGTAAGAATGACATTCATTGGTCAAATTTGGTTAGTTCAGTCCATTTTTATGCTTAAAATCACTTTCTCACTACTGTTCTGTGAGTTTCATGGCTGTTGTCAGTTACGGATCACAAGATTCTAGATGACGAAGGTGAGTCGTACACTGCAAGTTGATAGGTGAATAAATACATTGTTGTACTTAGTGTTAGCACTTTTGGGTGTTTTACAGTATGGAGCATTTTCAAATCAAAGATACTTTATTAATCCCAGAGGGAAATTAGAGTTTCAGTACACACAAGTCAGAGATCAGACATACATGGGCAAGTCGCATGACAAGAATTGGTGACTGTGGTCATTCGCAACCCTGAGTTGCGCTACCTTAATAGAGATAAGAGGGTTACATGAGGGTTGGTTCAGGTGGAGGGAAAAAAGGCACTTCAGAGCTACCCTCCACCGGGAGGGCAGCTTTGCTCTGCAAAAAAAAAAAACCCACCTCAGACAGAGATATGCAACAGACTTCAGACAACACAACATAAGTGTCCACTAGGTGGGGTGGTGGTTTGGGACTATCCCCACTTCAGTTCCTGCAGCCACGATAAGCAGAGCATGTCACCTCAGTGTGGATAGGGGGAGAGCATTGAGGGTTGGAGGGTTGCAGTGACCCTGGAACGTTTCAGCGGCCTTCCCGCAGTCCCGCCCAGGCTGGAAAAGGAGACAGAGTTGAGTTGCCATAGCGACGGCACATTCCACATATCTTCTGACTGGGGGTAGTTTTCGTTGGAGCCTTGCAGGCTCAAGGGCGCCAGATTCCGATTAGAAATTGTTTTGGGGCCAGACAGAGATAATTTCCTCTGTCTTACAGTTTGTTGGTCCTCAACCTCTCAAAATCCCAATAATGGACATTAATCTACCCCAATCCATGCTGATTCGTCCACTCTCTCCTTGATGGCATCCATCTTTTGTGCCAATAATGAATCTCGGCCAAAGTTCTAAGCTTACGATTCATCTCGACAATTATGTGAGTCTGTGAATTCACAGCACGGTGCAAACCATCTCTGAGCTCCGGGATCAGGCCAATATTCCTCGACAGCTCGTTAATTTTACGGTAAACCAGGTAGCCTCCAAGGCCAATGAGCAGGAAACCTGACACCAACACCACGAATATCCACACGTCTTCAGAGTACTCCACAGACAGCTGAGAGAAACAAATCAAGTTCCACTGTTTCCAGGAGTCCATGATGTGACCAACTGGGTCTGTCCCGGAGGGGCATCCGGGAGCCCCTTCTCCCGTTCTCATCGTTGAAAAAATTTTATCAATCGCGTTGAGAGACCAACAGATGAGATCCGTTTTAGTGAATTTCAGTTTCCAGAAAAAATGCAGAAGCAGCCGTGCACCCAGCACACAGACAGACAAAGGCATTGAGGATAACATATGGAGGACAGGAGGAAAAAAGCGTCTGCACCCTCCAAGAGCCGGAAAAAGTCGCCACGATTGACCCATTCACACATACATTTGACTACGGTAATATTTCTCCAGCATTAACGGAAGTGTGGTTGCTTGCCTTCTTGCTGTTAGCTTGCTGTTATGGTTCAAAATGACTCATTAAAGACGTAAAACGCCACGATTGACCCATTCACACAGACATTTGACTGTGATATTGAGTTATTGGTAATTGAAAATGTAGCTTGAAATATTTTCAGAGCCATCTCTTTGTTTCTAATTCACCATTAGCATTGTTAGCTCAATGTTAGCCTCTAGCCATTTTTACCCAATATAATAAAACAAAACAATGAGTGCGTTGACATGCAGCCAGTAACCCTTTTAAAACCTGAATATTCACAATAACCCGGTTCCGCACGGCCATGTAAACACCGCCAAAAACCCAGATATGCTCATAACCGGGTTTTTAAAAACCCGGTTACTACACCTGGGGTAACACAAATGTTTGGTCATGTAAACGCATATCGGAATATCCCCATCAAAGCGTGTGTTCTGCGCATGCTCTGTTCGCAAGGAATCTTGGTCTTTTGAGTAGCGAGACGTCTTGTATGCGCCAGAACACCAGAAGTAAACAACAAGTTGGGAGCAACATGGAGAGTTGCGGCACAGCACCACACTTTTGGAGTGACGAGGAAACCTCTGTCTTCATCGGGCTGCTGGTGGGTCAATACCAGCACTAAAGCGCAAACAAACGCGGTCGCTATCTCTTCCGAACTGGTAAACATGTTGTTGTTTTCACGGATACTGGAACAAGAAGAACCGGAAATGACACATATTGCATCTTGACGTAGTCCATACGTCCTGACGCTACCCCAAGGTCCGCATTTAGATCGGGTTATGCAAGTTAGGGGTAACTCTTTCTATTTATGCTTGTAAATGGGTTATTCTGATCAACTCAGAAACCCGAATACCGACCTTAACCCGATCATAACCCGGATATTGGCTGCATGTAAACGTAGTCAATGTAGTGACTTCTTAGGAGTTCAAGAAACACCTTTTCGGTTGCTATGTTAATTTGCTTTGGTTCTTGTCTGCCGGTGTCAAATCACAAATGCCAGAACTGCATCGTTAGCTTGGTGCAGACTGGTTATCTTCACAGACTCACAGATTATAAATAATAACTGTGTTCTTTTGTTTTTTGAAAGGAGCAAAACTGACAATTGTCTGAAATTTGTTTCAATATAACCTTCCATTCATTATGATTAAGATATTAGAATGTCTTATGATTATTTCTCTGTAGAATTCTTTCATATTGCTTCTTTAATCAACTGGTTCCACAAGACCTAGTAGCTTAAATGTAACATCTATACATTTACTCCTAACAAAACAACATATAACAATGTCTGGGTTTAGTGGAACCAAGTGACAGAACTTGAAAACAAGTAAATTCAACATTTTATTTTTTAGAGTGTAGTAAGTTGTACACTGTAAAAAGTTAAATTTATAGTAAATTGTCACTTTTATCACCTTACATTTCAAAATAAGTAATTGTTTTATGGTAAATATAAAACAAAACAAAAAAAATAATGAACCTGTTAGTGGTAAATCATGTCAAAATGCCAGATAGGATTAACATATGAACAATGGTTTTCTGGCTTGATTAGCATGACAGATGTTGGGGAATCAGAACATTCCCATAGAAAATTTGTGACTAGAACATCTGGGGTTTATTATTTAAGAAATTCCAGTAGAAGTTGTTTTTGGAACTTATTTTCAAGGGTCCCCTTATCAGCTGTAAGAGTACTGCCAATGGCCACCAGGTGGCATCACTTTATCTATCTGTTATTTTTAGGATTGATTCATTCCTCAGTTATTTTCCACCTACCATCTTCCCAGGAAAAGTTGCAGTCATTAATGTCACTGTTTTTAGCTGATGGTAATCTCTGACTCAGTAACGAGGACTATTATAGTCCACCCACAATACGAGGGAACCTTTTTCCTTTCAAAGAGGACATGAGTTTACCAAACTAGTAGACACATTGACAACACAACATAAACACAAAGTGAGGACACAGCAGGCGGATATCCCCAATTCAAGGACAGGAAAACTGCTCTTCCTCTACCATCTGACACTAACTAAACACGCTGTGGCATTGCTAATGCTTATCACCCCTTTTCTCCATTGTTTTTTTTTCTTCAGTCTAAATGCCGCAAACTCCTTTGATCGTGTCTTACTTTCCTCATAATTAAAAGCTCATTCATCCTCTCAGAGGACTTTGTATATCCATTCCAACGAAGAAATAAATGACTAAACATAGATATCTGAAGTGAGAATTCATCAAAATACCAGCTTCACTCTTTTGAACAGAGTACTTCTGCTCTCTTCTTTTCTCCTTCAAATTAGTCTGTTTCCCCCATCCTCACTTCCCTATATTTGCTGAAAGTGGAGATCTGTTTTTCCTCACAGTGTCAGGGGTCAACCCTTTGTCACTCATGCCCCTGAAACACTCCTAAAACCTTTGGACTTCAGAGCGTTGTGCTGTTGCAGAGGTGAAGGGATTCTAGCATCGTATCCAATACTAAGCAGTGTCCATATTACTTTATCAACTTTTGTCACGAAAACACAAGTAAAAATCTGCCCAGGTGTTAAATGTCATATCAAAGATTATCAGTACTTGACAGAGGAAAAGAGAAAGTGCTCTGCAAGGGTGTGAAATCTTGTGGATTGGGCGGTGTGCCCCAACTCCTATAATCTGTCCAAATAAACACTCATGCTCCCTCCCCCTGGTTCCAGGGGTTATCAGAGGAACCCCCCTACAGCAGCCTTTACTTGACACAGTCCAGCCTGCTGCTTTCATTGCATTTGTATTTGAGGCAACACAGGATACGAGCTCACAGGCTCAATCCTATCTCGAGCTGGAGTCGCAGTGAGGAAACGGAATGTCAGGGAAGGAAGTGCTGAAGGTGGTGGGAAAGCACAACTCGATCCATGTCTTCAGAGCAGTTGTCTAACCCACTTCTCTTACACTTAGGCAGAAGTTTAGAATTGTAAAACCTGGAAAAAGGAACTAAAAGCATCCCTGGATAGCGCCTTTGAGATCTGGACGTTCAGACGGTGAAAGCATTGATCAAGAGGAAATATCTGCTGTACTTTTTGGCGACTACTGTACACCGTTGAACTGCAAGAGTGCTGATAATCAGGGGTTACCCCTCGGTGAGTACAACACCAAATCTGCATGAAGAGGTAAGCTCAGCCTCAATGAGAGACTCAGTTTTTATTATTGTACCTCTCATTAGTTGAGCTCAGGAACTGAGTGCAAAAGTTTGGTGACAAAATGGAACGTGAGGTTTGACGACTTGCAAGAAGAAAATTTAAATGTTTTTAACTCACAGAACTTCAAAGGTAGATAGTAGGAACTGGCACAGGTTGGTTGATTAGTGAAATTTATAAGATGAAACATGCCTGTAAGCAATTTGTGGGAGATGAAATAATTATTTAAAGGTCGCTGGGTTCATTATTCTTGGTGATGGTTATCTTGAAGTTTGTAGGGGGGTGGAGCCCATTTCCTTTCTACTAAGAGCAGTGGATTTATCTGTGTTGCCTTTCCACACTTTCCATCACATTATTCAAAAAGCAATTACTTTAATGGAAAATCTTGTCATATCTTGTTGTTTTTGTCAGATCGACAGGGGAAAACAAGGCAAGGCAGGAAAAAACTGAAAATAGACTCAAGAATGTGTCAACATTCTGGAGCAAACAGAAGAGCACCCATCACTCCTATTCTAATGCCTCTACACTGGTTATCCATTAACTTTAGAGTTCATTTTAGAATCCTGACTATAACTGTCAGGGCTCTACATGGTCAAGCTCCTCTCTATATTACTGAACTGTTAAAGCCTTATGCTCCAACTCGAGCCCTCAGGTCCACACACCAGAACCTTCTAGAAGTTCCAAAGACCAGATATAAAAGTCGAGGTGATCGCTCCTTCCAGACTGTTGCATCCTGACTTTGGAATGATCTTCCTTCATCCTTACTTAGTATTGACAGTCTGGACACTTTTAAAAAACAGCTAAAGACCCCTTTATTTACAGCTGCTTCTACCTAAACCTTTTATTTTCTTACTTTTAACTTAGATTTGTAATCTTTCATCTGTTTATGAAATTTTATAATTTTATGACTTTACATTTTCTGATGTTAATCTATTTCTGTTTTGAGATCGTTATGATTTCATGACTGTTTTATTTTGATCTATGTGAAGCACTTTGTGATTCTATGTCTGTGATAAGTGACATATAAATAAAATTTACCTACTTACTCACTTACTAACATTTATTCATTTAATGAGTGTAGGTGCAACAAGACTGGCAAAATATTTCCATCCAGCAATATTAATCCAAATTATGGTTTGATGTTTTGCAGAATAAGAAGAGACAATGAGTCTTTCACAGAGTGGGACGCTGGAGAAGAAGCTGTCTGAACAAGCCCACTCAGAAGCACGCTCCCCCTCCAGAGCAGGGTCAGGGGTCGTGGTGCCGCCTCCTTACTCCATGGGTGGCAGCGAGGCAGTGGAGCCCCCACTGGAGCTGAGAGGCTCTCTGGACTGCTGGGCTTGCTCTGTGCTGGTCACTGCACAGAATTTGGTCATCGCTTTGATCAACGGTGGGCTGGCAAGCATCGTGTTTGGTGTCATCCTCACCCCCGCTCTAGCCATGATCATATTTGGCTTCCTCTGCCATTCCACAGTAAGGGTTTTGTTAAAAGCAGTTCACTTGAACCTGTTTTGCTTTAAAACATGAAGCCTGTCAATCACCCTCTTGTCTTGGAATGCCAACTCCACTTCACGCAGAGAGAGATGTGTATCTAGAGATTTGACCCTGCTTTCTCAAATCTTAATGGGTTTTCCTGGAGCTTTATTTTGATTTGTTGCAGCTGTAACTAAGCGGCCCTGGTTTCTTAGTGCAATGCATTGTGGGAGGATAAAATACGCTGACAGCAACTGGTAAAATCCTACAGATTTCCCTTTTTATAGATGGCATTGTGCTTTTTTAAAGCACCACTGAAGAGTATTCAACACTTTCAGCTCTTGCTTTCAAACTGGTTTCAGTGATTCTTGAGTCAGAAAGTTGAGTTAAAGTTAAACCAGAAAGTTAATTAATTGATCTCACAGTAAAATGGTAAGTTTGCTGCACAGTTGGCTGCACTAACTTTTTAAACGTATCATATGTTTCATGAGGAAGACGGGCTGACCGATGGACTTGAAATGATAAATGTGTTTGTATTACTTATTTAGTATTGATAATCCTACATTTCACCATGGAGGATGTGCATTACTGTCCACTGTAGTGAAATGCGAGAGAACAACTTTTTATAATAATTCCAATGTAGGATTGCATGTGTTAAAATTACGATGTTAATTTATTTAGAATGATGAGCGTCGCTGTTATGAGATATCTCATTCTGGTGTGAGAGGAGCCTCTGAACTCGGTGACCCCACCAGAACAAAAAATAATAATAATGAAGAAATGTGGATGAGGCCATAGAAGTTATAGTCTGGTCTGCTTTACCTTATGCAATGAATCACACATATGTTGTCAAAAATAATTCTGTGTTTTCTGTCAAATACTCTAAACTCATGAAGTCTCCTTGTTCTAATTCAGACATGTCCTAAGTGCAGCCCAGGGGCCATTTGCAGCCTACAGACTGATTTTGTGTGGCCCTTACTTACATTTCAAAAATTATACATATTTTCTCGCCTGTAGATGAAAGATTGATCAACACTTTCTAACATTTTGATGTTCAGGTTTGTACAAAATGTGAATATTTTATAACTTTTTTAGGGGGATTCGTATTTAAAAACATGTTTGCTTTTAAACAAAAAAATCTGCATCTATGTTCCTACCCTCACCTATGGTCACGAGCTTTGTGTAGTGGCCGAAAGCATAAGATCGCGGATACAAGCGGCCAATATGAGTTTTCTCTGCATGGTGTCTGGGCTCTCCCTTAGAGATAGGGCGAGGAGCTCAGTCATCCGGGAGGGGCTCAAAGTAGATCCGTTACTCCTCCACATTGAGAAGAGCCAGGTGAGTTGGCTCGGGCTTCTAGTTAGGATGCCTTTTGGACGCCTCACTGGTGAGGTTTTATGGGCACGTCTAACCAGGAGACCTAAAAAAGACCCAGGACACACTGGAGGGACTCTCGGCTGGCCAGGGAACACCTTATGATTCCCCCGGCGTACCTGGCCCAAGTGGCTGTGGAGAGGGAGTTCTGGGCTTCCCTGTTTAGGCTACTGCCCTTGAGACCAGACCCCGATAAGCGGCCAAAAATGGATGGATGGATGGATGGATGGATGGATGGATGGGTGGATAGATGGATGGATGGACAAAAAAACTCATTTTTGTGGTCTACAAAGACCATTAGCTTGATGATTTTTACCATCATCTTGAAAAGTTTGGACACCCCTGTTCTGACTGAAAGGTACAAAGAAGGACAAACAGTTTTTGTCCTTAATTTATCCTTCTTTATCCTCCCTATTTCCAGGTGCAGCCCCATGGAACATCTGTTTACTGCTCCGATGTGCTAGACGACACCGGTTGTGTGGCTCTGCTGGTGGTGGGGTTCCTGCTTCTGACCCCTCTGCTGGTCCTGGCACTCGCTGCCTACTGTCGCTTGGTGCGACACCTCCAGCTGGGCCTCTGTTTTATTCCCTATAGCCGTGCTGTCTACAAGAACCTGCCTACTTCTCAGCAGCGAGTGCCCAGCTCAGCAAGCTGCTGCAGCCAGCCGAAGGTGAAGGAGCATGAGGAGAAGGGAAGCGTTTGGGTGTAGGAGTCTATGGTTTGATATGTAGTGCAGCTTTTTGTTTCAAGCAAACCAGTTATAGAATGCTCAATGAAAACATATTTGTCAATGTCCAATGCGTTTTCTTACCTTTATTGATTGTTTTGAATTATTGAATTGCAGTTGTTTGTATCGTGTCACTGTGGCTTATTTGTTACAGTTTCTGTTTATAAAAAGTGTTTTATACCTATTTTTGACAATAAAGTAGCAATTTACATACATATTTGTGTTTACACTGAAAGTGAGCATGAAGGCCTACAGAGACCTTTTATTGGACAAAGGTATTTTTATTAAATCTGTTTAAGATCACATAGTCTAAATGTTCAATCCCCGCCTGGTTCAATAGTCATTTTGTTTAAACTGGACATCCTGAATCTGCTAAAAACCTGGAAGCTCACTTAGATTTTTCTTAATAAAACTTACATATACGATGAAATATTGGGGTGAAATACTACAGATATGATAAAACACAATATCATGCTTTTAGATATGACATATTCCCACATAATATAAAACACACCTCAAACACGACTCCCAGTTTAATCTATTTTGAGACCTTATGTCATATGCATTATAATAAGCCTGCAGATGTTCAGTTCCAGAATTCACTGGGACTCGATTACCTGCCTCAGGTATACTCGCAGGCATAAAAAAGATCAGAAATAAAAAATGAACCCTTATGACACGTACACAACATGGTGGTCATGTTGACATGATTTTCTTTGTCTATGGCTCTATTACTTCATCTATAATCATGATCCACATTCTACATATAATATCTACATACATTATCTAGAATCATTTTAGAGTTTTTTTCCCAGTGTTTCAAGAAAGAATGTGTATCTACAATTGGAGTTTCACTGATTTCTAATAGTTTTCTTATTCTGAAGTAAAATAGTTTAATTTGAAATAATCAGAGAAAGGAAGACACAAGAAATATATTTATTGGTATATAAAAAATAAAATAAAAGTCATTCATGGGTGTTCCAATATCTAAATATTGTATCTTATAGAAATAGGTAAAACTTTTAATTTAATATTTGTCAAATAAAAAAAATTATAACAATTTTAACTGTAACTGGGTAATACATTTTAGTCCTAAATTATAACACCTTTGTAATGATCAAACTTTGTTCAGAAAACCATGTATTATGTGAATATAATAGTGTTTAAATATCCAGCTGCTGTTTGTATTATCATTTAAATTCATCCTATGAAGGGAAAATAAAAGTAATAACAATTATTATTACTCTGTTGCATGTAAATTTGTGTAGATTTTCTATAAATCACAACAATGAGAACAATGTCTGGTATTTTCTGGAAACGTCTTTACAAGCTTCCTCAACTGATTTGCAACACCCCTCCCAACCACAAGGTGGAGTCAGAACCAACCTTCCAGAAATAGTCATGCAGTAAACAAAAACTTTCAGACCTCATTAGCAAGATATACAACCTTTATTTATATATTTATATACAGTACAACTTGAAGGTTTTGCATGAGTTTTAATAAAATATTAGAAATCTTATGAAGTACTGAATAAATTTGAAGATGTATTATTGTGCTTCCGTAAAGCTCACATTAGGTGGACATGAGTTTGTGTCTGGGGGAGATGTGTAAGGTTAACAAGGCTGGTTGTTGATATTCATCAGTAATTTGTCTTGCTGGGTTTTGTAAGGTGCTGTGAATGCACCAGGTGCCAAGGTACCACGCCCTTCTTCATCCACCTGACCCATGATAATGTGGTTGGCACCTATCAAAAAGGAAATGATCATTCAGATTTTCTAGCTTTATGTTTCTCATATTGTATTTATGAAAAAAATAATAATTAAAAACAAATCCATGATTGTGAGTTCAAAACACATCATACCTCTGCGGAGCAAGGGGCATTTCTTGCACTGGGACACCAGCTTCACAGCCATGGTCTCTCCAACCTGCGTGATGGTCAGACGACCTGCCTTGTAGGCCTTGATGAGGGAGACTTTAATGTGAAGAGTGCCTCGGGGTCCAGGGGTCAGAGACATCACCTTCCCAGTTATCACTAGAAAACAAAGTAGTCAATGAAACCACTTTACACCAACAGTTTTATTGTGCAGGGATGAAGGTATTTGCACTCTAAAAATTCTATTCCATTTTTGTCACACTTTGTTTCAGATCAGCAAGAAAATTTTGACATTATTTTTAAATCGTGGTTTAATTTGTTAAGTAACAATAAATGTGTATTTTATTTTATTTATTTATTTTGCTTTAAGCTAGAGCTTTAACATAAATTATTGCTGAGTTAGAAACTTGATCAGTTTCATATTTGACACCACTCTGCACCCTTATGCTGACCAAACACTGCACTAGATCATTTTGTGGAGCAGGTAAGTGTCCCAGAGGACACTCTTTACCTGCTTGGGACAGCAGTAGCTCAAGACATAGAGCGGGTTATCCAGTAATCAGAAGTTTGTGAGTTTAATCCCGGCTCTGACCAGAGAATGCTGCTGATGTCTTCTTGGGCAAGACACTTAACCGGCCTTGCCTGCTGGTGATGGTCAGAGGGATCGGTGGCGCAAGCCTCGCCTCTGTCAGTGTACCCCAGGGCAGCTGTGACTACACTGTAGCTCATCATTTGTGTGTGTGTGTGTGTGTGTGTGTGTGTGTGTGTGTGTGTGTGTGTGTGTGTGTGTGTGTGTGTGTGTGTGTGTGTGTGTGTGTGTGTGTGTGTGTGTGTGAGTGTGTGTGTGTGTGTGTGTGTGTGTGTGTGTGCGTGTGTGTGTGAATGGGTGAATTGTGTTTTGAAGCGCCTAGGGGGGTTGTAGAACCCTAAGAAGGCACTGCAAATACAGGCCATTTACTTTATGGCTGTTAGCTGTAATGCTAGCACTTAGCATTTTCAGTTTGACAATTATCAAAAACACAAAAAGAAGTTTGCTTTTTTTGTTGGCATCTTGGGGGACCCTGGAAGTAAAAGTAAGAGAGTAATGTCTTTGGAGGCGAAGCAAACAGCTAAAAGTGGGGTAAACATTGACGCAGCCTACGCTAGTTTGAGGGAGCTAAAGGAGGCTAAAAAATCTGATAATGGTGAACTGCATGACTTTGTTGCTACTGAACTTGTAAGCAATAATATTTTTGTCCAACAGTGTGGAACTTTAAACGTTGTGGTTAATTTTAGTATTAGTTGGCTCGTGTTAGTGTTAGCTCATTGTTAGTGCTAGCAGGCTGCAGCAGGGTTGTTTACTACAGTTGTTAATACATGTTTAACCAGTAGGGCGGAGGAGCAGGAAACTGCTCACTGTTACTTTAAAGGAAAAAAAACCTATTCAAACCAATTTAAACCTGTGTGAAAAGTAATGAATTAGCTAGGATTTATTGTTGGGAAACACTACAAGCTTCAGTTGGTTGAGGTTAGGGTAAGGGGGTTATGATTCTAAGAGATAGCTCAAAAGCCAGAACGCCTGCTGACAAAAAAAAAATTAAATCAAATAAAAATTAAATCATAAAAGCAATGGAAAATAAAAAGCTGAACAAGAAGAAATCTTTTAATGGCCTACCAAATTCACTGGAACAGAAAGCGGTCTTGATGGTTCCAGTTCTTTTACAGGCTTTGGCACAGAGAGGATTTTGAAGAACTATAAATACAAAAAGCACCAAAAGAATAGTTTCAGTTGTCTGGTACCCTCTGCTAAATGTGCACATGCCTTCACCCACCAGGCCTCTTCCCATTTGGCCTTGAGACACGGGCTTTGGTGGTAGTAGGGATGGTGGAGGTGGTAGGAATGGTAGTGGTGGTGATGCGTAGGACAACAGGGCGTTCGGGTTCTGCAGGTTTGATTACAGGTACTGAGGGGACAGATACCGTTCTGGCTCCTGATTCAACTGTTGCTGACTGAGACCCACGTGGGATGCTGGTGTAGTAGGCAAAGAATCCATCAGACGGTACACTGAAGTCAGACACAAAGTGGACCAGAAGCATATTCCCACTGGTAATAATTGGTCTGAAGGAGAGACGGGAAAAAAATCAGCATGAAATCAAGAAATTAGTTTTGCAAATTACTCCTCGGGTCTTGAGATGCCTTACTCTGGGGTCTGATCACCACAATATCTTCCAATGAGGCGTGAATCGTCCCTCTCTCCGCCATTGAAAAATAACACATAGTCAAAGCGACAGTAGGTGTCAGCCTCAAGAATAAACTTTTCAAACTTCACCTGGATGACCTGGGACACAAAAACAAACAGAAATGTTTCTTCACCAGATTTGTTAAAGGCCATCCATCCATCCATTCATTCATCCATCCATCAATTTTCATCTGCTCATCCAGGGTGGGGTCATGGGGGCAAGAGCCTAAGCAGACTTCCTGATTCCCCTCTCCCCAGCCATTTGGACCAGCTCCAGGAGGCATCCCAACCAGATGTTCGAGCCACCTCAACTGGTTTCTCTCAATGTGGAGGAGCAGCGGATCTACACCGAGCCCCTTCCGGATGACCTCGCTTCTCACCCTATCTCTAAGGGAGAGCCCAGACACCTTGTGGAGGCATTCATTTTGCCTGCTTGTATCCGCATAGCTACCCAAAGCTCAAAACCATAGGTGAGGGAAAAGTTCCAGGAAAAGAAGGAAAAAGTATGTCACACCTGGTTAGGTTCTACCGTGATTATCCAAGAGCAGCTGATCCCAGGAGGGTACTTATTATCAGGCCAGTTGGGTGTCTTGATCTCTCCCTGGGATTTTGTCATCTTTCCCCCACAGAACTGTTCATCTGAAACAGAAAATGACATGTTTGCCAGATCAAAACACATTGCCCCTGCACAAGACTGAATTTAAAGTTAAGACTGGGATGTTACTTGGCTCCTGTGAGGGAGTTTCTAAAAATCATGAAATATTTGCAAGCGTTCTCAGTTTCCTCAAGCGAGTCATGTGGGATTTGGTGTTAAGTGAAAGTACATTGTGGATGTCTGAAACTAGCTCAAAATCTAATCAATTTATCTTCTACATGACTCATGGTCAGTTCCAGCTTGCAAGTAAAAAAAATCTAATGTCTCAGGTTTACCACAACCACAGATGATCGGATCAGAGGTTGTTTACTACAGAACAAAAGCCTGAAATCAGAAGCTCTTGTAACATATGGTGTCCTACTTCCCTAATGTGTTTAATCTCACCTTGTTGGCTTCTCTTCCTGCCATCATACGTTTCCTGCTCTGCTGTGAGTCTTACCTTCTCTCTGAACAACACAATTTTTCAGTGAGAGCTCCAGGTGACTTTCAGTTTTGTTAAGATTTATTTTGATCTTTGATCTCCTCATTGTGCGTTTGTCTTTTTAACGCCTAATCTAACAGCTGAAATGTCTCCTCAGCCTTCATTAGTTTCAACAGGAGTGATTCATCACTAAATAAAAAACATCAGCTGTGTTCATTATCTAAAACTTGCAGGAACTGTGCTAGAACAAGACTGCCAGTGGAACATTCTGGCTACAGGAGGGGGCGATGGGGGAAGGGTGGCCTTTTATTAACCGTGTAAACCAGGGGTATTCTATTCCGGGCCTGCTGGTATCCTACGCATTTTACTTTTAACTCTGTTTCAACACACCTGATTTCAGTCAGCAGGTAATTAAGAGGCTTCTGCAGAACCTGATAAGCTGCTGAATCAAGTGTGCTGGAGCAGAGAAACCACTAAACTGTGCTGGATACTGGCCCTTCAGGCCTGGAATTGAATCCCCCTGCTGTAAAAGGTTGTTTTAGTACATACTGGCTCAAGAAAATAAAAGTCAAATGCAAATTATACCTTTAAAGAAGAAAATGAACAACCTTGTCAACACAAATGTTTCCACATACCATTGACATAAGGCTTTGCTCCACTAAAATAGGCCACAAATCCTCGACCTTGTGTTTCTCCATCACTCCTCATCTCTAGCATCATTGTGTTTGTGCTTGAAATAAGAGCTCCTGGCCGGAAAGTTCCACAGAAGCGCCCCAGTTTTTGTACCCCGTTGGAATGGCCGTTGTAAACTTCCAGGTAGTCATATCGACACTGTGAGTCGGCCTCCAGGTCAAAAATGCGGAAGGAGAGCGTGACCACATTCCCCTCTGGGACCTGGAAAGCAGATGCATCATGTGGGAAATAGAAACTCAGAGGAGTCCGATGTGAACGAGTCAGTGGTTTGGAGGTAAAACGGAGATAGTGACTCACGGTAATACGCCAGATGCATTTGCTGTTGGGTTTGTAGAAGTTTGGGAATCCTTCACTGCCAACAAATCCTGATTCTGCTACCAGGTCTCCTCCACAGTAGAACACAGGCCTATCATGAGAGAACATCATGGGAAGAAGGACTTTTATTTCATTGTGACTTTATTACTTCCAAGCCAACATAACCTTTGTAATATATTAGCCAATGAAAACGGTTGTGTGTTTTGACCTTTAAAACAAAGGCGACCAAATTCTGGTGCTTAAAGAGCTACTATTCTGCATGTTTTACATGATTTCTTACTTCAATTCACCTGAATCAGGTAGTTAAATTAATCAATCTGCTGGTAAAGTTCTGCAGAAGTCGGATTTATTTAGATGAGGTGTGTTGGAGCAGGAAAACCTTCAAAATAATGGTCTTAGAAGACCAGAACTTGGTGACCATTAGTGCTGAAATCAAATTCAGTTAGAAACAGCCACTAAATAGCTTGAAAAGCTAACAGCTAGTCTGTATGACCAAAGTTCTCTATATTTATACTCTATTGTATTTAAAGAAATGCTCATTCTAAGCTTAAATGTGGAGTAAGAGATTGCTTTCTGGAGCACTTTTTGCCATATTGCTTGAAATAATATACACAAAGGTTAGGTTATGCATGCTCCCTGAAGGAGAGGAATGAGGGACAATGAAGGTACAATGGGACATCATGCCCTTGTGTGTCCTGGCTGAAGACACATCTAAATCACACCAGTAAAGGCAAATGAGCATCACGCTGGGTGGTGGCCCCACACTCCACCTGTAAGCCCATGGTGTCACCAACATTTCTCACTTCAATAGCCTCTCTCCACCAAGCTAGGCTGCGAAGGGGATAGCAACTCAGACCCAGCAGAAATACCTCCATGAGCCACCAAAGTGGCCATGAAATCCAGATGGTAAAACCTCACAAAAGTGCGAGGTGCAGCTAACCCGCTCTGCTCCTCAGAGGCAAAAGGAGGACTGTTGAAAAGGCAAAAGCTCTATTGTCATAGAACCGTAGGTCAGCAGGATGACTTCGGCCATATAGGCAGTATTTGGATGCAGAGTTACCCTAGACCCATCGGTTGAAAATTGCAGAGGAAGAGTGAATCAAAGGAGCATGACGATCCCCCACTCGATTAGCCGATGCCAGGGCTGTCTTATAAGACAGGAACTTCATGTCAACCATGATCGGAGGGACATGGGTTCGATTCCAGCTCCTGCCAGGGGTATTTTGCGGTTGTGTCCTTGGGCAAGACACTTCACCCAACTTGCCTGTGTTGGTGGTGGTCAGAGGGGCCAACTGAGCCAAATGGCAGCCTCGCCTCTGTCAGACCGCCCCAGGGCGGCTGTGGCTACAAAGTAGTTTCTCATCACTGGCAAAGTGTGAATGTGAGAGTGTGTGAAAGCATCTTTGAGTGTCCTAAAACATTATTAAATGTAGGACCACAGAGGACCTCTGGAACCAAAATGAGGTCCCAAGAAGTGACAGAAAGTATAACAGGCCTCAGCTTGCAAACTCCCTTCAAGAACAGTCTAAGCCATCATGCCCAAAAGCTGTAAAGCTGTGAGGTGTTAGGTTGGCTTCTGGTTGGAAGTGTGTCATGTGGTTGTGGAACGCGGCAATCCAGTGATCCAAGAGGTGCGCCCTGGCCAACCGAGAGCCTAAATCTTGTCCGTGAAAGGAAACCCTCTGGCTCGGAACTGGGGACCTCTTCTGGTCATTTATGGAGAAAACCCAGGGCTTAAACATGAGAAAGAACCTGAGAAATATGAGCCTCCACATGCACTCGAGAACTCGCTACCAGAGCCCAATCTACCATGAAGGTGAGAATGTGGGTGCCCCTCTCTCTTAGAGGTACTAATGCAGCTTCCACACATTTGGAAAAGGTGCGGGGAGCTATAACTAGTCCAAGTAGGAGGACCAAATACTCGCAAACGAAGCACAGGAACATCCTGCAATCGGGATGAATCCCTACATTAAAATATGCATCTGTGAGATCGATCGCAACAAGCCAATGTCCGGGACTGACAGTGTTTGGTAGCTGCTTGAGCATTAGCATTTTTGAAAAACTGTACCTGCGCAAATACTTGTTTAGTATACACAGATCCAGAATGGGAAGAAGCCCTCCTCTTTGGGACAACAAACGGTATTACCAACACTTGTTTCTTTCCTTGAGGGGGGACTTTGACAGCTTGAACAGCTTATTTGAGGATTTTTGAAGACATCTTCTTTTTGCAAATAGCCTCTCTCAACATGACCAAATGCCTCAGACTCCTCACTCACAGGCCTCCTCGCAGAAAGATGTGTTGGTGGGATTGTGGAGGTCTTTGAAGTATACTCCACCCACAGATTTATTCACAGCCTTTACATACAAACACACAAAATGGCCAAAAGTCCCTTAAACGAGGTGCAAAATGGAGTTTGGAGAGAGCTTTTTTATTAGGGAGTCAGCTAGCTTTCACAGTGATCTTAACCTTCATCCATCACATCATTTAAAATCATTTTAGCTTAAAAAAACTGCCAAGCCCATTTAACACCTGACTGACCAGTGAGGCATCTAATTATGATGTGATTAATTTGTTGCTCCCTGACTGACTGATCATTTGACAAAAGGGAAAATGACCTTGTTTGGACTGTTACCAGCTCGGAAACATTTGGCCATACGGAAATAATCCAAGAAGTTACTTGGGAATCGATGAAGTCATTTAATAGACTGTGAGATGTGTGGAAAGGCTCTACATTCTAGAAAAAGATTTTTGAGGCGATAAGATACCTTTGTTTGTCATTAAACAGTCAGATTAGAAAAACCAAATGGAAAACTAAAATTTTTGATAATCAAAATTGAACTGCATGGAACAATAAGACAGTGGAACCTCAGCAAAGTCATTTGGCTGCTGATCGAAAGCACTTTCAGAGCCACAGCCAAGTTTTTGTTTTCGATCCCAAAAGCAATTGACATCTGTAGCAGCTGACCCTCAAACGTCCAAACGTAACTCAAAGACAATCTGGACAAATGTCTCTGATTAAACCAGGAGAAATGGAAGATTTTAAAAAGGAGGGCCACGAAATCAAAGAACCACACTAGCTGCTTTTTATGAATACTTAATCTCTCACCTAGTGTTGTTGGTCTGCTGCGCCTTGGTCCATCCAGATGTCAGGGACAGGAACAAGAGGAGCCCCCAGATGCAGCACGGAGACATCATGATTCAGTGAGCACACAAAGCAAAGCAGGCTTGTTGCAACAGACAGTAACAAGATTCGGGGGGTGAGAGACCAGGGGAGGAGGAGGCTGGTTTGGGTGGGAGGAGAGAGTGAATGAGTGGGGGTGAAATCAGAGATTCAAGAATGGATAAAGATACAGAAAAAAACTGTCTTGAGGGGGGACGATGTGACCAGAGGGGGAGGAGAAAGTTTTAATTAGAGCCAGATGTTTCCTTCTGGTTTCTGTAAATGGAGGGAATCTCTAGGAAAAGGTCTTTTTTACATTAAAAAATGCCTCCAGATGTTTCTGCTTCTTCTAACTTCACATGAAAGGAAGGATTTGATCAGATGTCCATTTAACTCCATCCTGTGTCTGGGCTGGTCATTATATGGGTTCAGGTGGAGGCAGAGCCTGAGGCACATTCCACAGCAGACCAGAGGCGAGTCCTTTCCTTAACATTAAAGCTTGTGTTTATTTCCCCTAAAATCATTAAGTTCAGCTACATTTGAAACTAAATGCACAAAGGATTCACAAAGATCCCACATGGGAGCTTTAAAACATAAAAATGGATCTCTTCCCTTTTACAAGATTTCTCTGAATTCCAGAAGCTCCTTTGGCTCTGCTACATTAGTCAGACTATCAGCCCCCACAGTCCTCTAAGACAAGAATAATACTGAAGAGGGGGGTATTCTGTCTCTGCCGAGCCCTGGTGATGAGCCAACCCTCTGGCCTACATTACTGAGGCCTGTTGAAGGGATGATAAAATAAAATCTACCACTTTTACAGACAGAAAACACCTGGATTAAAAAGTGGGAAAGGCAGGATGGACATGCTGTAAAAGCACAAAATAGATTCTACCTTAAAAATTTAGAGCGTTATAAGCTTTATACTTGCAAAAATAAAACTGACTCCTTACAGAAATTTTCAGCCGGGGGGTGGGGGGGTGGGGGGGGGGGGGGGGGGACTGTGCAGCATGGGGTGTGTCACTTCAATGTGTTAGATCAGCAAGCAAATTTCATAATCTATAACCTAAAAAGTTTGAAAATGCAGCTTAGAGATGATGATTGATGAAAGTGGTGCTAGACCAATGGGTTCTTACAACTGGAAACTGTTCTTTGATTCTCAGGATGACTTCTGATACTTTGTTGGGGCTCACAATGACCCAGGAGCCCTGATAAATGGCCTAATACAACCCATAATAATACAACCCATAATAAAGCCCTGCACCCATGGCCAGGACATGGATGTTAAACAAGGATGCTAGCATTAGCTCTGGCTAGCAGTAGCTCATCCTAGTGTTAACAGTAGCTCAGGGCTAGCGTTTGGCAGTTAGCATTACCGCAACCAACATTTAAGTATTGCCAAAAGTGAGGCCGTTTTGGACAAAAATTGCAGTTCCCCCCTCATCCACTAGGATTTGCCCCCTCATCCACTAGGATTTACCCCCTCATCCACTAGGATTTGCCCCCTCCTCCCCTAGGATTTACCTCCTCATTCACTATCATTTATCACCTCATCCACTAGGATTTGCCCCCTCATCCACTAGGATTTGCCCCCTCATTCACTAGGATTTACCACCTCATCCACTAGGATTTGCCCCCTAATCCACTAGGATTTGCCCCCTCATCCACTAGGATTTGCCCCCTCATACACTAGGATTTGCCCCCTCATTCATTAGGATTTACCCCCTCATTCACTAGGATTTGTCCCCTGATTCACTAGGATTTACCACCTCATCCACTAGGATTTGCCCCCTCATCCACTAAGATTGGCCCCCTCATTCACTAGGATTTGCCCGCTCATCCACTAGGATTTGCCCCCTCATTCACTAGGATTTGCCCCCTCATCCACTAAGATTTGCCCCCTCATTCACTAGGATTTGCCCCCTCATCCACTAGGATTTGCCCCCTCATTCACTAGGATTTACCACCTCGTTCACTAGGATTTGCCCCCTCATTCACTAGGATTTACTACCTCATTCACTAGGATTTGCCCCCTCATCCACTAGGATTTGCCCCCTCATTCACTAGGATTTACCCCCTCATTCACTAGGATTTGCCCCCTCATTCACTAGGATTTACCACCTCATCCACTAGGATTTCAGAATCAGAAAAAAGGTTTATTGCCATTGTCAGTGAACAAACAATTCACAAACTAGGAACTTGCTTCGGTACTAACGTGCTACATATAACATGAATAATATAATTAAAAAATAGAATAAAGTAGAATAAAGTAGAATAAAAAATAATAAACTAGCATAGAACTTTGCTATAAAAATGGCAGGTAAAGGTAATATGGCCGATAACGTGACGTTATGTCAAGTACCGAAGACGAGCATGGTTGTGTGTTTATAAGCTGACTGCACGTTAGCACCAGGGCGACCATCCTCGGCGCAATCTTAGATTTATATATTTTTATATATTTGTCCCCTCTTTCACTAGGATTTACCACCTCATCCACGAGGATTTGCCCCCTCATTCACTAGGATTTACCCCCTCATCCACTAGGATTTACCACCTCATCCACTAGTATTTGCCCCCTCATTCACTAGGATTTACCCCCTCATCCACTAGTATTTACCCCCTCATCCACTAAGATTTACCCCCTCATTCGCTAGGATTTCTGGATCCAGAAAGCAGCAAGTTCCCATTGACATCCATGTTAAAAACACCTATTTTACAGCACAAAAACAGTGGGCCAAAACAGTATTTAGTCACCGTCCAGTTGTGCAAGTTAATGTCCCATTAGTCATCATCTCACACTGGTGGAAGTACATCTCTGCATGTGGCCCATCCCCATGGGGGAACTGTGAGCTGAATCCGTGGCTGTGCTCGGGAACTATTTGATGGTTTAATGACAGAGATCATACGCTTTCTGTGAGTCTTCACATGGTTTTCACACACGGATGCTGGTATTTTGGCCCATTCCTCCATGCAAATCTCCTCTAGAGCAGTAGTGTTTGAGGCTGTTGCTGGGCAACACGGACTTTCATCTCCTTCCAAAGATTTTTTTTATGGGGTTGAGATCTGGAGACTGGCTAGGGCACTCCAGGACCTTGAAATGCTTCTTATAGAGCCACTCCTTCATTACACGGACGGTGTGTTTGGGATTATGGTTATGCTGAAAGACCTTTGATGATGGAAGGTTTTTACTCAAAATCTGATGATTCATTACTTCCTTTACACGGATCAGTCAGTATTTTTCTGAAATCTAGTGTTTTTGTGAATTTGGGCCACACTGGACCAGCATAGTTTGGATATAATTTTTAAATAAATGACATTTGTATTCATCATTCACTCTGTGTATTTGATAGTGACATTTGTAGACTTGGCTGAAATAGAACAGAGAAACTGGTGAAGATTTGAGAGCTTCGGGAGTTTTGGTGCTCAATGAGAAACACTCTTGTTTCTTTGTGATTTGTTTATCCTAATCCAACATTTTGATAAGAAACTGAAGAAATAGGAATGTGATGACGAGCAGAACTCTTCTAGGGTGTGAGCTTTACATGAACATTAATAACCGCTCAGCTTTTGCTGTTACATGTGGGGGAGTGGGCAACCTTGGCAGTAATCGAAGCCAAGAGGGTAGTTTTATTTATTTTTTATTTTTTTGCAATAACCTCTAATGAATCCTTCAAGCTGGACCCACATTCCTTCTAAAAGAAAATGAAATAGCAGTGGGGGAGTATGCCAGTGCAGTGGAGGCATGCGTAAGGGAGGGCTGGCTGAAGCAGAAAATGGAAAACAAATTTAAAACAATCTGACACCAAAGTAGATTATCAAGCTGTTTCTGAGAGAACCCTGGTGTAAGGTCATCTGGGTGTTTCTCCGAGACAATATGCATCTCTCTTCTTCTCTTAGCAAGTCACCATGTTATTATAACATAGTCAGTTTCTTTGCAAACTCTAAACTTGTGATTTATTTGTGGAGAACTGGATGAAGATGAATGCATGTGGCCGTGTGAATCTAGGTGAGACAGTGGCAAAACCAAACTGATGATTTCAACACCAACAACACATCTGCTCTCTGTGATTGCGGTTCTCTAATTATGCTTTGCGGCACAGTGAAACCGGATGTCAGCAAAAAATAGAACCATGCGAACAAAGGCGAAAATGAGTTGAAATTTGATACGGTCTTTCTTTTTCTACTTCTCTTAGATTTAAGTAGAAGTCAGGGAAGCTCTGCAGCTTTTTTACCTGGATATCACTTGTACGTTCACTTTGCACAACAACACAGATCACCTAAGCTGGTTCATAAACTGGAAATGTCATAGTGGCGACAGTCAATTTTATGTCTGCAGATTTAAACCAGTTCACTTTTGAAGCTGATCCAAGCAGATCTTGTCATTTTGGTGAAGAAACGGTGGAACGCATGCTTTTCTCATGCCCATCATGCTAAAAAGGTAGCTTTTGTCTCCATATTGCTGATATTTTATTTTAACAACTCTGATATAAATATGACAGCAAGTCCTCATTTACAATGGGATGCAAATGTTTGGGCACAGTTGTTAACCTTCATGATTTTCCTGTATAAATTGTTGGTTGTTACGATAAAAAAAAATTCAGGTAAATATATCATATGGGAGACACACACACAGTGGTATTTCAGAAGTGAAATTAAATTTAGAGGATTTACAGAAAAAGTGCAATAATTGTTTAACCCTCCCTCATTGTTAATGGGGTCAGATGGACCTCTGGTGTACTTGCAATTTTATTTGAATTTTTTTAGGGGTGCATCACTTCCTCCCTGCCAAGGCATAAACTTTAAACCCCATTTAACCTTGTCCTGGCAGGGTCACCTGATAGGAAATTGGAAGGGTTAAACAAAATTAGGCAGGTGCAGCCTCTAAATGCTTCCTATAGCTTCCAGTGTGAGTGTGGATTCTGGGTGAAGGTACCATTCTTTTCAAAACATCTCTAGTTCACTGAGGTTTGATGGCTCCTGAGCATGGACAGCTCTCTTTAACTCACACCACATATTTTCAATAACACTGGTATTGCACATCCAGTATTGCACAAGTACTGAACACATACTAAATATTGCATTGATGTTATTGTGGTACAAGATAATGCCAGTACCAGTTAAACTGAGGAGTCATACACTTTTACTGCAGAGGGGATGAATGACCTACGGTAGTATTCTGTTTTACATCTGGGATGTCTGAGTCTGCCTCTGAAGGAGCTGTCCATGGTCTCCACAGTGCAATGCACTGGGTGGGAGGGTTTTTCCAAGATGGAGGTCATCTTCCTCAGCATCCTTTCACGCGTCTCCTCAACTGAATCTAGTTGGCAGCTCAAAAAAGGGCTACCGGTAGGTTTTTTTTAACTAACTTGTTCAGTCTCTTTCTGTCACTGGCAGAGCTGCCTGCACCCCGACCGACCACGGCAGGTAAAATTAACTCTGAAGGGCTCCAGTCTCCTGAACGCTCCTGAACGCTCCTGAACAGACATTCCCCATCACGCGCTCTGCGCTCCTCTAACCAAGGCCTGCTCGTTGTCCCTCGTTCTAGGTGTCGTACTCGCGGGGACCGGGCTTTCTCAGTACTAGCACCGTCACTATGGAACCAGTTGCCACCCTCAGTCAGGCTGTCCCCATCTCTGCCAGTCTTCAAGAGCCGCCTAAAAACACACCTCCTCCGCTTGGCGTTCCCTGAATGTATTTGAGTTAGGCTGTCATTTACGTTGATTTTATCTCACAGTTTTCATTGGTTCAATTTTTCCCTTGTTTTACACATTTGTCTTCTACTAGAATGTTTCACCTTTTTTGTAATTTGTAATCTGTAATTTGAATTGCTTTTATTTTCTGATTTATTCACTTTATTTGACTTCGTACTGTACAGTGTTCAGCCCCTTGGGCTTCCTGACAGGGTTGCGGAAGGCGCTTTATAAATAAAGCTTTGATTTGATTTGATTTGATTTGAGTCTCCTCAGGGAGAGGAGACAGCTTTGGCCCTTCTTATACAGTTTACTGTTCACATGAACATCCAGGTACTTAAAGGTATCCACCACCTCAATGTCTGCTCTTTGAATGTTTACATGTAAGCAAGAAGGAGTGTTTCTCTGGAAGTCAATCACCATTCCCTTTGTGTTACTAGTGTTCATGTAGAGGTGGTTACGCTCACACCAGTCAATAAAGTCCATGATGACTGACCATTTCCCTCAGACACACAGTCGACAATGGTCGAGTCATCAGAGAACTTCTGGAGGTGACAGCTGCTGATGTTGAAGGTGAAGTCCGAGGTAGAAGGTGAATAGAAAGGGTTAGAGCACCATGCCCTGTGGAGCTCTAGTACTGCACACAACCATCTCAGACGTACAGTTGTGCAGCCTCACATACTTTGGACTTTTGGTAAGGTAGTTGATGCGTCCATGCAGTCAGATGTTCATCCACTCCAGCACCCCTCATCTTCTGCTGCAGGAGACACAACTGGAAGGTTTGAAGGCACTTGAGAAGCACAGTGGTTTTTTTTTGCATCTTGAGGTGAGTCAGTGCCTGGTGCTGGAGGTAGTTGAGAACATACCCTACCCCATGTAGTTGGGCATTTAGTGGTCTTATAATAGATACTAATAGTTTTATACCTGACATATTTCTTTAGAAATTGCAAACCTTTGCTAAACCTGACCAATGACCTGAGAGAGATACCCCCCTTGCAGGTATGAACCGTACACGTAGTTCTCATAGTGACACCTGGTGGCAAAATTATAAAATTACACCTTGGGAAGTAGTTGGATTTCTTAGTTTATTTTCAATTAGAAATAAATCTTGAATTCTTCTCTCGATCAAGTCTCTGAACCAAGTGCTTTAGGAGGAACACAGTGAGATGTTCATTCCTTGAGTTAGGAACACAGACATAAGTATGACTATGGCTAGGAAAGCTAAAAAGTACTAGCTATTTAGCAAATGTACCTTGATAATTTTTCCTCAACACAAAGGGAAGCACGCTCCTATTTTGCTAAATTACCAAATGTTTGTTAGGCTTTATCGCATCGTCTGAAGATAAAATTTCACAAAAAAGCTTTAAAAAGACAAGAGCAATGAATGTGGCTATGTAGCTTTCATATATTTCCTGTCAAGCGTTTCAAAATAAAAGTGTTCACTCTACTAAAATTGCATTGATTGGGCTATTTGTATGGTCATGAACATTTTTTATTGATTTATTTAAATCTTGAATAAAAAAGAAAATCAGTCACTGTTTAGATTGTGTTTGCAGATTGTTTTGAGTCACCCAGCCACTTTAACTCTACAGCCAGTGCTCCAGGAATAATACACCTGATATATGTACATTTGTTCATGTGTGCTTACAGGTTCATGCCTGTATTTAAACATATCTATCACAGTAAAAAGTAGTTGTGGCAGAACAACTGATACTTTTTATGTATTACTTCGACAATGTTTCACACCCCCCATTCATAATGCTTCCTGTGTATATGTCTACATAGGAACTAATGTTGTAAATAGTGCATTTTTTAAATTTAGCATTCTTGGTCACTTTTGCACTACTTCTGTCTGAGCTGTGGTAATGCAACACTTTCCCCACTGTGGGATCAATAAAGTCTTATCTTTTAATGAATTTTCTTGTTGCAAGACAGTTGTGTTTTTGGAATTTAAACACCATGCTCTGTTTAGTTGGATTGTAAGTTTTACAGCTGCTTTGTTGGGTCTGGGTGTTGTGTGATGCAGTAACACATTATAAACAAAGACTCTGGACGAATGCAGAAACGTGCAATTTATGGCTCCAGGTCTCCATGTATATTTTGGCACACTCACAATGTAATAGGGATCAATTCAAAATAAATTATTTCTCTGTTTTGGTAATAAATGTATGCTTATTCACACAGATCCCAGAACTGCAGTCAAGATTACATCGTCTCATTGTCGCACACCCACAAAGCACATGAAACACACACACACACACACAAAAGTACAGGTTGTCATAGATACTGTTTTTTCCAATATACATATATTTCATGATGTTCATCAATATAATAAGACATTGATAGATTTACACTACAATTATTTCATGTACTTTCCCATTCAGTCTTCTCTCCTTAGTGTTGAATTGACTTTTAGTTTCTAACCCCATACTCATTTATCTATCAATAAATAAAAACAACAATAAAATAAAACAAAGCACATTGCCCATGATCCTCCAGTCCTGTCCCTCCTGTAAGGCCAGATGAGCAGAGGCGATGTGGGCTTTCATCCCAATAACTCTACTTCTAGATAAATGAGAAGAAGAAAAAAAAAGAAACGAGAAATCTTCCCTTAAAAATAAACCGATTTGAACAAAAAATATATCTTGTTGATACAAACAGCGATCCAATGTAAACTGTAGAATCACTCAGAGTAAAAATACTTCCACTTTAACCCTCATTGACTTTCCAGTTGCTTTATCTTTTCCCATCAATGCAGACACAAACAATTCAGTGACATCTGGAGTTAACAGTTGCAAAATAAAAACACATTTAGTTAAAAAAACTAAATCTTGTTAGCACGTGTGGAACATCGTCCATCTAGAGAACGTTCAGTGACTCATAAGGTTCCCTCCTGTTGCTGCGTTCACTCCTTTCCATACATAAAAAATGTCTGAACACCATTCCCTGTTGTTGACTCGACCCCCTTATCCAGAACAGAACTGAACGCAGTGGTGAGATCACTGAACGGTTCTCAAAGCTGATGCAACATCCTCACTCAATCATCTCATCAAAAGAAAATTACAAAAGGAAAAAAGGGGGGCCACGGTGTTCAAATATTTTGCACGCTTCTGTTTCAAACAGACAAAAAAGCAAGAGGAAAAAAGTAAGAGAGAGAGAGAGAGAGAGAGAGAGAGAGAGAGAGAGAGAGAGAGAGAGAGAGAGAGAGAGAGAGAGAGAGAGAGAGCACTCTTTTCATTTTTCACCATCTGGTTGAGCACTAAGAGGACAACGAGTGGTTTTTTATGGATAACACAGAAGTCCTACCCCAATCAGTGTATTATTACACTTACTTTCTGTTTTATAGCTAAAAGGGTGACTTTTACCTATTTTATATTGCCAAAAGAATCCCAATTTTACATATTATATACGGTTTTTAACGTGTGTGTGTGTGTGTGTGTGTGTGTGTGTGTGTGTGTGTGTGTGTGTGTGTGTGTGTGTGTGTGTGTGTGTGTGTGTGTGTGTGTGTGTGTGTGTGTGTGTGTGTGTGTGTACATAAGTTGCAGATATCTTAGACCTGAGGATATAGGACCCCCCTACCCCCCAAAATGCACCCATACTACATCAAACAATGCAGAATATTTATGTTTTCTTTTGTTTTTGTACATTTTTCTCTCTGTGTGAGAGCTATAGTTAGTCTTAATTTAAAACCTGGCAGTACGACAGAGACAAACAAAAAGAACTTGTGCTATATTTAGTTAAAGGATGCTAACTTTGAACAGATTACAGAATCTACTCACAGCCGGGTACACAAGACGACGAGGGGAGTTTCTATTTAACCTTTGAACCCCGTGTTTTGCATATGTAACGATGGCGCACTCACAAGCCAGACGGACACACTGGTGTGTCCTCGTTATGTTTTTATTATGAAAAGTGAGCTTTCTAAAGGTGAAAAGGACAGTTCTGTGGTTTTGTTTTTGATGGCAATTGGCAGCTTAAGCACAAAAATCAGGTCTTTGGTAATTGTCTGCTGTTTACTTCTGCTCTACTTTCTTGGGGAAACTGATTTTTGCCTGACGGGACTGGTTCACAGATCTAAAATCTTCCTGTTCATGTACTTCAGCGGTCAAGGAAACGACCCGCCTTTGCTGTGAGATTTAAGCCGCCTAATCCGTTGGGATAAACTGGGGTTAGAGCTATTCTAACACACACACACACATGCATGCAGTAGGAGTGTGAAGCAGTGAGAGGAATAAAGGTTGGTCTATTCAACTGGCAGGGAGGATAAATGAGGTTTTGCACACTTATTGTTTCTATTATTCTTGTTTTAAACGTTCTGATTGCAGGATTAGATTGGACTGAATAGCTGACTGAAATCCTTCTGTGGAAGATAATTCAATTTTTCCACAAATGTTTCAGAAAGAATTCTAGATTTAAGCTTGTGTGTGCAAGGCCCATGTTGGAAAATCCAAAGATGTCATCAAGTAGCCACAAGTACACAAACAAAGTTGCCAAGATGTAAAATACGTGAAAGTGAAGGTACAAATGGAAGGGAAATAGAAGAGGAGAAGAGCCTCCCTTGATGCTTGGCAGTGTGTAACGCAGAGCTGAACTACAAAAAACACAGCAGACAGGAGCGAAGAGGAGAGCGTGGTTTGTGATTACACGCCTCCTCTTCGCCTCTTCGTCTGTTTCACACAAAAATACACTATAATAAAAATAGAATCTATTTAAAAAAAGAACAAAAAGAAAGATAGAACTAAAGGCCTTAACTAGAAGAAACACCGAGATAGAATCAGTGTACCAGCAAAACACTCGTCTTACGAATGCTACGTTTATTTTCTATTTCTTATCACCAAATGAAGCTGTAAGTTTCTCAACTGTACAGAGAAGTTTTCCTCATTATCATTATGTGTTTTTGGAGCGTTTGAATGTGCTCTTTATGTGGAGACGTTTAGTCGCGCCGGTGTTTCCTTTGGCTGGGCTCGAACAGCTGGACAGCGCCATCAAAAGCAAGACATGTTTGTACGTCTTTAACAGATTCCTGCAGTCAGACGCTCCTCCTACACAAACTCAAAAGTGCGAGGGGTGCACTTGACTGGAAACGAACTTAAAAGACATCAAGAAACTAAGGCCTTTCAGTAGGAATTTAGTGAAACTATCAATGGAACCAGTCTAATTCCTGGTGTCAGAACAGATCTCCAAACCCAAAGTGTAAGTTGAAATGTGGATAGATTAACCATCTAATCCAGTCTATCCAATAGCAAACCTTCTTTTATTTCCTACATCTTCCTCATCACTGACACAAGCTTCATCACTTGTTGTTTTTTGTTGTTGTTTAAGGTTCTTACACTCATATGTGCTACAGTAAGAGCAATTGCACTAGACTGCAATGAAGGAATGTTTTCGAAATAAGACACTATGTAATATTTAAACAAAATTATAAACATCTACAGACATTGGTCCAACGGTACTATGGCAGTTTAAAGTTATCCGAGGAATCGGGAGGCGTCGAAAGCATGCAGAGAGAAAGAGGACGGATCCTGGGAGATTTTGAAAACAAAAATTCTCGCTCAGATAACGAGAGGGCGATTACTCAAGCTCAGCTTCACAAGTCATGCTCTGTCTTCATGTTTCACAGATGTCCAGGAGCTAAAAGAGAAACTAAAACGTATCTTTTGTTGGTGTAAAGTTATAGAAACCTAGAGCGTCTTGCAAGGCTTCAACTTCTACAACCCTCAAAGCACCTGTGCCTTTTCTGTTGCACTTCTCTGGCATGTCTTTTTTTGGATGTGAAAAATGCAAATATCAGTATGCCAGTAATTAGACGGGGACCACCTCCACTGTGTGACGATGCACATCCAGTAGATGCAGAATCCTCAGGGGGGTGGGCGGGTGATGAGAGCATGCAGGTTACACACTCGGATTAATAGAAAGTAGTTAACGCTAAAGCATACGTAAAATTATACAAAAAATAAAAAGTACAAAATGCACACACACACATACACACACTCACACACACACACACACACACACACACACACACACACACACACACACACTTACAAAACAGTATACATACATATACACATATATATGTATATGTATGTACATATACATATATATTAGATTAAAACTCTACAAAGATCTGTATATATATTAGTTATTTAACAATGATTTGCCAATCGTTTCCGTTTCTGCTGTTGCATTGTAACAGATGCTTGGTTCTCAGAATGGCAGGTTAGAAAAAGCCAAGAGTACCCAGGAAGTAGACAGGGTCACACACTCACAGGACAAATATTGACAGGGAGTCCAGACCAAATGCGAAGTCGTGGAAGTCGGGGAGCCATGGGGCCCTGAAGGGTTTAGGGGTGTTATATCGAGGCTGGCTAGGGGGGATTTACCTACATATGATAAATGAAAAATCTCTGGCTAATTTAGTCTTCAATTAGAGGGTTTCCATCTGTAGCAAGGAAGCCTGGATCAGACTGGGGTAGGAGTGACTCTTCTTAGGTGCTGAAGTACACTGTAGAAGGAAGACAAAAAGGAGCAAATGGAGCGTGATATAGAACCGGAACGGAGTGTTTTATTAGAAATGTAGCATTTCAAGAATGTGTAAAAACAAAAAAGTAAAAGATTCTCACCAATAATGACAATGAGGACAATCACACATATCACACCCAGGATAATCATCATCTGTAGTTGGCAAAAGTTTAGAAAAACATATTAGAAATAAAATTGGGTTTACAATAGACATCAACGTGTTGGCTTTATACAGTCTAACGTGGAATTTGTGAATTGTGTCCTCACCTTGGCATTCTTCCACCAGTATTTATTCTTCAGTTTTGCAGCACTAGTCTCAAACTGAGAGGCTCCAGCCTGCAGGGCGTCAGCCCTATCGTCCAGTTCTGACAGCTTCTGATCACGCTCCAGAACCTTATCCACGTTTACACGCATGATGTCCACCACCTGGAGGATCGAAACAGAACAAAACAATGTCATCTGGGAGCAGGATTGGGTGTTTAGCTGAAATGGGAAGTGGACAATAATGTGAAGGATTTTTCTTAAATATACAGATCATTCAGTCTTGATTCTTAGACTGCATTTTAAGAAGAGTTTGTGCTTACCTCGTCCACCTGTGCCTGCGTCTGCTGCAGACGGCGGTTGCTGGTGAGGTTGGGAGGGGCCTGACTTCCTCCCTCTGGTGCAGGAGCTCCAGCTGGGGCAGACCTGGTGATCAAAGCAATCAAATCAAATGTAAATTTAGAATTTTTTAAAAATATGTCAGTCTGCATCTGTTTATAAAACAGAACTGATCCAAAATAAACTGCCTAGGTTTGGAAAATGAGAGGATTGTGGTGTTACCCTGATGTGCAGACATGAGTATGACATGAAGCAAACATAACAGAGGCAGCTCATAAAACCACACCTTTCACCTCTACGTCATTTTCCTGTTAGATGGCTGATAGCTTTGCTTTAAAACAAGGTTGAGCCAATAATCACAATTGCATTTTAGTTTTCGATCTTATTTGGGTGGAGATTGTCATGTTTTAATAATTCACACCATTGAAATTACGCTTGTAACTTGTGTTACAGACATTTTATTGGCAAGGATCTGGAGACAATACGAAATACACACACACACACACACACACACATATATATATATATATATATATATATATATATATATATATATATATATATATATATATATATATATATATATATATATATATATAAGTTAAAACATAACTTGGTTTTACTGCCAAATCATGTTCCGTCAGCATGTAAGCCACAAAAACTGCTGCCATCTAGCGGTCAGAATAAGAATTGCACCGCATGAAAGAAATACAGTAAATGTTTGCATGTAAATTCTGAATAAATTAATCAATACACTGCTTTTATATATCAGTCCAGTATCATAACAGGAAACATGTTTTTTAAGTTTATTGATATTTTATTACATCCTTATTTCTGTAACTCACTCCCTTTGTAATGCTTCACCCCTGACGACAGTCTTAGAAATGATTGTGGTATCATAATTTACACCCTCATGGTTCACAAACTAACAGCTGAACTTTGCTGCCTGCTAACATAAACTGGTCTGCAGTCACTTTAAAAATTCCAACTATAGATGTTTTTTTATTTTTCTATGACCAAGTTTAAATCTGATTCCTGAAACTGATAGTGAAGTAAAAAATAAAAAAAATACATATACAGATAAAGACCTCCAAAGGACGTAATGTGGTTGAGTTTGGTGATTTTGTGGAATCGTTTTTTATGGAACTTGCATTAAAAGGCATTCATATTACAAAACAATCAGCCGTTTGGAAAACTGAAGTTAACCGAGTTCCTGCATTTTACCATTTTATCTCTGAAAATTCAGTGTGTCACGAAAGTTGCAACCCATGTTAGCATGCACTCAAGTTATCAAGAGGACAAAAAAGATAAAGCAATTTTAAAACTATTTATTAAATAGCTGGTTTAATTTATTTTGTATTTGTATACATTTTCAGGTAAATTACTGTGCTTTTTCACCAAGTGTTGGATGGCACAGCTTCTTTGTGTAATGCAAAACAACAACGTTCTAAAATGAAGCAGTCTCAACTGTAATCTTATTACCATTTAGTGACAGACTTTACATTTATAAAGCCAAAAATGTAAGAATGCCTTTGTTTGCCATGTTTTACTTCATATGCATTCAAAATGTTAGTAGTAGTTAAACTATTATAGCAGAAAGTCAGTAAAAGGTATCTTCTGTTCGTAATAAATACACATTCTATTACAAGCAAGGACCATTTTTTGCTATTATGATGCTTTTATAAAGCTAATAACAGTCTTATCTGCACTTTTGTTGACTTAAAGCCATACTTAGCAACTTTTTCATTTATTTAAATCATTTTCTTGAGCCAGAATGTGCTAAATGACCCTTTTCAGGATTAACGAAATGTCACTCACACCCTACCATCCTCTGCAGCCAGAATATCGCACTTGCAACTTCAGAGTGGCAGGCTGCACCCTGGTGAGCTTAGTTAAGTGGAGCTGACATGCCTGGCACTGCAGTCTGCTACTAGCATGCTTTAGATTGTGAACACAGCTGATTTGTTTGATTCAGTGATGAATCGCTCCTGAACATAATGAAGGCTGAGGAGACATTTCATCATGTTAAAAAGATGAACGCACAGCAAGGAGATATGTTTTACTTTTGGTTTAACTAACTGGACAATAGGGGGTGCTAAAAGATAGCCAAAACTGCCAAGTTTCCCTATAACCCTCCCGCATTGTTAATGGGGTCAGATGGACATCTGGTGTATTTTGATTTTTAATTTTAATATTTTTAAGGGGTGCATCACTTCACCCCTGGCAAGGCATAAACGTTAAACCCTGCTTAGCCACCCCCTATCCTGGTGGGGTCACCTGATAGGAAAGTGGAAGGGTTAAGCTTGTTTTGTGTCTGATTTTGGTCAACAAGTGGACACATAATAGTCAAAAGACTGAGCTGTAAAAAGTGAACAAAACAAGTTTGTCTAAGTTGTATTTATCTAAAAGGTTCTTAGGTGAATTACAACATTTTGACCAAAAAAAAAAAGTGCAACATTTTGCATCCAAAGCAGCACAAAAACCCAACAGACACAAAGGGAAATGTCTGATCACTTTTAAAAAATCTGTTACATCTTATTACCATCATTTTTTTAAAGGTTAGAAAATATATTGTTTTCTTTCGTGAAGCAAATGTCACTTTTATTGTTTAGCCTCACAATTTACTTTTATTAATTTAGTTCAATATTTAAAAAGTAGCATCTGTATAGCTGCTGTGCAATAAGCACCACAACAAAGGTGCAATGCGTGTAGAGGTTCTCGCTGTCATCGCCTCTCAGCTAACACCAGGCAGAACTGCTAATGCAGTGACAAGGCTTCTCATCAGTTTCCACATCCTGTAAAAACCACCTACTGTGTTCCATCCAGCCAGGTGCAGCTGTCTCTGATCTCTGCCACAAAGTCTTTGGTTTGTTAAAAGACGATAAACTCATTTGAGGCTTCCATGATTGTGATGAAAAGAAAGAAAACAGAACACCCATCTTAATTGTATTCTTTAAATTAAACAGAACAAAACAAAAACAGGACAAGAAAGAGGAAACCTTATCTGACAACGGCAGATAACGTGACCTACTGGGAAGGTGAGGTTTCACATGACTCCCTGTACAGTCTACTTCTGATGTAAGATTGGCTGTGAAAGCTAAAAATATTCAACCTTCTTTCAAGACAAAGCTGTAATTTATGTCCTTTGTCTGCCAAGAAAAGCAGGTGAATTTTTAAAAAGACAGAAAAGTTCACTAGGACCCCCACCCTTAACTTGTTCACTGAGGAGAAACATTGTCAATCTGCAAGTGTTAAAAATATAAAACTAACTCAGGTTTAGAAATTTGTTCTTAAAGTGTTTTTGCATTTTTTTAATTTAAACTGCTTGATGCGTGATGTAGACTTAACCATATTTATTTAAAACGTATTAAATTCATACTATACAACTTGTTCATATTTTTAAATCCCTTTATTGAGGCAGTATGTACTGAAATGACTCTTTACATGGTTAATTAAATGTCACTGAGACCCCACCACCCTCTGTCACCAAAATACCGCATTTACAGCTTCAGAGTGGCAGACTGGTTGGACTTAGTAAAGTGGAGCTGACATGCCTGGCCTTCAGTCTGCTTCCAGTATGCTTCCTTCATGTTTTAGATCGTGAACAAAGCTGATTTATTTCATTTAGTGATGAACCACTCCTGTAGAGCCTAATGAAGGCTGATGAGACATTTCAGCTGTTAGATTAAGGTGTTAAAAAGATGAACACGCAGCGAGGAGATAAGTTTCACCTTTGGTTTTACTAACAGACTCTAGGGGACACTCATAAATGTACCCAGCATCCGATTTGTTGCCATGCTAATTATGATCATTTACAAGCTGATAAATCTCAAAGTACGTGATTGGCATGGTTGAATCATATCATTTATTTTTTCATTTAAATTGAAGTACAACATATTCCAGGGCGTAAGGCTAAATGGATCAGAAAATAGCTCTTTCAGCCCCGTTGACTTGTATTCATTTTGTCGTTCTTCTGGGGATCCATTAGCCAACTGGAAGGGGAGGAGACTTAGGCTCCCTATTTATGCTTTTTGATTATAACACACTGAAACATTACGGTAATTCACCCTAATAAGAACAAAATGTCTGTAATAATAATAATGAAATGTCGAATATTAATGTTATCACTGTATAACTCCCACCCTTGGAGAATATCTCTGTCGTTACTGGATTTCAGCACTGGACAGCGACATTTCAGCACTGGACAGTTCGTCAGCATCATTCTGTCTCATCCGACCCTCAGCCAGCCCGGTCCTGGTCGATGTTTCTTGACTTCACTAACATAACAGGTTCCACTTTAATGTCCTTTAAAACATGGTGGCTGACATGGAGCACAAACTGAGTCAGAATGAGGGTGTGGAGTCTCCTGCTAGCTGGTAGCTCACAGAGGAAGACGCCATGGACACTAGAAACTAGTGTGCTAGCATCAGGCTGGTTAAACGTCATTGATGTGCAGGGAGACTGGTGGAAGGAGGTGTCACAGAAACCCTCACTTTAGCTTTAGTGTCTACTAAATGATCGAGTTAAAACATATGAAACACACAAAATGCCTTCAGAAATGTATTTGAAGGGGCTAGTTATACCAAAAGGTCATAGCCAGTCTGAAATTTGGACCCGACCGCCCTCTCGTGACAATCGACGACATACAGTAGGAGGCTAGGCTATCCCCACCCCCCGCTGTAGGGTGGAAATAGCACAAAAACTAGGCCTGAGCTAATATTACCATCAGTCACGTTTATTGACTATTAGTCGATAATTTCTCCGTTTGTTTGTTATTTTTTTATTTCAGGAGAAGGCTAGCAAATTAAAATGAAGCTCCAGTTCTGGTTTGTTGAGCACTGTGTCCTTGCTGTTTCTAAAATCCGCTTAATCGTCACCAGCTGGTCGGTCGGTGGCAATAAAAGCAAACACAAATAATAAAGTTCAAACATAGTTGATAGTTCATTCATTTTCTTATTGGACTTTTAATTCGCCTGCAATACATGTAATAAATGTGTGTGTCCGTGCGTGTGATATCTTTTTTCTTTTCAAACCAGTTCAAACTGGAAAAAATATATGCGCGTGCGTGCGTGCGCACTAGGAAAACGGACTGAAAAGAAGCAGGCGGTAAACACAGAGCGTTCTGTGTAAAATGGAAAATAAACAGACTGAATAAATAAATGAGATGGTGTTTTATAATCGAGATAAGAGCCGGTGCTTCTCTTTCTGCTCCTCCAAGGTTAGGCCGATGCGTTGGCCGCTATATTCAGGCTCAGAGAAAAACAAGCGACGCAAATAAAATAAAATACGGCGTTTAAGGATGATTTAGATCAAAGCTGGGAAATGTTGAGGCTGCGCGAAACAGAAGACAGCAGGAAATCCCCCAAACCACATAAAGCAGTTATCAGCTTATTTATTTATTTTTTAAATAAAGATTAAAATGTTGCTACTTACATTTTCCTGGTGTTATTAGCTAGACAGCTGCAGTGAAATCCGGACTGGAAAGGTGATCTGGTCCTAAGTGGCTGACAGATGGATGGATTCTGCGCTCCTCTCTAGCCTCTGGCAGCCTTTGGTTGGTTATTGTGGCGTTCCCTGTCTATATGTCCGAGGAGGAGCACTGGTTTGTCTCCTCGCTACAATAATTATTTTATTATTTGTTATTATCTATCCCTAATTCTATGGCGAAGCGTTACCTGCAGGCTATGTCCGGAGCCTGGGTCTGTGTGGTAATGAAGGGGTAATACACAGCCGCCTGGATTAGGTGGACAAAGACGGCTCGGTGACGTCAGCAGCGGTGAGCCTCATGTTAAAATGGGTGGCCATGCACTCCAAACCCACCGTTTTCCTGCCCGGAACACCGCTCTTGTATTCCCTATGCGCTGTTACTGGGAGAAAACGCGCTATTCTTGCACAGATGGGACATTTGATGGTCACGATTTCGTTTGAAGCTCCTAAAAAGGAGTTTTAATGTTGACTGCAAGACTGTGTCAACAAAATGGCTTCTTGGGAAGGAGGTGTGGCGAGGCTGTTATCATTCATAGTAAACACGATGTGGATGTGATGGGGAGCTGTTCCACCTGAGCAAATGAATGAGTGTCTTACTCATGGACAACACCTCATTTATTTATAAGCTGCTTTTTGTTATTCATCTAAGGGCTGTTTGCCCAAAGAGTTTTAAAGAGGGAGTTTAGATATTTAGAAGTGGATTTTTCTCAACAGTTTCAATATTATCTGTCCTATATACCTCTTTGAACAACCTCAGCTGGGAGAAAGAGAGATTTGTTACGACTACGCTGAGTAGCTAGCAGCTGGCAACAATAGAGCCAGTTCCAAAATGGGTGGATAAATAAAATAAAATAAAATAAAATAAAATAAATATCTTTTAAATATCTCTTCCGGCGCTCACAGGGAGCAGACCCTTCTGCCTTTTCCTCCCTTATCTGTGTTTTCCCAAGGCTCTTTTTGTCCCGTCTGCCTACAGAGCGCTTCTCTGCATTTCCTCTGCAATCACCTTTTTCAGCATTTTTCAACATGGACTTAATTAATTGGTCATTCAACGCAATTGATAAGATTTCTTCTACAATGAGGACGGAGGAGGGGGCTCACGCTTGTCTTCAGGGGACACATGCAGCGGGATATATGTTTGATTCCTGGAAAAAGTGGAATATCATCTGTCTCTCTCAGCTGTCCATTGAGGACGTCGAAGATATGTGGATATTTGGCCTGATGATCATTGGATTTCTTCTGATTGGAGTGGGAGGATATCTGGCTTTCCGTAAAATTGGGATGACGGGAGCGATTGGAGGGCGACCCGCAACCATGGACGGCACCGTCCGTGTGGATACCTCACAGACTGGGACGTTGCTCGAGGTGAATCGCAAGCTGGACAATGTCTTAGCTGCGTTACCGGTGTTAGCGTGCAGGATTGATAACATCTCGGAAAGGGTCACCGGATGGTGTGGAGATGTTAAATCACTGAATTGGCTTCACTGGAGGACTTGAATGATCAATACAGACTTAAGGCAGAGAGGAAAAATTATCTCTGACCCAAACAAAGTTCTGTTATCGAATCTGACGCCATAAGCAGCCTTGGAGTTGCGTGCAAAACCTCCACGCTGGAAGGAATGCAGACAAATGCTGTGAATCTCTATCCACCCCCCCCCCCCCCCCCCCCCCCACCTTCAGATTGTGGTCTCCACAGAGGTCATCAAGCTAAAGGACTCACTGCTCTCTGTGCTTCCCCATGACCTCCCTCCCACCTGCGGAGCCAGCTGGTTGAGCGCCACACAGGCAGCCCCCGCTGAGGAAACCAGGATCCCAGCCCCTCCCCCCTACCTACCGGGTCTCATGTTGTGAACTATGACGTTTGTTGCTTACATGTCGGGTGTTTTTTTGCATTGGAGTGCTACACCCTGCTGGTGTAACCCTGTTAATGCCTTTTTTCTCCCTCCCTGAACTTCCCTCATGTATTCCCTTACTCATCTACAATGGAGCGCCGTTATGGCTGCTCCCATGGTGTGCCTGTATCTGTCTTGTCTATATGTGTGTGTGTAACCTTGGTCAGGTTGTACTATGGAGTCAAGTTCCTATGCTCTGAAAGGAGCGCTGGCAATAAAATTCATCTGATTCTGATTCTGATTAATCTTTAATCCTCCCACTGTCTTTATGGGTGACCCTGCAAGGAAAGTTGACCATTGAGCAGGATTGATGGTTTATCCCTTGAGGTCCATGTGGCAGGGGTGAGGTGGTGCTCACTCCTCACCCCTGCCACATGGACCCAATATATATATATATGTACAAGTAAAATAAAAAAGACAGACAGACAGACAGACAGACAGACAGACAGACAGACAGACAGACAGATAGATAGATAGATAGATAGATAGATAGATAGATAGATAGATAGATAGATAGATAGATAGATAGATAGATAGATAGATAGACAGACAGACAGACAGACAGACAGACGGGTGGGTGGGTGGATGGATGGATGGATGGATGGATGGATAGATGATAGATAGATAGATAGATAGATAGATAGATAGATAGATAGATAGATAGATAGATAGATAGATAGATAGATAGATAGATAGATAGATAGATAGATAGATAGATAGATAGATAGATAGATAGATAGATAGATAGATAGATAGATAGATAGATAAAAGATTAATGCAGCCCCAATAGGGAACAAGCCAGTGTCCCATTTGTGCCGGTCCCAAGCCCGGGTAAATGCAGAGGGTAGTGTAAGGAATGGATCAAAGGAAAAGATAGATATATGGACAGACGAACTGTAATGATGATAGCACAGTTTTTTATGCATTTTAGGGATTTGGAGGTACGTGACACCCGAAAAATTATTTCCCAGACCTGACACCCCCACCCCCCTGCCGATATTCTACCTGCACCCCTTTGGAGGGCTGGCTAAATCCGGCCCTGCAATAAAACAAGACAACAGGGTAACTTGCAATATTTTCAAAGTAGATATTTCATCAAGGGAGCATTCCAAATATACAAAAGCCTTTGGGCATAAAATATGCTAAAACTTTAAAGTTATTGACGTGTTTTGGCCCGCTCCAGACTAGTGAATATCAACGCAGCAGCAGCAGTGACGTTCGCACGTCCTCTGGTGTTAATACTTCAGATAACTAATAACCTAACACTGCCTATCATGTTAGCATCATCTATCTCATTTTTACACCTCCACACTAGCAGACTCCAGTGACAGAGGACTGACCTGTGGTGAGATTTTTCCCACTCTACAAAAGCTACAGCAACACTGCACCGAACAAGATGACTCTGCCTTCACAGGGAGCATAAAGGAGAACATTTCTGATTATTTATAATTTTACAGACCTATAGAACACTTCTGTTTACATACATATTTTTGAGTTTTCTCCTAATATTTAAGGGGTTAAAGTCAATTCTAGGATTTGAGAGTTTCATTAAAGGGTCCTTGAAACAGTTTCTAGGGAAAATCAGTAAAATATTGGGAAACAAAGACATGAAAAATGAATTTATTGGCATGTTTTATTTAATGTTGTTTAAATAATAAAAGTAATGAATAAATCTTGTTTGTTTTTACATTTAAATAATTTATATTGCAAAAAGGCTCCTCCTTGAACCGTCACCTTATCGTGGTGGAGGAGTTTGAGTGCCCTAATGATCCTAGGAGCTATGTTGTCTGGGGCACTTGGTGCCCCTGGTAGGGTCTCCCATGACAAATTGGTCTTAGGTGAAGGGTGAGACAAAGAACGGTTCGAAGGATCTTTCATGGCGGTTAAAACGAAGAGTCGGAGTACCCGGCCCGGAGGGTTACCGGGGTCCCACCCTGGAGCCAGGCCTGGGGTTGGGGCCCGTGAGCGAGCGCCTGGTGGCCGGGCTTTCGCCCATGGGGCCCGGCCGGGCCCAGCCCGAACCGGATACATGGGCTCGTCCAACTGTGGACCCACCACCCGCAGGAGGAACATGAAGGGTCCGGTGCAATGCGAATCGGGTGGCAGACCAAGGCGGGAGCCTTGGCGGTCCAATCCCCGGACAAGAAAACTAGTTTTTGGGACATGGAACGTCACCTCGCTGGCGGGGAAGGAGCCGGAGCTTGTGGCAGAGGTTGAGCGGTACCGGCTAGATATAGTCGGACTCACCTCGACACATTGCATTGGCTCTGGAACCCGAGACCTGGAGAGGGGTTGGACACTCTTCTTTGCTGGAGTTGCTCCGGGTGAGAGGCGGAGGGCTGGGGTTGGCTTTTTGTTAGCCCCGAGACTCTCTGCCTGTGTGTTGGGGTTTACCCCGGGGGACAAGAGGGTAGCTTCCTTGCGCCTTCGGGTCGGGGAACGGGTCCTGACTGTTGTTTGTGCTTATGGGCCAAATATCAGTTCAGAGTACCCACCCTTTTTGGAGTCCCTGGGACGAGTGCTAGATAGTGCTCCATCAGGGGACTCCATTGTCCTGCTGGGGGACTTCAATGCTCACGTGGGCAATGACAGCTTGACCTGGAGGGGTGTGATTGGGAGGAACGGCCCACCTGATCAGAACTCGAGCGGTGTTTTGTTATTGGACTTCTGTGCAAGCCGCAGTTTGGCCATAACGAACACCATGTTCGAACATAAGGATGCCCACCGGTACACTTGGTACCAGGGCAGCCTAGGTCACAGGTCGATGATAGATTTTGTAGTCGTATCATCTGACCTGCGGCCGTATGTTTTGGACACCCGAGTGAAGAGAGGGGCGGAGCTGTCAACTGATCACCACCTGGTGGTGAGTTGGATCAGATGGCAAGGGAACATGCCGCGTAGACCTGGCAGACCCAAACGCATAGTGAGGGTCTGCTGGGAACGCCTGGCAGAAGAACCTGTCAAGACGGTCTTCAACTCCCACCTCCGGCAGAGCTTTGACCACGTCCCGAGAGCAGTGGGGGACATTGAGTCCGAGTGGGCCTTGTTCCACTCTGCGATTGTCGAGGCGGCTGTTGCTAGCTGTGGTCGTAAGGTGGCCGGTGCCAGTCGTGGTGGCAACCCCCGTACCCGCTGGTGGACACCAGAGGTTCGGGGAGCCGTCAGGCTGAAGAAGGAGGCCTACAGGGCGTGGCTGGTCTGTGGGTCTCCGGAGGCAGCAGACAGGTACCGGATAGCCAAGCGGGGTGCAGCAGTGGCAGTTGCCGAGGCAAAATCTCGGGCGTGGGAGGAGTTTGGTGAGGCCATGGAGAAAGACTATCGATCGGCTACAAAGAGGTTCTGGCAAACTGTCCGGCGCCTCAGGAGAGGAAGGCAGCAACTCGCTCACACTGTTTACAGTGGGGATGGGGAGCTGCTGACGTCAACTGGGGCTATAGTCGGACGGTGGAAGGAATATTTTGAGGAGCTCCTCAATCCCACCAATGCGCATTCCGAGGAGGAACCAGAGCTGGGAGGCC